GGTTCACAAATAGGGTGGTGGACGAGTGGAACAAGCTTAGCAACTTTGTAGTAAGTGCGGGAACTCTGGAAAGTTTTAAAAGGAGGCTAGTTAGATTCATGGACGATAAAGAGTAGTTATAACTCTCAACGGGAGCTGCCATGCACAGGCCAACCGACCTATTGCAGACTCCTTATTTTCTTATCGCACTCAAGGGATTACAGCCATCATACCCAAGGGGATAAAAATATTCCCATCAATCAATATAAAACATGTGTAGGTATCCTCAGAGTGTGTGTGGTCCTCCCAACACGTATTATTACGCGTCTCTCTCACCCACAACAGTGATCTAGCGTTCTGTTTGATTTTGTCTTCGATTACGAGATAAACAGCAAAATCAAGTGTTCGTATCCTAATAAGAACACAACTAGGTACAAATACTTGAGAATAAAGATTAAAGAACAAATACATAAATAAATAAATAAACAAATAAATAAATAAATAAAATCATCCACTATAATCTGTACACCTTAACTTAATCTGGTGTTAAGGGAACGTTTCTAGTTAAGATAAGAAAGTTTAAGAGTATTGTTGATGTTCTCCTGTTCCGTTATTCTCGTGTTTCATCTTCTAGTCAATAGTTATGCGCATTATTCCAACTCATCAGTTATACGAGTGAAAATTTATCGCATGTGAATGTGAATACTGGACCTGCATCGCTTTGATACATGTTCAATCAATGTAAACTTTATGAATATATGAGTATCTTACCTGTCAAGCAATATATTTACCTGTCTCTTTGTGTGTTTGTGTATCTGTCTAGCTATCTGTGACCTTAGTAAAGTGTAGCACAACATTTTGCTTAAATTAACTCAGCATGACTCACTCCTATATTACCCACACACCGCCTCACTCCTATATTACCCACACACCGCCTCACTCCTATATTACCCACACACCGCCTCACTCCTATATTACCCACACACCATCTCACTCCTATAGTACCCACACACCATCTCACTCCTATATTACCCACACACCGCCTCACTCCTATATTACCCACACACCGCCTCACTCCTATATTACCCACACACCATCTCACTCCTATATTACCCACACACCATCTCACTCCTATATTTCCCACACCTACATATCCACAATCATTCATATATCACCCCCTCCCAGACACACTTACCCCTGTACATGCATCCTACACTCCTTTATTCAACACTAAATATTGTCAAACTTTTCAATTTTGTTCCTTGAAAACGCGTAACTCGACTTGCAATATAGGTTTTTAGTTAATGCAGTGGGAACCTTAACCTAACTTGCCCTAACTTAACCGAATATAACTCAACCTTATGTAACCTAACTTAACCTAATATAACCCAACCTTATCTAACCTAACTTAACCTAATATATTCTAACTCAATCTAATCTCACATAACGTAATCTAACCTAACTTAACCTATCTTACCATAACTGACACTGCACTTGATCGTTACCACTTCCCCAAATGTATAGTCAGGTACACATCTACACCTGGATTGATTAGGGGGTGTCCTGAATTCGAACCAGTGACCCGGAGGACAGGAGATGAGAACTGCATCCACTCAACCACCTTACCTCCTACAAATACCAGTACACAAAATGGTACTCAAGGAAGAATATGAGTACTAGATAACAGATACAGTACTATTCTTCCACTCAGTCTGGGACACAGGCAAATGAATGAGAAATATAAACTTCAACTTATTTTTTTCCAACTCTTTCTTCCATTACAGCCACTGTGGATCAACCAGATTTCCAACGACAGCCATCACTACAGCAGCAGGACGTGGAGGAGGCGGTGAAGGTGTACAGTTTACAGAGGGGGAAGTGGTGGGTGCCCAATGATAAAGTGTTCCTGCGGTACAACTTCTCCAGTGACGCCAAGCCCCTTGACAGCCTCTCTCTCTGCTACAGGATCAGGTCAGGTCAAGTCAACAGGATGGCTTATGCAAGGTTATTCCTTCTGGGACGTTACTTGATTATGTCTGGTCATATCTGGTCGAGTCATGGCTGGTCAGGTCACTCGTAGAATTCAATACGCCATTCCTCCAGGTAACCTATTTAAGACTGAAATGTTTTAAGTCACCAATAACAGTGAGCCAATCGTCACGTGTTTCCTAAACTTATCGTAATACACTTTCTACAATATTCTGTTTACATCATCAAAGCAATACAGAATCGGTCCTCCGCAGTTATAGAGACACAGGATTAACCTCTGACCCTTTGACGTCACCAAATTTGTGGATTTTGTAAAGTTCCTGAACAAATCCTAGGCAGTGATGAACGAAGCCTTCTGATTGGTCACGGGGAAGTGTCTCCTGGCTAATCACGAGCCTCGTTTTAATGTTGTTTGACTGTTGAAACAAACCACACGTATTGTAGTCATGCAAACACGAATTGGCGAACAAAAGCTCAACGTTAGAATCTGTCAATTATCATGAATATTACAAAATGAAAATTAAATTCCAGTTTATCATGTCACTAGGATAAAAAAATAAAATAAAATTAAGACGCTAGCAAATATAGACACGCACATCACGAATTGTATACCCTTTATTGCATGTAAGTGCCCGAGGAAATTTACACACGACAGCAGTGGCTCAATAGTTATTTGTACAAAGACTTTATTGAGAACATCACTCACCCGCATTGTCATTCCTAACAAATGGTACATCTATCGGAATAAGGGTAAACACAAGTGAGTTCAGTATATTCATAACGCATTACACAATTTTGCCATCAAGGCGATGATCTTACCGCCATTGGGTCACTATACAGAGTACACTATACAGTACAAGAAGCACTCCACTACCACTGTAATATTTATCAGATTACCTCATCAATATTCTCATTTATATTCCCGCAACAACAAAAAATGCCATCACGGACCTAAAAAAAAAAAATGGCCATAAGGTTTGATAGACATTCCAACACCCTCATATGTTATCCATGACAATCAATTCAAAATTGCAGCAATTGTCGCCTGGGGGTCTCAGAGGCTCTAAAGATGAATATTTTCCGCAAGTGAGGATGTAAAAATATGCCTATACAGAGGATACTTAATGCACGATATAAAATTACAGTAAAGAATATTTCCAAAGAGTTTCAAGTTATTTTTTTTTCATAAGTAGCTGACCGTACAGTATTTTTTTTTTGGCTGTTGGAGTTAGCGTTAATCGTTATATTTTGCTGTATGGTTCAGGCGTCAAGTGTATTCTTAAATCTTCTCATACGAGAATCAGTCATTTTAAGGACCCCTAAGAATCTGTACCCGGCTCTATTGATATGTATTTAAACTGCCATTGTCAAGTTATTTTCTTTGACCCAGGAATCTTTTTTTTTCTTCTTTTTCGCGTCTTTCTATAAAAGCACGCTGGGAGAACCTTTCTTCAATATTTTATACTTTGTTATTTGTGGATATATGTGCGCTCGTGCGCGTGTTTGTCATGTTTGAACACCATAGCTTATATATTCCCTAACTAATGTACAGTACACAGTTCTGTACTTATTCTCGCCCAAAAGCTCCTCAATCATTACCGGTCAACACTCATCAGCTAATGGTGTAAAATCTTAGTGCAGGTGTTGTTAATATACAGTTGACACACACGTTCACAGTTGAGGGAATTAAGAGCTATTAACCTGGATTAGTTAATTTCTTCAATGTATTTACACGTGTAAGAATTAAACTCGGAAAATTTCATAATAACGGGAATTTATTGTATGCAAATTAAGTTCACATACGTGTAAAAACTTATTTTTACCTTTTACGTACCATTTCTTGACCCATTGAAGTGGATTAAATTATCGTATACGGTACACAATACAGTTTCTCTGCTCACCGGTCCTGATAACAGAAGAGGATTGTGGTAGTTATCCCAGTTGCAGCCATCATACACAAAGTAGTTAACATAATGATATAGGAACGTAATGGCGATAAAGTTTAGGCAACAACAACCAACGCGGGTATATCGTCTTTATCCGCCATGTTCTTACTGTATCGATACCGCGTGTTATTCTCTCCCTTTGATATAAGATTCTATTCATTTCTTTGAATTTCATTAATAGATCACTGTAGCATTGTTATATAACTGTAAATTACTGAACAGATGGATCAACGATGGTGTTCCTGTTGTGCAGCCACGGTTCAATGCTTCGACTGAATTTACAAATTTTCAGATATAGTATTAGTCACTCAGGCACGGATTCAACCTAATGGTGGCCAGAATTGTCATCATCGTCATTGTATTCAGTGTTTTATTATTATCATGGGCATTATCCCCATTACTACTATGTCCATTGTTATAATGTCATATGAGTGGTAGCAGGAGAAAACGGCCCAAACCAGAACGGCCCTACCCAGACTGTCAACATGATGGCTGCTATCATGCTCAGTTTTGGTTTGGTTAGGTTAGGTTAGAGTTAGGCCGTTTTGGTCACAGGGTGAAGCCGTTTTGGTTAGAGGGGCCGTTCTGGTTTGGGCCGTTTTCGACTGGGGCCGTTTTGTCTCGAAACCATGGGAGTTACTTGAATATCCTATAACATTAATATGTAAGCTATACACGATACACCTGAATATTCTAAGAATATTTTCCAATGTATCACTTGAATGTTCTTTGATTTTATTGTTTTATTTACAGTAAAGTAATTTGTTTATCTAGTACAAACACCGCTTCACTAGCCAGCCTGGGTTCTCAATGGTTCGAATGGTCAATGTTTCTCGTAATTGAAGGAATAACAAATAATATAACCAACTAATAATGCTAAAGTATAAAAACGTCTAAAATTACATCAAACTTACACTGAGACTCGACTTTAAGCGTCTCAACGTAATTCATTTAAAACAACCATAGCTGCTTCAGTTTTCAGTACAATACTGAGGCTATTTTGGGGGCTATATTTTTTTTGTCTTAAGTTAACCAGTTCGGTACATTATTACAACTTCAGTTTTAAGGGATAATCATCGTACGAACCTTTGTGAGTCAAGACCGTGATGTCTCCGTCTTCCACAGGCTGGAGGTGTTCGGGGAAACTTCCGTGCATGTGTCCTACGCGGTCAGCGACAACTCGGTGGACTACATATCCACTGGTGAGTCAGCTGTGATCCAGTCCTCAACCAAACCTAACCTAGCCATAGGGAATGGGTCATATTAGCTTATACAGCCAAATGAGGAAAAAAGGATGCTGTAAAATCAGTTAAAAATAAATATAATTAATGAGAATTTGGTCTCACCAGGTCAGAATGGGGCGGTTGTGTACGGCTGGTTCCCACAAGGGGTGCAGCGTGTCAAGCTGCCGTGGGAGATATATCCTGAGGTGTGGTACCACTTATGCTACGTGATGCAGGAGAGCTCCTTCACCTTATACTGGCAGGGACAGGTAAGTAAAGTGTTGCCCCTCTTGCTTTTGCACTAGGTCGGTTTTCTCAACCATGTATGGAACCCCAAACTCCGCTTAAATAACGGAAACTGAACCCTTAACCCCTACGTATTAAACACTCATTTCGATTTGGCACACAAACCCAGTTCAATTTCTCAGTATTGCTGTGATAAGTACTTTCTAAAAATACGTTCATAAATAATAGTACAACACTGAGTTTAATCTTGACAAAGCCAAGTTCCCTTAGACAAACTTTGAACTTCAGCTTCTTGTATTTATTATCAGGTTGTTTTCTATGATACTGGAATAAATGCCTCTCCCTGGCGGAAAACAAATAATGTCCATTAAAGACCGGCGACACCCTTCACCTTCCACAGTGAAATTTGAACTGGCGGCTGGCAGAGCAGAGCAGAGCCAGAGCGCGACGGGTGATTTCACCGCCGAGAAAGACAAAATGAAGTGATGAAGTGCGCTCTAGAAAAAGTAGTGCGCGCCTAATCACCTAATATCTACCAAACGAAGCAGCCCCCCTCCCTCCCCTTCCAAAATGAATGTCACATCAGAACTCACTGATGAAAAAATATTAACAATATAAACATCAAAACGAATAATGCGTCGGCGGGTTAATCATCAATACGTATTAGCCAATTTTACAATGTTAATTTTTTTTCAATTTCAATAGTTTATTCCTTGATAGAGGAAGCGGGATCCTAATGCTGTCACTAGGTACTCCTGTTTATTTTTTTTGTTTTTTAGTCATAGATGGCGCATAGATTGTATTTGAACCAACAGGTTACATAATTATAATTACACTAACTTTGCCCGGGAAGGTCCAAATCATATTATGTACAATATAAAGATCTATAGGTTAATTCTGCTGTGTACAGTATATCTAACACATTTAAAGGTGACATGTAAGTTAAAATACCATCTGTCCACCTCCTGATTTTGATTAAAAACACTAAAATGAATAAATTTTGAACCTTTCGTTGCTAGTGAGATGCTGTAGTGGTAAATTTTCACTTGTTGCCACTATACGAAATGGAAGTTAAAACTGTGTTTTCCTGGTGGTTTTTGATGTGTTATGAACGAATTTGACCTTCATTTTTGGAGCACATCAATAGTTTCTGAGATAAGCTCCCCCCCCTCTTCCATCTCAGAATCTAGTGATTTGCTATAAAAATCTAGGTAAAAAGTGTTCAAAACATTAAAACCACCAGAAAAAGTTTTGAATCTTACCTAACCAACCAAAACTAACGTAACCTATATACACATCAATATACTGTAGGTTCCCGTCTATGTACTCTACCAAAACTTAAACTAGATAATGTTCTTTAAATTTCTTGTATCTCTGACACTTCAGGCGGTGCACAGAGGACCATCAGGTAATGACTGGCCCTTCCCCATGAACGGTTCGCTGGTGGTGGGCCAGGAACAAGATACCTTAGGAGGAGGATTTGATGCCACACAGGTAAGGTTACAAACATTGATCACATTCCACCAGAGGGACAATCTTCGTAAGAGAAATACTCAAATATAGTGTCTTGAAAACAACCTTGGCCGGAATTTAATTTGTCTCATTAATTCATAGTTTAAATTACTTTTGTGTAAGGTATTATGGGTATTGTACCCATTCTGTGCTACCTTTGTTAACCAAATGATGTCTCTTAATTTTTAATTATTGATGTCTAGTAAAAGAGTATAGTATTATACAACTTAATTATTTAAGAACTGTAATATAGTATTATAACATCAACATGACGTTGTAGAACTCTCACATTACGTGATATTAGGTGTACATACGCTCTTGTACATAATTTTTTTGAAGGCTTACCTCTTGTTAATGCTCATATCCTTTTGTTCAAATTTAAAATGTTTCATTTTCTTGAGGCTAGATCCTCCGCGGAGACGTGACACAGGTGGCAATATGGGAGAGAGTGCTGGACGCGGCTGTGGTGCACCAGATGGCCAAGTGTGGGCCACAGGCAGAAGGGAGCATCTTCAGTTCTGACACCGCCCAGTTCGAGGTGTTTGGTGCCAAGGAGTATGAGGTGAAGACTTCCCAACTGTGCAGGTGAGGACTGTAGAGACAACATATAAGAACAACCATTTGGCTGGTGCCTGCAAGCAAGATTTTGATTCCCTGACGGATATTTAGTGGTGAAGACTTACCAACTGGAATGTTGTAGATTTGTAGAACATAAGGGCTTTTGTGACAACTGATGACCCCCATAAGGAGAAATCAACTTTGCAAACTATAGGAGTACCCTTTATTGATTAAATTTTCGAATGGTTTATTGATGACTTTTAGAAATACATGTATAGAAACATATATTCAAGTCATTTATTTAATTATTTTCCTTTCCGAGGAATCAAGAGGATTTAAAAGTTATAGGCACTGTACAGGTGTTTGAATTGACCAGTACTGTATGTGTAAATCATCTTAGTCTTAAAAGTTTATATACTTACAACAAGATTCTTCTCCATAGAGATGAGCCAAACTTCGTCATCCTACCGGAGGGCAGAAGATTTGAAACATCACGGTCATTGTGTGGGCTCCTGAATGGGTCCCTCGCCGTCCCCACTAGCAGTCAGCACAACCAGCTACTCACACACTACCTCCTCCCCTTTAGGGATATGTGTGTCCCAACTGCACCCTGGAAACTCTGGCTGGGGGTCATTGCACAACAGGGTGTATGGAAAAATATGGCCACAAAAAAAACAACATCATACACTAATTTTTCCAAGTTCACAAATTCTAGTGGTTTTGTTTTAAAATGTGCCAACCTCAGAGACGATGGCTTTTGGGAGGGGCAGTTTTGTGAAAGCACATTTAAGAGGTGTGCCGCTTGCAGCTTCAACCACAAGAGTGTTCTCCGTCTTCGAGGATTGTGTTTTGATACTGAGCTGGAGACGCAGTTTCGAGTTGAAGGTTCTGAGAAAAGTCGACCTTTTTTCCGCGGATATTATGGCCTCCTGATTACGTGGGATTTAGAGAGCAGGAGATGGCAAGTTGCAGACCCTGTTAAGAACGTGACGCTTATGTGGGCTACTGGGATCGGCAGCGATGATTATCCACTGGGTCGGAGGAAGTGGGAACTCCTTACAGATATTTGTGGAATAACAGCAGGCCAAGTTATACCAGTAAGCTTGTCAGAGTGTAGCGATGGATACTTCATGTGCTCCTCTGGGGAGTGTATTGCTTACCACAGTCGCTGTAACTTCCGTTATGACTGTCAAGATCAAAGTGACGAAGTAGATTGTTACATGGTTCAAGTTATAGGCGAGTTTCAAAGACAAATGCCGCCTACTGGTCTCCAAGGTACTGTTCTTCTGCTTACTCCAGAACTAACTCTTTCTCGCATCACTAGCGTCGACGATCTCAATATGGCTGTCACCTTAGAGTTTCAGCTCACTATCACTTGGGAAGATGACAGGCTAAAGTTTAAGCACCTGAGGAAGCTGAAGAATGGCACCATTCTAACTGACAATGATGCCAAGAAAGTATGGAGACCTGTATCCCAGCTGATGAACCTAGACAGTGGTCAGATGAATCTTCTGGGACAGAGTATCTTGGTCAGGACAGCCACTGATGTCATTCTGCCAGGCTTCAATGATGTTGATATGGGTAAGTATCTCTTCATGGATGTAATCTTCAAGTAGATAAATTAAATTGAAAGACAAGCTGGATACATGACAGTAAACAGTTCATCAAAAAATTAAGACTTACTGAAGGTTATAATCATTCCTGCAAAAAATTATCTCATTAATTGGATTTAAATAAGCTTGATTTGTCTCAACTAAAGTGAGTTCTTCCACAGACATGGTGTACCCAGGGTCAGCAAATAAACTGTCGATACTGCAACGTTACTCAGCAAGAGTCACCTGTGACTTCCAGCTGTACACTTATCCTTTCGACATCCATCTGTGCAATATAGGTCTTCAACTTCCTCCAGAGTACGATGGCTATGTTCGGTTCGCAGGGAATGGGGCAAAAATCTTCTACACAGGACCACAGATTCTTGCCATGTACAGTGTAAAAAATCACATCATTGCCTCTGCAGACGGCAATCAATTTATCATGAATTTTGAGCTTCATCGCCGGCAGGGTGTGATCCTGCTCACCACTTTTGTGCCATCAGGCCTGCTGCTGCTGGTGAGCTGGTCAACGCTCTTCGTCAAACTGGAAGCGCTCAATGTGCGGGCAGTCATGTCCCTCACAACACTGCTTGTCCTCTATACACTTTTTGCCAACATATCCAGATCTCTCCCTAACACAGCCTCCATCAAGCTCATAGATGTCTGGTTCTTTTTCATTATATTTGTCCTCTTTACCAATATTGTTGTTCATATTTTTGTTAGTAACGAAACTGTAGAGAAAAGAGAAACAAAGATATTTGTGCAAAATCAATCCCAGGAACATGTAAATAACTTACCCAAGAGTACTCAAACTAGGAAACTTATGTCTCTTAGGTACTATAGGGCCGTGATTCTTCCTCTAGTGGTTGTCTTGTTCAACATTATTTTTTGGTTGACTGTGTTTTTATGGTATTAAAGATGTCATTTTCGGAAATCTCACTACCAAAAATAAATCACAACTACATAATACTACAGTACTGTACTGTATATGATCCAACTGAAAGTTAATTCTCTCATAAATTATTATTGTTGATGGACTAATGTAATTACTAAACTAGTTACTGTATACTTAAAAACCTTACATGAAGCACAGTAATGTATTAGAATATCAACAACTATTCAGTGCAACAGGCCTACTTTCACATAATGATTGTACGTTAGCTCTTATTTCTGTGTACCGGTAAACATGTAAAGGGTAAGGAGACAGTTTTTACAAAAAATAATTTTACTACTTCAAAACTCACATAATTTGACAATTACTCTTCCTATCTTTTTATGCATTTTAAAATAACCCGCAGGGGAGCATGTAACTTACTGAAGAGCCGCAGTCTAAGGTGTTACATAATAAACCAGCAGATGAGCTGCGGTCAATTATTTTCCAGTTCACAATATTGGAGAATACCATACTAACAAAATACTGTGATCATCGTATAATATAAAGCTGATTCATACCAAAAAGATATAGTACCTTGAAATGTGAGGGTAGTCAAATTTCAATGCAGATGGCCATGAGAATGGAAAGAATAAATACAAAAAATAATAAACAGATTATAAAGGTGAGGTGGCTCTGTGAGGTGCCTCAATATAGGCTCTATGTCTATGACAGTTGTGTTTTAATACCCTTACAAAAACATATTCAATCTTCATGGTGGGATGATGTATAAACTTGTAAGAAATTGATCATCACATAAACATACTGGAAACACAGTTAAAAATGGATGTCAGGTCTCAAGTGTTTTATATATGGTAAGCTTCCATACACAGTTGACTACTTCAACTTCATAAAATCTGCTACCATGGATTTTATTTATAAAAATGTATTATACTCTGGCCTTGTCATAAAATAATGAGTGAATATATATAATACTACTCAAATACTAGGTACATTGAAGCTCACTTCCTGGGCTAAGAATCAACACATATCCTTTGGTTGTATTTCAATATGACACTTCCGGGGGTATGTGCCGTCGTTACTACCAACTCTAGAAAATGCAGTGTGTAAATAAATAACTAAAATGTGGAAGATTTCACAAAATATAAGTCAACCTTAACAACTGGTGATACTAAACAGCCTCAACCACAATCACCTGCAGCATTCACCAGTAAAAACTAGGGGGTAGTGACAGCTGTATCGTGTACATAATCCAGGTACTGTACTGTACTGTACTTCACACCACCAGACCCAAATCATCATTTTCAAAGATTAATGAACACTTGAGGAACCTTCACACAGGTACAATCCATATTCTTCCTCAAAGTTCAATATTGACTGAAGTCTCTGAAGTACAGACATAATCCAAACTGATAAAATATTGCAATATTCTACCATATTCATGTAAAGTTGTTATTAAAAAATAAATTAAATTAAATTAAATACTCACATAAGGACCATCTGTAACAACAATGTAATTCAAGATGAATATTTCACTAAAGATTACTTTTAAAATAAAATATTGAGAGTATGAACTACAAAAAACAGTTTCAATCCAAATCCATTAGTATGAAGTAAGTCGCTTGGCCCTGACTGCTACACTCAACAACAACTCAATACTGTACTCTAAGACCTGGCTCATCATGACCTCTTGCTCATACATCAACAATGCGAGCTCACCTCACTTCACCCTTTACAATCTACAAATCATGTAATTAATAGAAACAATGTGCCATCCAACTCAACAGTAATAAAACAAAAATCAGAAGCTCTGATTACTCAAAATTCCCATCAAAAAAGTTCTTGTACAATTGAGCTTCTAGTATGTTGCATGTCAAACTGAATATGGTTTATCAGAATAGAGTAATTTCTTGGAACTCTTTCGGGGCAAAACCCTTAATAGATATTTGTTTCATAATGGCAGTAAAGTTCCAAAATTACCAAATATTACACAATTATTTATAAATACTGACTGTAGGGCAACTGACCTATATTTACTATGAAATGATGAATGAACCCCACAACAAACACTATACATCTCTTATGTAAAAAAGTATCAAGAAACTTGGATAGGAGATTTACCAAACTGTGATCTGGATGACCAGACTGGTTTACTGAATAATCATGATTCTGGCTAACCAGTTCAAGGACAACTGAGGAATGGGATGTAAATCACTTGTTCTGTGTGAGTGTCTTGGAATGGTTAACTTTATATCAGAAGAGATAATTAACAACTGGACTGTAATTGCCTGTGCATTTCTGGCTGTCTTCCTTGACCTTAACTCCCTGTTTTGTTTTTAAATCAGATGCATGATGACTTTAAAAAAACATCAGTAAGTTAGTGTTACCCATTCGGCTGTAAAATTAGCAGTCTGACCCACACACCATAATGCCCTCATGTAGATCTGTTAAAATAAAACATATTATTTGACTGTAGATTTAAATCCCTGCTCAGATTCCTGTTTCTGGTAGTAAGTTATACAGTATTATCGGAGGTATGTTAGAAAAATAGTCCATAAACAGATGAAAAAAAAATAAATAACATTGATGTGGGAATGGAATCCATGTTCTTCAGAAATAGTAAAATCTGATTTAGTGTTACAAACATATTTCTGTCACTGTGGATTAACAACTGCTACTCTAGCCCTACACTGTACTGTATATTTGAAATTTCTTATTTTTTTTATTTGAGAAAAAATACCTGTGCAATCCTTTTTTTCACTTTTTGAACCATACAGCAAGACTCTGACCTTGAAGGAGACGGACCGCGAGAAAACTTCCCCTACCGTCCTGGATGACAGAGTAGACAAAGTACTGTACTGGGTCATCCAAAAAGAATGCCTAATTCTAAATGATTACTGGTATATATTAAAATCTGGACATTTTTTTTCCATGACCCTGTACATATTTCAACTTTTTTTTTTAACTCTTGCAGGCCCTGTCTCTATCTCCTACTATACTATAATACAGGATAGCCAGAACCAAGTGCTAACACAGACTCGTTTCATTCACTGTCATCCATTCATTCATGCACCTCTACTTTAAGAAGTTTTTAAGTCAAAACAGGGATGCTACAGAACTCATCTCCAGTATTGAATATAATAACTTAGTTCTGGCTTAAGATCAAGTTCAAAGTTTTAACACACACATGAGGCAAATAAGCTAGAACAACATACTGTATACAAATCATTAACATTAAAAAATGAGAGACAGAGAAAAAGCCTGATATTTTCTATTTCTGGTGAAACATGTAATTTCTTATACCCTACATGTACTGTATGTCCATCAACACAGCACCTAACACTACCCAACAATTCAAGAGATTAACAAAGTAACTTATCCTGGGAAGATGAAAAATTTCAAGCAAGACAATAAAATACAGATTTTGGTTGAAGAAAAGTTTCTCTTTGAAGGGACTTTCTCCAATGAAATATTACACTCTGATGTCTTGAATCTGGCTAGAGTTACAACACATATTTAGTGATCATATTACTCCCTTCTGCAATGTTAAGTTTCATGGACTATCCACCTCACATGCACCAACAAGGTACACTAGTACAGTACAGTAATAACAAATCAATTTCGGTATCGTTCGTCACAACAATATAAAGCATAAAATACACGAACAGGAGATAAATTATCAAGGAAAGTAATTTTTTACAGTTCTCATATTTCTCTGGTAATGACAACTCTTTTTAAAAAATGGTCACTGAACTTCTGTGCTGAATATGGAAACAAAATTTAGACAAGTACCTCTCATAAGAAGAAACATTATGTCCAATACTTTACATAATAACACTTAATTGTACAAGTAACCAGTTTCAAAACATAAACAAGAAGCTTGCACGGCCGAGCCTGACCACCAGTGTGGTAGTGCTAAGCCAAAAAGGATTAAACATTGCATTGTCAACCAATTACTTTCACTTATGTCCACTTTATCTAGACAAATTCTGTGTCAGTACAAGTGATGTACACAAAACCTTATCACACTTATCTTCAAACACATATAGCTTCTTGCCTACACACACTGCTGTTTTTCCAAGTAACTCATACACTAATTAAAAAAAAAAAAGAAAAAAAAAAGCTGGAATTAGCTTAGCACCAATAGATTCTATCACTACACACATCAAGATACAGTGGCACAAATTGGAAGTAGCAGTAATCCTTCCTTTACAGTACTCTCATTAAGACGAGGACTTTCTGTTGAAACAAATTGATCAATAAACAATAGTAATAAAACAAATCAATAAAAAATGCCAAAAGGAATATGATTGTAAGGCGTCTCACCCAAAGACTTCCTCAGACACACAAGATTCATCAAAATGAGAGAAACTCAGTAAGATATAAAGGGCACTGTCATAAAGAGTAGCAGCATCCATTCCACACTGATTCTGAGGTCTTCCATATAACTACCTTGGGATGGGAGAAAGAACACCAATCTACATCAAGATATTTCAGTTGAAAATATCACCCAAAAGTGCAACAAGAAGCGATATCTATAAACAACAATAAACAAGTAATGGTAATAAATAAAAATGAAGTAATACAGCTGTACACCGAAAGCCTTCACATATCCCTTACATGACCGCCTGGGCACACCGTCACTCCACATTCACCTCAACTATGGTACTGTACAAATCTCAGTGTAATCAACTACTGTACTGCCTGTTCACCTCCACAAGGAGACCAACTACTTTACTGAGGTGAAACTGGTCTGTATAAATATAGCCATGACTGACTAAGACAGATTACAGCAGGAGCTCCTTTAAGAGAACTGAAATTACCACACAAAGAATGAATGGACAATTGAGAGAATTAAAAAAAAATGCAGAGGCAAACAGTGCTACCCTGTCCATTATCAATTATAAACAATATCGCAAATAACACCCAACTTGTCTCATGCAACCTGTACAAAATATGGTGAACAATACGTACTTACATAATGTTAAAAAAGGTAGAGGGAATACTTTTTTAAGAATATTAATGGCTATAACTGTAAATTAACAAAAACAAAACACCTATCAGCTCACTTAAAATGACAAGCTTTGTACCCAAAGTAGTTACAGCAATTCTAAAATCACAGAGCAGACTAGTTTTTATCAAGAAGACTTTTGCTGGCCATTACAACAAAATACAAAGAAGGGTCAACACAGTATATGTGAATTTCTACCATTAAATCATTTTAGTGTACATCTCAAAGCCTGAATATTTTCACGCACACCTGTTATTGACAGTTTAATGTGCACACCCGACTGATCCCCGTGTACAGTACAATTCAGCGTATGACAACTACATGTACATCCCATTGCCTCTAAGTTTCAGCAATTACCCCAGTTGTTAAGGATTGCCAGACATACCAAAGAGGTTAAAGGTTCTCATGAATACCCCAGTAATTGGAAGGTTCCTATGTGGACCCCTGGTGTTGGGGCTTCCCGAGTACATCCCAGTTAGTTGAAGATTTATTTGTGTTTCTATTGACTTTCATAATATTCATTAAAACTGAATAGCTGATTGCCAGTATTCAAACACGAGGTACTGAGAAAACTAGAAAAATAAGTCCTACTGAAACAACTCTATGACTGCAAATCATTATGAACTTGGTAAGTGTTGAGACAGTCTACTTAATGCACATTCTACACCCACAGAGACACTAAACAATTCAGTCTCCATACACCTTGATATATCAAATGCCACATTAACCAGAAAACTGGTTTCACACACCATCACATTAAGTTTTTATGTGCATTTTTAAATTTTATAGATTGATAAGCCAAAGAACTAGATACACATTAAATAATGTAAATAACATAAATACTGCAAATATAATTTACCGCGCCGTCAAGATTCTGGTGTTAACCAACAGGTGGATAACAGTGTGCAGTATACATGCATCCAAAAGTTGAGCCATACAAATACTAGGAGGTTAGGACCATGCCACTACTGTACTGTACATACTCAGGTAACTCAATGTTGAAATATTTACAACATATACAGAACACTATCATCCTTATCATCATTCTAACACCAAATCATAACACTTAATAGCCCAATGCCACCTTCACCTGAGCAGTAGTAGTCCTGATTATAGTGGATTCTTTTATTTATTCAACTACTGTACAGTAAATATTATTTTCACTGTATTCTTTGTGGTGAAAATTATTTCTCATAAGGTGAAATTTGATACAGTATTGATAAAGAGGATAGTCCAGTTATTACCTGACCTAACAGCAACAGTACAGTGCAACCAAATCATAAATCAACCCAACTTTGATAATTCTTTTTTAATTTCTGTTGAGGACATGAAGTGATATATTGAACAGTTGTTGGCATAAGTCCCTCAACACTTTTGACAATACAGTATTTAACATCTAGTTGAGAGAGAAATAAGTAAAGAAGACTGGAATTTTCATCTTAATTTACTCAGATTTTTCTTTATATTTCAGTTCTGTACTGTATTTCTAAACCATGTTAGTCCGGTATAATCTATAAATAAAAAATGCATTCCTCAGCTATAATCCACTCACATATATGACCCACAAGCAGATGCCAGACTCTACCAAGTGTTGAGGTATTTCAGCAACAACTGTACATGAACCTCTAAATGTTGTTCTGATCCAGCCACTAAGCTCTACCCACTTTTGAGCAAATTTCACCATTCAATTTTTTTATAACTGACACAAATTCGACCTATAAGTACTGTACTACTGTATACACATATATTTATCTGATGTAATATTATGTATGGAATTTACTCAGGAAAACTGGCTATGGTTTCCATGGCTCCAGTTCGAGCTCCAGCATGATTATTTACCGGGTACTAGTGGTGTGATGGACTTCATCACATGGGTCACACTGGGTGTGCATAATATGGGTTTACCCTGAAAACATAACAATCACCTCTCAAGAGTATATTAAGTCCTGTCTCTCGGGGATTTAGATTTATCCACTGTGGGCTGAAGAAGTGCTAAAGAAGCTTTGTCCCTACTTGCTGCATCAGTGTAAGCTCAGATGTTGATTAATTTACCAAAGAGGGATTTAATTTTTAGGAACAATCAACAAAAACTTATTTAAATTCAGAAACAAAATGTGTGATTAATAATGACATACTTAAGTAATTAGAAACAACAATACTCCAAGTTTCTCACTGTCAACACAAAGGGGAAAATGAGGATAAGTATTTTGTGAATGTGTCACTTCATATACAGTATACTAAGAGTGTAAAGAAAGCTTAATTACAAAAGTTCTCTACTGGTAAGAAAATATATTGGAAAAATAAGTCAGTTCAGTACTAGTATAGGAACTGGACGAAATATTAATAATATAAATTTTGTTTCTGGTATAAAAATGTACTGCACAGATTTGTTATTGTGTTGCCACAGTGATATTCCTCATGAAGCTGATAGCCTATAGGAAGCCAACTTCCACAAGCAGCTTCCAGAGATCACTCACAAAGGTTATATGTTGAAGGGTTGTCTGTGTTGTGATAAGGATGGGCAGGAAGCTATTAGATGGTTTCTGGTGTGTTTATTAATGTTTCTTGAGGTCCATAACACAATGACGAATATAAAGAAATTAGTCGTTGAATTATATTTCCAGCAAAGAGGAGGCACAGCTGTTGAAAAAAGTGACTTACAAACTGAACTCAAAAACATGCAATGGGCCAAGGAAAGAATTTATGACTTCCAGGAGCAACACCAAACTTTCTAAAAACACTTCTCTGATAGCTGAGCTCATTAGCCATATAGTCACTCAATACATGTTGGTAAAAGCAAGTAAAAACCTTAAAATTCCAAGAAAGAAATAATGAAGTTTGAAGGAAAGACTCCACCATCTTATTCACGACACAGCTTCCAACAATAACGATTACTTGGAGCTGAACTTACAGGGTAGTGAGAGGAGGAAGCTGATTATGTTAAAGGCATTTCATGTGAGGTATAGTTCAGGGAATCAAAGTCTTATGGAAAAATACGCACACACAAGTAACACGAGCAGTGAATAACAAATTACCAGATCTTATAAAGCTAAAAAAATGTATAGACAGGAATGTGGAAAAAGAACCATTGTGAGAGAGAGAGAGAGCCACTGGAAAAGGTACATCCCACCCCCCCTACCCACCCACCAAAAATGACATTAACTTCTAAATCTGTTTTGACTGGCAACAAACCCAACAATTCTAACCAAAATTAAAATGAGACCAAATATGTTTCAGGAAAATTATAGAATGGAAAACAAATTTGTGATGTGTGGACTGACGGACGGACAAACGGGCGGATGTAGGGACGGACAGCATCACTGCCATGTCCCCCTAATCTTTTGGTCGAGGGATACAAAGCCAATTCAAAGATCAAGCTGTTCGTAATTTAGAAGAAAAAAATAAAAATAAATAAATAAAAATAAAAGTGGCTGCTGTCATAGATCATGAGAACACTATGTAATACTGACAAACACCAATGAACAACTTAAAAGTATGGAGGACATTTAAAAAAATATATTCTCTGGAAAATTAGTTAGGGAATGAACACCTGCTTTAAGTCTTTCTCTTTCTTTCACCGAGAAAAGGAGGACTGTTATACCTGTTGATGATGATGATCCACACACATCAAGAAGTAAGAAACTGTTCAAGAAAAATAAAATCCCACATATTTCAACTCAATACTTGAACTATACTTGGATGTGTTCTGGAGTAACACCTACAAATCCAGTTCTTTTATCTGGCTGTATAACTCTACTAGGTACTCTGTCAAATTGGCTATGCTGGTTTTCACATCAATTGATCACAGAGCTCTAGAATCAAACATTACATCTTGATCTGCTAGGTGATCATCAAGTCTTCTCTCCAAGGTTAAAACTTTTCGAGACCTGACTTGGTTTCAACGTCTATCCGAGTCTCTACCTGCTGTACCGTGCTATCTATTACTGTTCTCTCCGAGGATCACCTACCATAATGATAACAATAGACCTAATCTTTTATGACATCGATAAGATGGTTTGTTACCTGTCATATTACCTTACAGGAAATATGATACTATCTGTCTATCAATACACCATTTTACTTCACGTAAATAATTTGCACAAATTTTACCTACTGGCAAAATCATAATACCTATCCCCCAGCTTCTTTATTGTGGCTATTAGATAATTCTCCTATTTTTGTAATAAACTTTAGTCTAAATATGAGACAAAATATTGAATATGGCAATCACAGATTTGGAAAAGTTATGACAAAAGTTAAGATATAAATTATGGAATGTAATAAATGTGTGGTTGGGAGAGACAAGGATAAGTTACATCACGACACTGTCATCTGAAGCTGTGTTGGCACGGTGAATAAACAAAACAATACAGTAAACTCCTGCTATGTAATGGTCACAAATACCTCGGGTCACTGTTTTAAGGTAAACTCTTCAGGGAACTCATTTTTTAGCGCAGCAAGATATATTAAGTAATGTGGTCTGTAGTGGGACAGTACTGCCAATTGACAAGTTATGGACATCTTGGTTGCTGTCACTCAGTAGGCTATACAATAAATCATGTACTGTATACTGTACACTTAATAGTTTCCTACTCGTTAAATAAAATTTTCCCAAGTTCCATGTATGTGGTACTTGTAGCTGTAATAAAGATTTTCTATCTTTTTAAACTAAATTTTAAATAGTGTAATGTTTATAAAAAGGATTTACATTTAATACAGCCAAATATAAACACATGCTAGCCAAGACCCATGAATGAGTCTACAATTCATCAATGGTTAACAAGAATAGTGATCACAGGCTGGTGAAGAGTCCAGATTCTCAAAGGTTCATAAAATTCCAAAGATTCATGAATGTGCTAAACTGGTCATTTTTTGGGTCTGCTTTCTGGTCTTATCTCATCCCTTCTAATTTGTTTCACCTCTGGTTGTTCAATGCTGTCTAAAGTACCCAACACCGTGTAGTCAGGGTACTGTACCTCTCTCTCGCTCTCCACACCAAGGCAGCAGCAGATAGATGGTAAGAAACAAAGGTGATGTGGAGCTGTGAAAAAATGTTCCTGCCACAGCAGATTCAGCATTACATAATATCATTTAGATTCTTGCTTGCTGTGGAGAATGTAACTATGTTCTTTGCTGGGGTAATAGTGACATTTATTGTATCAAGTCAACATTGGACTATGCTCAAAATTTCCATATAATTCAATGTGCAACCTCAGAGCAGCCCTGTTTTTCCATTGGTTTATGAATCATAAAATAATGGTTGGCTGTATTTCAGCAACTATCATAAAAGACCACATGACTGGTATAACAGGAGCTTACTGTACTGTACAGTATTTCTAAATGTAAGTGAGGCAATAATGCTCACTAAATTGATGCAACCTTAACAAGACTTGTTGAATGAATTTATAGTTTTTCTGAGTCTTTCAAGTTTTTTTTCATTTATAGCAAAAAGGTGGCCAGAACCAAAAGCAACACACACACACACACTCCAAACATTCACCATCATTCATTATCTCAAACTGCTGTAACATATGTGCTCTGGTATGTGTTTCTTATCCACAACATGGTACAAAAATTCAAATCTGGTGCTATTGCTTCATACAGCCCACCACCATCACATCCATGCTCTATTATCACACAGCCAAACTTCTGCTTCCTAGATGTCCAACTTCCTTCTGTCCTTCCTGGTATTGCCCTCGTCTCCCACCATCCACCCCCGAATAAAACACTCCTCTCACCCACTTCTTCCTACCCATTCTCTCAACATGTCTACCCCCACTCTAGCAAATCCTGATTGACATTCTGACAAACACTGTTAACAAAATATTCTAATAATAAATACAAATGGGTCGCTTACTTATGGCTGATGTAGAAGATATGTGCACGTAAAACTGACTGCTGGCATACAGACTGCAATTTAACGTACGAATATGTATAATAAAATTTTTTTTTTCCTGAACTGCAACACTTTGGTCAATGTTTCTGAAGCATGATTATAAGGACATTTATCCTACTTCATGTTCACACTGACAAGTCTTCTGTTTTTTGTTTTTTTTTGCATGTTATAGCATCTTTAAATCACAATTACAATTAATTTCACTAACATGTGTCAACAATCTTCTATCAATTTCTACATGGGAGTAGCAAGCACCCTGATGATCAATGGTTTTCACAGCAGGACACATGTAAAAGGTCTAGCCTACCCACCAACTGGTTAACTATTCAAAATATATGGATACAAAGACAGATTAGATCATTTAAATGGAAGAATACCATGAAGAGTGAGAATACAGACCACCTCATTGTAACTCCACAAAATGAAATAAGAAATGCAAGTGTGGGAAGAGGAATATTCAAAGATATATACAATGACATACGGATGAAAGTGAATGGTAATATACATATGAGGATGTGAGAGGAGGGAGGGAAGGGAAATGGTGGCAAGTATAACATGTAATTTTCCTGTGATATAAAATGAATTAAAACTTTTTAAAAGTTATTTGAGACCATAAAAAATAATGCTTTAAATACAAACTATAAATCTACTTATGTTAATTACGGCAAAAGAGAGAAATGAAGTTTAGAAGATGAGAAATGAAGACAGTGTTATCGGATGATTTGTGTGATGATGTTAAGCCCTCCAATGAAGAACAGGGAAATGGGTGAGTACAATACAGTGAAGATGATGTATGTCAGACTGGAACAGCTGTCACCTCACACTGAAAAGTCAAGGTGAGGTTCATGGTCAGGATGCACATCTATCCTATGGTAAAGGCCTTGGTGTTAAAGGACATTATCTCGGTCAAGAAGAAGAGGTTGAGATACTAAGAAGGATAAAGAGAAAGAGGAAGTGGATAAAAAGGAGGAGGAGGGGGCAAACAGACTTGATTTATCAACTTTACCTTGCAACTTTCACCTATTGAGCTATTCTAGATACTACTTCTGAACTTCTCTTCTGATTGGCCCTCTATTGGCAACACCTTCCTGCACTAAAAAAAAAAAAAAACCCACTGGAACTTCAATCAATAAACTACTGTGTTATTGCAACCCCGAAAAAATGGCTAAATTTCTACCATTTCACTGAAGGAAAAAAAATCCCCATAATAATGATCAAAATACTGGACTGAACAAGGAATTAACTTTCAAGAAGATTATTGTACAAGAAGCATAATAATACCTTTGAGGGTAACTGTCTGGGATATTCTGTGATAAAAAAATTTTGACCCTGGAAAATAAACCAAATGGTAAAGCCTAAAATAGACGATTATGTTAAAATGGGAAACGTTCCTTAATTTTTACGGACCATCACAACAATAAGTCTTGTCAATACTATTGAGCAGTATACTGTATATGCATTCCTCCACACACTTATTATGTCCAGATTAACCAATGAGTGTATGGCTGCTGTCAAGTAAAAGTTTATCTTAAGAAAAGATCGCAGGTATTTTTAATATTTATTCTAAAATAAATGGTGATAATGACACCAGGTTGTGCGAAGCAAGACACACAAACTAGATGGATATCTGAGGCCTCGCTGTGGAAGGGAAAAACCATGGCAGAACATAGCAATGGTAGCAATATGAATGTATGGATGAATGAATGACAACAAATGAGATGAGTGTGTGTGTGTTTTTTTTTCTTGATTCTAGCCACCCTAAAGTGAGTGAGAAAAGGCTTAAGAGTATAATAATAATAACAATAATAGAAAATAATAATATAAATACAGCAAGTACGACAAACGTGCAACAGAGCAGGAAGTGCGGCCAACAACCCTCCACTGGCCATCGGGGCTTGAAGATGCAGTTGGGAGAGAAAGAAAAACGTCTGGGTATACATACATCAAAGGTCAACCTTCCAAATACAGAATACTGAACTATAACCAACCACAGGCCTAATAATAACCATAAAAAAGCTAGTCATGCAAATACACACAGGTACTCACTATGGACCTAGATTCCTTGAACACTGTCCACCTTTGGCTACTCTACCAATCCCTTGTCTATGATGGCTGCTTGGCATTATGGGCTCTGTTTGTGCCTCACCAATAATACTTCATACTGGCAGGGGGGGGGGGTAACCACCTTTTAGGACACTGCTAATAGGCTTTAGTAAGATGACCACATTGGATACCAATTATATGTAGCAAGTACAGTTTACAACTGTAAAAAGTAACATTAAAGTCATGTGTCCTGACAGTATAAACATTTGTGACAGCTTTTAATATATATGTATAAAAAATGCTGATATAGTAGGAATGAACTTCTGAGATTTTCTATAACAAAGGGTCAGCATATAGAAAAGAAGAAAAAATACAGAACAAATTATAATCGCATCAGTACTCACGGACAGTGTGGCAGACTTAACTGTTGTACTGCATCGTGACACTGAATAATGTTTACCACCAAAAGATAAGCCAATCAAAATATGCCTGCATAATTCTACATAAAAATTATCTTGAACTCTTGGTGGAGATCGGTAAATTTTTTCCAAAATAAGCCAAACATCTTGGGGTGATTCCACTGAACACATTTTAAAATACCAATCTGTTTCAAGTACCATATGTGTTTTATTCACTTCTCCAGCTGTCATCAAAGCACACTAACTAGGGTGAGTGAATGCAATATGAATAAATGGCCTCAATCACTATCACACGTAAGTTTGATTCTTACATTACCATTTACACTCGCACTGACTGAAAAAAAAATACTGTAGATAAAATTACAAATAAACACAAGATCTGTACGAAACATTACTCTAATAAAACACTGATCAAGGCAACCTGTTCATATTGTATCACCTCACTCTTTACTTCCCTTCCCTTAGTGTCCAGTCTGACCAACAACAACAAGGATGCCTAACATGACTCAAAATTAACACCAGTATAGATATATAATAGAAATTACTTTAAAGGAGAGAGTGTGGCAGTGTCTCCGATAATTCCAGGACGTTGGCTTAATAAGTTAACTTTACAATCTGACACTGGACGTCCCGATTCACTAAAATCCGCTTGGCCTGCTCCGTCGCTGGCTTGGGACATGAGCGAGTTGTCACTTACGTCTCCCACCGGACCCGATCCGCCCGTTTCCGAGGCAGAAAAAGAATTCCCCGCACTAAGGTCAAACCCGACAAGATTTATGTTATTTTCCTGCACGATGTTGGACAACGCCTGTGATATAGTGTTCAGCTCCTGCTGGTTGAACGATGATGAAATAATAGAGTCAATAGGGATGTTACCAGCAACAAGCTCATTCAAGGTAGACTCGTCCAGACTTAAAGTGGTGCCTTCTTCAGTCATTGGAGGTGTAGATGAGGCAGTGGTGGTAGTGGCGGTGGTAGTGGTGGCAGCAACAGTTGGTGTCGTACATGGGGGACTATGAGTGGGGGTCTGGGAGCTGACTGAGTGGTCGTCGTCATCGCCCTGATCTGTCTCTATATCTCCCTTGTCCTCTGCAGTACTCTCAAACTCCCCTGTTTTACCTTCTGCAACAAATACAACCTTGCTAAATTACAGTCTGGAAATTTATTTTATAACGTCTTCATCTGTGTGACATTAATAATAAAATTATCGTAAAATCGGCTAAAAATAAGTCATACATACTCTAAAACCCAGTATGACTTCACACGACAATATAAACAAAATAAATAAAATATTTAACAAAATATCTAAATTAGCTACAATATATAGATGAAGAAGTGAGTAACCAATGGTGAAGTTACAACCTAAATCCTTGGTAATTTATTCTCTTTACTCTTCAGTGCTTTAACCTTACTATCTTTTTTTTTTTTTTTTTTGACAAATATCTAATAGAATCTTAGAGTTTATCTTCCTTTTTATTTTATTTATCTCACATACAGTAAGAGATAAGTGATACTCTATTTTTAAAGCTGGACACAGTGTAGTGTATTACAACAGTAGTAATGTACTCTTATGCCCATGTTGAGTTTCTTCAATCATCTACAGTATCATCAAAGATTACATTCCAGACACCTGTTATATAACTGCCAATAGAACTGAGTTACAACTACCGTACTGTACTATGCAGTTTCACGATCAGGTACAGTACAGAATTCGTGGATCAGTTACCATGTAAACTGGGAGGCTCACCTGGAGCATCAAAGAGTTGTGTTAACTCATGATCTGGGATGCGGTTTAGTACATCCTGGAAATCCCGAGGATCTAACAGACGAGATGCAGCATCCAGACCTTCGACCATGCCCTCCATGTCATCGTCCAGTTCACTCTCCTCCGCCTCGGCTAGAGAATCTGTCGAGGTCGTGTTGTTATTGATGGGTAAAGTGACACGTAACTACACAAATATATGAAGGAGGGAAGCACTGTTGTTAACCTTCAGGTAACAAATCTGTGGAAAAGCACCAGAGGAAAGTTTACACACTATTCAAGGTAGTAATGAATTGTACAGGAAAGTGGATGAGAAAATAGAAATGGGTTTCTCATTTTTTAAATTAAATTTAGTGAACATAGTTTTTTATTTTCACTCTTTCAGGCCATTTTATGCTATACTGCAAGGTGGCTGAAGTCAAATGCACACACATACCAGTACTTTCCCTTCATTTACTGTCATTTATTCACTTAAAACTACTGCAAAAAATGTGTTCTAATAAGGTCCTATTCTTCAACAACAAAATCCTAAACATCTATTGTGCTTAGCTATCATTTCTCACTTCACACAACCTAGCATCACCCATCACCAACAAGTCTTTCCCTAAAAATAAAAATAAATATCAAGTCATTTAAACATTTTGTTGCTTCTTAGACATCTCTCTCTCTTTCTTTCTCTCTCTCTAGATCCACTGTACTTATCTTTTCTCTCCTTCCCATTGCCCCCACCTCTCTCTCTTTTACTATCTACAGTACATTCTCCATCTTACCATTCCATCTCTACCCATCTTCTTCCTACAAACCAACGCCTGAAATATAACAATCTGTTTACCAATGTTTCACTTCCCATTCTCTCAATATGTCCAACACTCCTTTCACTACCACATTTACCTTACCAGTTATGAACTATTTCAGTCTAGTACTATGGGAGTCTTGATATACTTTGATTCACCCAAAATGAGAAAATGCTGAATGACCTTATTACTATAATTTCCTTTAAAATGTTTATGTACCTGGACCATCCCACTTAGCTGGGAGGTGTGTGACACTGACAGATGGAGACATTCATAGGTAGAAATACAGTACATGAACTGGTTCCCAAAGGTATGAAACATTTACTTAAACCTTTGAATTTTTTGCCATAAGATAACTTAACCATTTGAGTACAATGAATTAACCCCTAGAGTACTGTGATCTCAATCCTTTCAATACAATGATTAATCCCTTAAATACAAGGTCACTGTATTCTGGAGGTTAAATCATCACACTCACAGTAATAATGATCCCTCAAGATAATAATTTATCCAGTCAACAGTCACAGGTATTATGACCCACCAATTCAGGCGAGGAAATTCATATTGTTCAATGTGAAGAGAAAAGATAAGAGGGAAAAAATCTGTCAGGAGGTCAGAGTAATGGTAGTGATCTGATGAATAGGGTGGGAGAAGGTTGGGGTGAAAGGACAGTGTTTACAAACAAGTGTTGGTGAAACACAGGAATGTGTGTGTGATGTTGAATAGGTAAGAGTAGTATATGGAAAAAGACTGAATGTATCATTTTCAGTGAGTGAGTGAGTTAGTGCATATGAATGATCTTTTTAACACAAAAACAGAGACTGACACCAGCAAAACATCAACTGACCTGTACATGATGCTGTTGAGAAATGTGGGGATGTTTGTGGTGTGGTGGGTGAAGGCTGTGGGGAAGAGAGTGAGGACTGACTGGCCATGGGGGGTCGTACACTGGTAGAGGGAATTACTGAACAGGTAGAATTGGAAGATCTTCGCCGTTTCTTGCTTCGTTTACCGTATCTTGATAAAATTGGCATTTTGTTCTTTTTCCGAGATCTCTTGGGCTTTGGAGTTTCTTCCAAAACCATTTTAACATTATTTTCCTGGGGGCCACAACAAAAATTCATTATTCAATCAGAAAATATGATTTAAGCAGAACAATTTCAAAATTGTATTACCCAAGCACCCAGGCTACATCAATCATATCTTGAGTCTAAACAAATATAATCAGCCACTAAGAGGAGAGTCAGGCAGTTCAACATTCATATTATTTTCCTTTCAACCTTATGAGGTATTTTAAAGCACAGCACCACAATGGATGATGGACTGCCCTAAACTGTACTTCACATTGTACAAAATCATTAATTCTCTTTCATAAAAAAAATCATCACTCCTTTAAATTATTCACACAAATACAATTCTATTTATTAAATAAACTTAACATGTAAGACCACACAATGTAGGTTCATTATAAATCACCTTAATATATCACTATAAATTTAACCTCTCCTCCACATCAATTACTTGAAAAATCACCATAACAAACATCAGAGCAGTTCACTTTTGTAATTTAACTGTTAAAAATTCCTCACCTGTGTTTTACTATGCTGTGAACACAGTGGAAGCTCATGGGAAACGTCAAATACAGGTACCCGACATAATGTGTTATCAGGTTGCCGCGCAGTGCAATGAGTGAACAGCTGCTGATCCACATTATACATGATATGACGTATGCAGTGTCTAGTTCCAGGTAAGGACAGCTCCCTGCACTCTCCTCCACCTTCACCATCATTGTAGACACACTCACGTCGCATCAGCACCGAAGACCTAAACCTACAGTAGAGGAATTACAAGTGAACAAGGCTGCCAATAAAGGTTGGGTAAATACACCACCTTTCCACATAGAGTCCATGGGGTCACAACTCCCAACACTCATGTAAGGGGAAAAAGGTGAAGGGTGGCTTTCATCCTCCTATTATTCAATTCCCTTAATTTTCAACTATCAGACTCATGTGTAGGTACTTAAAATAATAAACACAAAGAGCAGAATTCATGGTTATCATTTAAAAGCCATTTATAATATACATCAAATAATTATTACTTGCATTATGAGAAAATGATAGAGTACTGCAGTACAGTGATCCCTCGGTTAACAAACGCCTCAGTTAATGAAAAAATTTCAGTTAACGAATTCCTTACGAATGTTTCCCAACATGTTTTCGCCTGCTTTTGCCTGCTCACCAGCTGTAGTATTAGTCTGCCAATACAGTAATCGGTTTTAGGGCTTAAATTCGTTCCCATTTGAGTAAATATCAAGAAGGTTGTACTATTCAATAATTTTCCAAGTCTTATATTAAAGTTTTTAGTCATTTTAACAATTATTTAACATAATTTAAGTAGAGGGAACTAGTTTTTAGCGCACCAAACAGCCACTCAACACACCCAAAATGGCATCAGTGTGTGTCCCTCCTCAGTGGAGGAAGCTTCTTGCTTGAGACTCTCTTGAACATAAACTATTTTTACATTTTTACAGTACAATTATTGGTCATTCTGAAGTTTATTTTACATATTGACAATATATTATGCAGTGCAGTGTTGATTTAAAGAAAATAATCTTGAATTACACCAAGAGAACTCAAATTTTATGGTGAACTGGTGCCATGGGGCGACTTCTCTTCCACCCCAATGCCTTCTCTTCTCCCTTCTCCTCCACCCCCATTCTAATTCCCATCATTATCATCATCAACCAGGAGCCTTCTACATGCACACTTCAAAGTAAGTGTACTTTACTGCATTTATTTTTAGTTTGTTTGTAATTTTCGGTGAGCTGGAACCAATTACCCAAAATCCCATTGAAACAATGCTTTCGGTTAATGAAATTTTCGGTTAATGAACGACCTTCTGGAACGAATTGTGTTCGTTAACCGAGGGACCACTGTAAAGGGTGGCATCCCCTAGGACCACATACCTAGATTTAATTTTTGGAGATTCTTGGTTAACTTGTGAAGTCCGGTAGAGGCAGCAAGCATCTGCAGTGAGGCGGGGATGTGTGCGAGCAGCTTCTACCAGTCTCTGCGTTAGAGCGCACCGTCTCTCAAACTCCCATGCACGAACTTCAGTACGCACACGAGATGCGATAACCTAAGACAGAAAACGGTCCTCAAATAACAATATATTCGCAATTCTACATATCCACAAAGTCTTCAACACAAAATCAACTACAAGTAAGGATGTTTCCTCTCATCAATTAGGTGATACAGTACAAGGTTAACATAAACCTCCAAAATTGAAATACAATGTGGAAATACAATGTGAATGTGAAAGGAGAGAGAGAGAGCAGGTGACAAAGTGTACAATGTGGAATGAAATAATGAGAAGCCAAGAACATAACACATCAGATACAAAATAAATAAATAACTGCTTTTCTAACCATGACAAGTGCGAGTGGATTATAAATAAGATTTAACAAAAGATAGAGGTGGAGTGTCTTGAATGACTGAGAGAAGTGAGCTGAGGAAGATTAGCACGATCCACCCATGATGAAGTATTGGTGAGAACAAGACCGACAGACACACAGACTATTTTAATCAATGATCCACTAACCTGTCTTCTGTGCGAGGACAGAGCAACTGCGAGGGTAACAGACCGCTGACAACTGGAGCCGCCCGGCAACCGCGATAAGGCTGTAGCCGTGGGGTCCGCCCAACTCTGCTGTCTTCCACTCCCTTCATCACTACTGTTCACCCAACTTTGGTATCTCTCATAAGGGCCATCAGGAGGGTCTAGCCAGCCTTGTTGACTCCCACAAAGATCATCTGTGTCGCTGCCATCACTCTCCTCGCTCGTCTCAACACCTCAAATTATGAAACAAAACACATGAATTCCCCAGACAATGATGTAACATTTCTAAATATGTACAATGGTATACAGTATATTAAGGGCACAAATCAATTATCTTTAATGCCCACTAATAGATAACATAGTTTATAAAGCCTGACAGAAGCTGTGGCATCTTACCTTCAACACTAAAGTCAACACACAATCCATCAGTGTATGTCCGAATAAATACAAATCTATCCGAGCGATGGCAACAAAATGTACGTTAACCAAATGACATTAACACCAAACATAAATACGTTCACCATTACAGGCAGCAGAGAAGCTATATAATGTATGGTACCTTTTGAGGCTAGAGGACACTGGATAATTTTACCTACTGGCATAGTAACTCTTTGATACCTGGACTACTCTTTGATACCTGGACTCCTCATGACTAAATGGGGAAAAATTAATCATCCCCAGCCCAAGATCCACAGTTAAATCCCTCAAAAATGGACCTCTTAACTCACTGACTGATACTGACTGTTTAACCTCAGATGGTAAGAGGCTGCCAACTGGGAAAAAAATATGTAGCAATGTTAAATCTTTCTTGACAATTATTCAAGAGTCAAGAAGTATCAAGGCAGTATACTGTAGCTTCGATGCCTCACTCTCCATGATGTTTTCTTTTTATTTTCTACAGCGAACAAATTATAGAAATGTGATAAACTGATAAATGCCAACCTATTAACAGATCAAACTGGTGGTCAAATACTGTACAGGAACTCTGCACTCTGATGGGCTACACTAACCCTTCACACCTAAGGGTTGTCACTCCAAAAATGTAGGAAACAGCAGTAACAATATTTTTTATAATTTAATGTCGACTTATTGTCTAAATTTGTTGTAAACAAGGATTGGCAAATTACTACATAAGATGATACTGTATTACAATGTTAAAAGAAAGAAATCTTTAGTTTCACAAAGATAAACCACCAAAAGTCACCATACCTAAGGGAAAGAGATCGGAGTTATAAGCGTAATGTTTTTCCCGTAGCGTGTGGACCCGTAAGAGAGGTTCGGGAAGAGTGGCAGCAGCGGCACTGGTGATGGCAGGTGGCGGAAGCCTCCTAGGAGGTAGGGTGACCACCCGAGGCTGGTGGGTGGCCACTGAGGGCAGGTAGGTGGCGGGGGCCATGACTAGACTCCTACCAGGGGAGGCCGAAGTTGATGCTGAGGTACACAACAAAGATATTAATATCTTACAAAAGACATTTTACTGTTTGACCTTTTTTGCTCAATAAAGTCCATTAAAAATTTATAAATAAATGCTGATTGTTCAGGTCATAACACCATCCACCCTATTGGCACACGAGGAGACTTAGTAATATATGCTGATTGATGAAAATATACAGATATGAAAGAGAATAAAACTGAAAACAAGAGTCAGTAGTATATATATATATATATATATATATATATATATATATATATATATATATATATATATATATATATATATATATATATATATATATATATATATATATATATATATATATATATATATATATACATACTGTATAATATAAAACACAAATGGTTCAAAACACTAACAGCTATTACCTCAAGCACAGGCTACATCCATTACCAGTGACTTTCAATTCTAATAACAAAGTAAAAATCAGAAGACAGTTCCTCATCCTTCTTGCTACCAACAACTACATTAGACTACTGTACTATAAAAAGTAATTAGTAATAATTAATGTAATACAGTATGACCCTAAGTTCTATTTGTCTGTGAGTTCTTGGGGTCTCATATACAGGTACTGAAAATTGTGTTGCTTTGAGAAAAAAAAGAAAGAAGGATCTTTGTGTTTTGTCAAAATTGTCTGAGGTCAATAGGTAATCCCCTTACAGTGAACATTGAAATCTCCCAACAGAGGATTTACCTACAAAGTTCAGTACAGGACACTGGCTAAATCAAGCATTCAATACCTTTAAGAATTCTTTCAACAAAAATTATTACAATCTAAATCTTTAAGGATAAAGAAAGCATAAAACCTAACCCATTACAGTAATACCTTCCCATAAATCTACCATTTATTCATTAGGTAGAGAATCCTATACCTGTGTTAAGAGGTGCATGAAACACTCAACAAAGACTCAGACAAGAGTCCTCTGGCAGCTACTACAAGCGACTGATGTTTAATCCCTGGTTAAGTGATAACAACTTCCTCTAAGATAAGGGAGGTACTAGTACAGTACAGTATTTTTACACAATGGTCTCCTCCTGCACAAAATGAGACAACATTTGAAAGTAACTTTATATATTCATCAACACAAGAGTATTACACACATTAAAATAGATGATGGATGCATATATATACACAAACAGGCAAGAAAATTGGAGGATGCAGGAAAAATGGAGATACACACATAATAATCAAAGGCATTTATTAAAGAAGACGGAGAAGAGATTGAAAAACTGCGTGAGACTACATTGTGATGTGGTGTGAATGCCCTCCCCCACTCCCTCCTGACCTTGTATGCTGACAAAGAATTCTTCAATGTGATTTCTTGATTTCCACAAAACATTTCTGGGATTGACTAGTAGTTGCTGCCTATTATTTGGGACCATTGCCTTGTGAAGCAGAGATGCCAAACTCACAATCAAAACACAGATTCTCCTTTCATTCACTTTTATCCATTCACAATAAAACTACTGTAACATTATTATACATTACTTGATGCCATGCTCACCCAACATTCATGCTTTCTTTTGTTCCATTAAAAAAAAAATCATTTTGTTTTGTCAGCTAAGTATGATGCAGCCATAATGATTAAAAGAGTTGTGTTATGATATACTGTTACCCAAGGAACCATTCCACATGTCAAGTCTGCCACAGTTGCTCAGGACAGATGAAGGTGAGTGGAGTTTAATCAATTAATTCAATCTTTGATAAATTAAACCAATGCCAGAGATATTGTAAGTTTTAACCCACCCATTGCCTGGTTTAATCTTATTTATGATTTACAGTGTGTTGGTGAGAAGACTATTTTTATGACATGCTACATGCACCACCATGCTATGAGTGTTGGAAAGAAAGATGCGAGTTACATATGAAATAAATAGTTTAAGTAATTTAACACCATTTTACACATAGTACCTTGTCATCAACATGTGACTGGTTGATGTAGTGCATAACTAAACAAAACACAACATTTCCTCTACATAAACTTAGTGCACATTCCACATAACTTGCAGAGTAGAGAACACTTCACTCAATAACTTACATGTCAATGGAAAAAAATATATATAAAAATCAGGATAAACGTCGAGTTACTTTAGGTTTACTTACAAACATTGAGAGGAGCAGACACAGCAACAGGTCTGGTGATAGTTGCTTGTGGTAACCTAGACTGGTGCAAGCCTAAACTTAGGGACGTCATAGCCGCCACTTGCCGTTGACTTACTCCCCCTCTAAGCTGTTCCTCCAATATACTACTGATGTTACCACTATTATTGTCATTTCTGATGCTGACAGTACTAGTGCTTCTGATGCTGCTGGATGAACTTGGTCCCTTGCTAGGAGTTGGACCTAGCCCAAGGGTGGAAGTGTGTATTGCCCCAGAAGAGATGGCTTCATGTCGTCCACTTGTCCGACTGTGACTTCCTCTTCTCTGCCCTCTATCACTACATCTGGGCTTTGGCTTTGATGGCTTAACACTACTGGATTTACTAGTTTGAATTCCATTACCAACTTTGGCAGCTAAAAGTCCTTTTGTATTGTTAATAATCTGGCCAGTGGAAACGACCTTAATTCTAGGGTCATCTGTCACAGTTTCTAGTTTCTTTAAGGGGCCTGAGGTAAAATTTTCTCTGACAGTAATGCCATTTTTATGTGTGTTTGTGTTGTCACTGGGATTCTGCTTGGTAAGGCCCAGCTTTGCTGACAACTCAGGGTATAGTTTCGTCATGTCAAAGCCAGAGCTTCTCAGCTCAGACGTGTGGAGAGGACTGGAGTTAGCATGCTGCCTAGAAGCCTCACTCCGCCCACGGTGGGAGGCAAGTGAGCCTCCAAGCCAACCACCCCAACGTTCTCTCCCTTTACTCTGAGTTACAGGTGATGTTGACACAGGTGTAGATGCCACTATGCCACTTAACCTCTTCAGACTGGCTGCAAAATGTAAAACACATCTTAAAATATTTATACATATTGCATATGTCTTACATTCATTAAACACATAGAAAGACACATCATTCCAGAACAAGTACAACTAAATATGCTTTTTACTGAGACAGACAACAACCCATACAGTAATGCCCTTAACAGTTATTACCTCCTTAAAAAATGGCAAGGAGACATTATTTATATAATTACTGTACAGTACAATACTTTACATACACCAAACAAGAAAATACATGACATCACTTAATCAAATGCTGTAGTTATGTGAGCTTTAACTGCTGCTGCAAAATTACAAGACTGATCACCATCCATAAAGACAACACAGCATATACAGGTTACTCATGTACTGACTACGCCTCACCATGACTTACGCAGAACCTCTTCAGTACAGTATGACATAAGTTCTGCTCGTTTCTGCAAACTAAAACAACAAGACATCACCCTGAAGCCAGAGTTACAATACCATACAAAGTGTTAAATACAGATCTTCCAAAGTGATATAAACTGTACATCAGGAGGAAGACTTAAATATTTCCACTGTATCCTAAAGTGACTTGTTTTTTTATCTTTAATTACTGATGATCATTTAACATACAGTACAATACAGTGATTCCTCGGTTAACGAGCGCCTCGGTTAACGAGTTACCTTCCATAAGATTCTTAACTTCGGTTAACGAGCAATCCCTCGATTAACGAGTTTCTTATGAGCCGACCTCAACATGTTTTCACTTCCATTTGGCGGTCCACCAGCTGTAGTATTAGTCCGCCAATACAGTAATCAGTTCTAGGGCTTATATTCCTTACCATTTTAGTAAATATCAAGAAGTTTGCAGTATTCAATAATTTTAAAAGTTTAATATTAAATTGTTTAATAATTTTAACAATTATTGAACCTAATTGAAGGTAAAGAAACTAGCTTCTGGCACGCCATCCAGCCTGGCAACACACGAAACAGGCGTTAGTCTCTCTCTTTTCAGTGGAGGTAACATCTTGCTTGAGACTCTCTTCAACTAAATGCTTTTTTTCTGTGTTTCCAAGCAAATTATTGGTCATTTTGAAATTTATTTTACATATTGACAATATATAATGCAGTGCAGTGTTGATTTAAAGAAATAATCTTGAATTACACTAAAAGAACTAAAATTTTATGGGTGAAATGGCGCCATGGGGTGACTTCTCTTCCACCCCAATGCCTTCTCTTCTCCCTTCTCCTCCACCCCCATTCTTTTCCCATCATCATCATCATCCAGGAGCCTTCTACATACACACCTCAAAGTAAGTGTACTTTTCTACCCTTTTTGTTGAATTTAGGCAATTTTTGGTGAGCTAGAACCAATTACCCAAAAACCCATTGAAACAATGGTTTCGGTTAACGAGCAACCTTCTAGAACGGATTGTGCTCGTTAACCGAGGGACCACTGTACTTCTTTTCTGTACAGTATAAATTTATCAGTTTCATTTATGTCCTTTCCAAAATTCAAATGAGCATTACTCTTGGATCTCAAACCCTCACTCTTCTTTAAATAATAAAACCTCTCACTGACCTCTATTCCACAATCTCACTCCCTTTTATGTGCATCAATATGATCACTGTATCTCTGGAGTCAAATTTAATAGCCAATACATTTCTCACCCGCCTCTTACATCACTTCAAACCTCATTTTCTATTTTTTTTTACCAATACCGTATCATTTAATTGTTCAACTTAATTCTTGATGTTCGGTCACACGTTTTCATACATGTCTTGGGAGCATGAAGTCTTTATTTTCTCATTGAAATTATGACCAACACTTAGTAGTTCATGTGAGAAATAAAACATATTAAAACGTTTCAAATATTACCATCTGACAGGGGAGAGAGAGTGAGTGTGTGAGTGAGAGTGAGTGTGTGAGTGAGAGTGAGTGTGAGAGTGAGTGTTTACCATCTGACAGGGGAGAGAGAGTGAGTGTGTGAGTGAGAGTGAGTGTTTACCATCTGACAGGAGAGAGGGAGTGAGTGTGTGAGTGAGAGTGAGTGAGTGAGAGTGAGTGAGTGTGTGTGTGTGTGTAAGCAAGATTCACATACAGTATACGTAAGAAAGCACGACACTGGCAGGTGAATGGTCTACCGGGGTTTGAGTGTGGTTGGCTACGGATGAAAGGGTTTAAAGTACTGTACCAGGATGGACCCACTAAGTTCTTTCCCCACTTGTTTAATTATGTGAAACAGTCAGACCTTCAGCTGGTTCAAATATCTGCACAGGTTGACTGATCATGTCAACATTATCACCATGACACTCACTATATTAAGGGCACTATGTAATGAAGAAAGGATTAATCATATGGGTTAGGTTTGAAGTGACATAAATCAAAGTAAAGATGTGTGCCAATTGACATATCTACACCCCTGACCACCTTTAACCATTGTCCGTAGCCACATTTCATGGGGACACTTTGTAGGGTGTAAAAAATGTCATATAATGTATACATATTTGTGTTGCTAGGGAGACTGTTAAGGAGTGTCCAGGCGGGTTCTCCATTTCACCGTTTTTATATAATTTTTGCTTTTAAATACAGTACAATACCTGCAGTGTATGGTATAACATTTTTATACATTGAAATTAATGTTCTTTTAAGTACTGTGCCATATTTGCTGGTGTATAAGATGCACCATGAATTTAAAGTTAATATTTGGGGGGAAAATGGTGAATACACAGTACAGTATGTTCTTTAATATTTCATTTTTATTATCATGGAAACAAACATTAGTGAAAGAGAAAAAAATAATATTATAATATTTCTGTGAATACTAGTACTGTACTGTGTATATAGGCATTACCATTAAATATTCACATTACCAATAAAAAAAAAACATCAATGAGCCACATTTAGGTACTAAACGGATTGACAGTTTGTTTGTTTACATTGGCTAATATTGTACTCATAGGGTGATTGTAATTACAGCACTTAGTAGTGAAGTATTTTGAGAGGCAACACTAAAAAACAATTTAATTTAACCACCCTCAAACAGCTACGTACACTCTATATATTATGAGATGTAGTAAATTACTGATTTCATGATTATACAAATTAAAGTTTCCTGTGAGCTGACGTTACCAGTGAGATGTTGTTCATGCACACCGATTCCGCACCAATAAATATCACAATCTTTGTATGGCATGTGACAGCTACCATTTAAAATTTTGGTACACTATTTTTTTTTTTAAGGGCTTGATTTCTTCCTGGCAGCATAACTTGGGCAACCTTCAGTATATGGGCTCACACAGCCACCATAGGTCTTTCAACATATAAACCACAGGGTGATTTTAGAGGGGGAACAAAGTATCTTATATACTGTACTGGTAAAAATAAAGTATAACATACACACTGTACTTATTCTTAACCTTGAGCTGTACATTATAGAACTTAAGGTAAGTCTCTCAGGGGTCACTTCCCTAAACACCTTATTTCCCATCAGACCCAGACACCAGCCCTTGCCAATCACAGTTTTGTCAACTGCGGGAGATTTTTAGAATGTAACCCCAGCGGTTGGCGAGGAATTACTGTACACTGTACTTAAAACAGCTGTCAGTTTATTGGATCAAAAATATAAGTGTCTTGGATGGTTATAACCTTGAAGATCCATCAGCTGCAGCTGGGAGCATCATAACTAAGGTAAATGGTGTTTTATATTTTTTCTCTTCTAACCCTTTAAAGGATTCTGAAAAGGAGTGATATGCTTATAAGATTCACTGGGAAACTCCTGATGTACAGTATAAATTATTTACATGCATCAGTTTGCATCGTCACGTCCGCAATCTACAGCTGCTGAAGCGACGGACGAGTAGATCCTAAATACCGTACAGCGGGTTTGGTAAAAAACGAAGGCAGTAGATTATGGGATTACCTTGTGTTTTGGGCGTGTCTCTAAGTGGTGTTTGTGTCTGAGACAGTACAGGCGATGGTTGCTGGGGCGAGGCTTGGGATATGGCTTGGGATGAGACTGGGGACTGTGGCTGAGGGGTATCTTGGGGATTCTGCTGCTGGAGGGGATGACCATTTGGACGAGGCCGGCCATGATGACCATTGAGGATCCCAGTCCCTCGCGCCCGCTTACCCGCCCCGCGACGGCCAGTACCCACACTATTACTGACAGACAAGCCAAAATATCTATGACAATACAAGTAAAATGTGATGCTCTGTTTTTTACAAGAGAAACACAATCCTTATACCAGAGAGTAAGACCACCACTAATAACTACAGTACTGGCAAAGACTTAATCAAACCTCATTACCACATAACAGATTAAAAAGCTCGTTATAAACCTACAAACCCTTAAATGTGTGAGCAACTATCAATTCTAGTCAGCACTTACACCACAGCAAAAAAAAAAAAAAATGGACAAAACCAGAGTATAAATTTTCTGGCACAAATTAAAGGATTGAAATATAAAATCCCATCTTATGACTCGGAAATAACCAGCAAGTGACCTATGAGATCCACACTACTATAAAATTCCCCTGGTTGACTCACCTTTTACACCATCACAGCAGACAAGGCCAAATCATATTCAATGCTACAAGCAGCACCTCCTACCTCCCCTTACCACCTCAGTTAACTCAAGGTCGAACTGCTCCCATTGGAACTTGGTGAGGATTAGTTTTTTGTTTTCGTTTACTTAATTCCTTGTTTACATATGAGTTAGTGATGCTTCCACACTTTGTTGATTTATTAATTATCAAAACTACTGAACTGAATCATACTTCCATCTTCACATGTACAGTAACTCCATGCCTCAACAATACAGTACAGTACAACTTCACAATATTTGCCATCAACAAGACATCTTCTTCCTAATAATTAATGTCACTGTCTCTTGCCACTTTTAACCATTAATCATCTTACAAGCAGTTCATTCACACTAAGAAGAGGTCTAATAAATTAACTCTCTGAGAACCATTTGCTTAAGCCAATCTGACATTACCAATCAATAAATCCAAAGTTTCTTCAATATCAACAAATTTTATCATTATAATTATTAGTATATTTTCGTCCCCCAGGCCCCAATGTGGGTCAGTGACTTGTCCCCGGGTGGGCTTAAAAAAAAAATCTGAAAACCGAAAAATTCCGAAATCCGAAATGCCTCTGGCCCCAAGGATTTCGGATAGGGGATTGTCACAACCTGTAGTAAAGTCTTACACTAAATGATCAAACTCAGCTATGAGGAGTCAAGGAAAGTTTGGAAAGTTTAGATTACAGAAAAAATTATATTTTACAGTACTGTACAGGCAAGTTTTAGGCTATAATATACTGTATACCCAATACAATACTATACTGTATGACTTGGAAATCATATTGAGGAGCCTCACTATCCACAGAGAGTATATGGGTACCCAGCACATGTGTGTGTGTGTGTGTGTTTCATGACTCTGCAGGACATCATTCCATTGGTTCACCTTTCCTGTATTGTTCTAATCTTTATTATGTACAGTACTGCCAGATGTTTGGAGCCAGTTGAAAACTGATCCATATGTCCAATGTCATCAGTCAAGAAGACAACCCCTTTCACTGTGTAAGTTTCAACAACACAATAAACAGCCTAAGCAGCAAGTTGTACAAACACGTTACAACTTACAAGTGCCATTTAAAAATACAACTTTCACTAGAAATGAAACATTGAGCAAACTGGGTGAAATTCACAAAGATCTGTAGTCCCAAGGATGTTCACACCACATACTCTCTCCCAACAGGTAGTGATGGTATGTTACAAGAGCAGGAGCTAAGAGGATTTGAATATCAACTGCCCTTTATGACTGAAGAGGGTCTGAAGTGTATCAGTTACTGAATGAGTTTAGACTCCTGAGCTGAACCTTCACACTACCACAGTTTGAAATGGAACTTATTCAACATTGAGACAATTGGTCGAGATGTACTGCTTGCAATATTAAATAAAATATGACCTCATCTGCCTGGATAATGTAACCTGCCATCATATATACCAGTCCCCTGGCAAAGAGATGGGCAGTATACACGAAGATGTCAGAGTTCACCCCACCGATGACCAGTAAGTCATACTGGTCAGTATCATCTCAACAAAACCACACACCTGTACCAGTACAATAAGCTTCCTATCACCACAGAAGAAATAGTCCATATTATCCAAAGATTAGAGAAAAAAGATGTCATGAATATGTACCTAAGTGATGAGGCTGCTCCTTCAACATGACCCCATAGTACCGTCTCTGAATTTAATTTTCATTGTCAGAAGATGAGTGAAACAGATACAATATACAGTGAAGCATCAAAGACTACAATGATTTCTACTTACTGGTATGCTGAATGAAACAATAAGAATGCAGAGTCCACATTATTCAAATTACTGTTTCTCTCTCTTCCTTTTTTTTAATTTGCTTACCAAGTTGTTTCATCATTGAGACTTCTGGGTCCTTTCTTTTTCCACTCTTAACACATGTGTATGGTCTGTCATCATTCCTCCAACATACAGTACAGTACATTACTCCTGAAGGTTAACAACTCTCTTACTGACTCTACAGGTACATCATCATACTGTACAAGGTCAATCTCATCCATGACTACTTCACCTACAATACATCTCCTTCACCAGTCATCACTAGTCTAAACAATTGTCATATACTGTACTGTATCCAAGTGTTCCTTACATCTCCTTTCACTACCAGACCAATTATCTAGTACTGTACTGCACACGTTATTTTTCATGAAACTGCAATACCGAAACTACATCCATACAGAAGAGTTAATGCTCCTTGAGTACATATATTACATATTCCACACCACAGTTGTTATCATCCATCAGGGCTCAAAGAACAACTTCAATTTTTCTTCCTTGCTCATACTGAAAAATTACTTCTTCCATCCGTTCCCTTTTGGAGTGGAGTCTGTCACACACACACACTGCTCTATGCCCAATCCACAGTCCTCCTCCTCCATCTGGGCTGATCCTCTGTCACTTTCAACCACCCTCCATTCTCCTCCTCAGCACTTTCTAGCTCTAATTCTGTCTATGTACAGTATACGCTGTTCTATTTATATCCTATAGTCCATAGACCACAAAATAGCAGAATAATAAACACCAGTCATTTCATTGCTAGAAAATTTGTAAAATAAATTTTTTTTTTCATACATACAAACTCCTCTATCATAATACTGAAAGGTGACAAGACCAAGAGGACACACACAGTTTATATTCGCCATCAATCAATCTTTCTAATCTCGGCACCAACCCCTTAAACCACCACACACAAACTGTAACACCAAGTGATATGAGAAACTGGTACATCTTCTCAGTGATTACTATATTAAAGATTAGACTGGAATATTAATACAGTAGTAATAATGTATTCCATGCTTTGCTCATCACATCAATTCAACACTACAACAAAGTGATACACGCACCGACCTCTCACAAAATTGCAGACAAACAAGATAACTAACACTATGCAGCCAGGCAATCAACAACCCCGTACATCAAGGAAAGTCAATATAAAAATGAGCGAGGTTTAACTCCAATGAGCAAATATGAAGTAGTGGAGTCTGAACACTTGTTAATGATGAAAGTAAAAAAACATATAAACATCAGCTAGGTAAAGGGACATACAGTATAGTACTAAAAAAAAAAAAAAAAAAGTTTCGACAGATATCACCTAGCCAACCAGCCTATTTGATTATACTCAGCAGAAGAACCTAACAATCTTCCAAGACAATAATATGAACCGTTCTAATAATAATAATAATAATAATACAATTATAATAAAGTCTCTGACAATAAAAATAAATATATGATATCCTTTTCCAGCATTGTTATAGTTACATACCTCTGCTCAATCTCCTAGGTGTTAAACTCTTGTATGTAGGAGGGAATGACCAATCAAAATGTGTTTACTGTACTATGCAGAGAGTTCATTATGTTTTACAGGGTCATTTCTTTATCAGAGAACCCCAAATGATTACTACAGTATATTTTAAGATGTAGTATACCTAAAAGTCTGTAGGAATAAAGTCTAATACAGTATTTAGGTTCCTGTTTATTGCATGTCCTAAAATATAGCAATTTTCTAGGGATCTACAATAAAAACCATAAATGACTGTAGATGCCTGGTGGCCAAACACCAATCCTTCACTCATGGCAAGAATTAGCATAAATAATTTAGCTAATCATTCACTGTAATGTACAACACATACAACATAAACCAACATGTCTATTCCACCTCCACATGGCATTATACAATTTTCTCAACGGTTATTTATTTTTTTATGTAAACGTATATCAACAGTGTGCAAGATATGCCCCTTCAGTCACGAACAGGTGATATTACGAACATGTACAATGCACCCAAAAAAAAAAAGTAGGAATGGCAATATGGCGGCGAAGGTGTGGCTATAGGGGGAGGACGGAGGCCACATAAAAAAAAAATTAATAAATAAATAAAAAATAAAAAAAATGGCAAGATGGCTCCTTAGGTGTTAGTTTACAAGACTCTCTACTTACACTACCCCACTGGTAAATAAATATGGGGTGCAATGTAGCCAATTCTAATGAGGAAGAGAAGCCAAGTGTTAAGAGAATGTACTGCACCATTACAAGCAAGAAACTGAAATGAACAGACGATAGTTATCAAATATAATCATCATCATCTTTAAATGGAATATTCTGTTAGTGTTATGCCTGGTGGTGTCCAGACCAATATTAGTGCGGGAAAAGAACAAACAGTGGAGGAGCGTAAGGTAGGGTAATACCTAGAGATGTTTGGTGGGGTCCAGGCAGGGCTCAGCAGGGGGGGCAGGCGGGCGCTCTCCTGCATCATAGTTACCACGCTGCTGCACCACTCTCCTGCAACACAAGGTTTACTACACTGCAACACCTTAACTATAACTACTTAAAAGATGATTAATAAACATCAAATGTGAACCAGCACATCTATAACTTCAATGTCAATACAGTATCAGAGAAGCAGAGGAAGAATCAGGTAATACCACTTCATGTACAGGACAGTATACTTGATTGGTGAGTATACCTGTACTGTACCTGTATTATATTAACATACTGTATTTGATTAACTGACCACCCCCCCCCCCCTGCTGAATAATAAAGCTTTCACTATCCTACAGTAATTACCACCAATGAGAAGCTGTGAAATATGATAATCATTATGGGAGGAGGTTGGTTTTAGTTCTCACACACACTTATGTGACCTACAAAGTATAGACAATAATGGAAAAGGCATTATGAAGGAGAAGCCACGGAGGTAGTAAGTGTGTGTGTGACTGGATGCATGCAATATTAATCCACTTTAAATAGAGACTAAGGTTTAGTTCAGCATATATATATATATATATATATATATATATATATATATATATATATATATATATATATATATATATATATATATATATATATATATATATATATATATATATATATATATATATATATATATATATATATATATATATATATATACATATATATATATATATATATATATATATATATATATATATATATATATATATATATATATATATATATATATATATATATATATATATATATATATATAGATATATATATAAACTATTTTTTTTTTACTGCCAAGATCTTCACTGACATTCATTTTACAATACAGTATATAGGTTAGGTTAGGATAGGATACGTTAGGTTATGTTATAATATGTTAGGTTAGGTTAGGATACCATTACAAGAATAGCCAAACCTCTTCATTTATATGTTAACTAGTGATGCTATGCGAGTTATGGGTTTCAAATGGATTTCAAAGCAGACTTATCCATGTATTATCTTTGACCCATACCCAAATTTGTAATCTTTGCCCTATAACATACATAAATGAAGGCTTCACACACACACTAAGAAGAACCAAGACTATCGAGCTAAACTGAATCTTTCCTATAATATTCACTTTTAGCTCAACCTTTTCCACCTGGATTACTCAACCACTGTCATCCATCCTCCTTATTATGGATGTATATATAAAAATAAAAATAAAAATGAAAATAAAAATAAAAATAATAATAATAATAATTCCCACATTCTCATGATACAGTTTTATAAAGCAAAACAGATGAACAGTCAGTGTTGATAAAATTCCTCAGAAATACAGTACAGTAATACACTTGAACTGCATTCAACAGGTGAATGATATAGTACAAGGCAACAGCTCATAGAATTATATTAAGATACAATTAAGCAAAGATGAAGCATGGGAGGATATAAGGTGAAACAGGGAGGAAAAAATGATAAGAATTAAAAAGTAACTAAGCTTGAAATCATCTCTCATACCAAGTGGCCTTATACAGTGTGGTATATAAACTAGTATTCCTCTTTTATTTTGAGCTGTTAGGTAAGAATATTTAGCTTGTGTTAGTGTTGAAGACAATCGTTTCCAAGTGACTGTCAGGAGGGTAGAATAAGTCTATTTATATAATGTATCAGAAAGAAATATTCCTTAATAGGTTAGTACCAGACATGACTAACTACCTAATAGCTTGTTATCTATACTATATACCAAATATCTATCTATAACTGCAATAAAACTCAAATCCACAACACATTCCTCACCTAACCTAGCAAGGATAAGCTAGGTCTAACTATCCACACCAGCACTAACAAGCAATGACCTACAGGCAAACAACTACACACAAAACACTTAACAGGTCTTCCAGCACTATATATGACAACTAGTTGGCACGAATGACAACTGAACACAGATAATAACAACACACACAGATGACAGTTCCTCTATGCTTCAGGTATCAAGGACTTACTCTGAGGATGCCTGGGAGTAACTGTAATACTTCAAGATCTTAGATAAGCTTAGCAGAGTGAAAACAGGTCAGGTTAGGTTTAGTATTCCTTAAGAAATTCATTAAAGATATAGAAAATCCCCCCCCCAATGTTGCTTTGACTTATTCCACACTATATAGTCTTCCACCTAGTTAATCCACGAGTATGCAAGTCCTTTATCCTTCACTAGTCAGGGTAACCATCTACTAGCAGTAATTCTATTGAAGAAATCCATGGATACAGGATATAAGGTATATAATTAAAGATCTTTCCCCCACCCCCCTTACAGTCTCCTCGAGCCAGTTAATTAACAGTCATTAAGACCTTTCCTCCTACACCAATCAGGGTGGTGGTTCACTAGTGGTCATAGGAGTCATTGATATATAAAGTAATATATAATAAAAGGTTTTCTTCCCCCCCTTAGTCTAGCTAGGGGGGGTGGTCGTCATGGCAACCCGCCCCCCTTGTTTACCTCACAGGTCCTTCAATGTTGACTTTCTTTAATCATTATTACTACCTTCATCTAACTACTTAACCCCATGAAAATATGTTCCCCTGATCCTCTAATTATCAAGGTATCGAAAATTCACACTAGTTTAAAGCTAGGAAGAATGAGTTAAGAGAAAAATGAGGTATAAAATAAGGTTAATGCGCTGCTAGAGCCAATATTTTAACTACAATATTCTAGACAAATTCAACATACTAAGACCATATTTACCTTGTATTGAAGCATTATATGTCACCTAGATCCTTGAGGAGTTACACTTGAGACCAGATATAAGTGGTAAAAGGCGAGACAGACATGTAAGGTTTGGCTTTTCTCGTTATTCTTGGGTGTAGGAATGGCGGCGGCGCAACAATAGTGGTGAGCGTCGCCTTAGTGCACAGGCTCGACCCTCCCCACACCGCCATGTTTGGTCAACCCATAACCAACATCTCTATTTACCTCTAATTCTCCTAAACTAAGAGGAATTATATAGAGTTCTTTATATAGATTATACGTTAATACTTTAATGTTTTATTGGTAGGGTAGTATATGATATAACATGGTTAATTAATATAGATATTTGTGTTTAAGTATGCAGTCCTCTACTAGCTAGATCTGCGAGTGATTTGCGGTCATGTAGGTTAAAGATACATTTGTTAATTAAATGTTTTTTTTAGTGTTAAACTATAATTATTGATGTTGTTTTAGTGATAGGACTAGGAATGGATGTGTTGTGTGGGGTTTGATGGGTCGTATAAAGGAAAAGAGTAGGTGTTATATTAGAACTAGTTGTCGGCGCGCCTGAGTCATGAGGTTCACCGCCAAGCTCAAAGTCTTATTATGACACTTTATTATTTTTCTCTAATATATTACTATTTAATCATTGTCTATCGAATATAAATCTTTTTTATAATTAATTTTATCTTTTATATCCACTAAATATATCCATTATTTTATCAATTATACTCATATATAACAAAATTCATGAGTGACAATATAAGAAAAGATAAACCAATAAGAATTAATAATTATATAAAGGTGTAATAATGCCGAAATTTACACTTAATTAAACAAAATAATAATTATGAGGTTTAAATAATGTTTTCTTATCATTATAGTGAAAAAATCTACAAAGTTTATTTACATTCATTACGTCTCTATGTCCCCCTAAACCTGCACACACTCGTCTCTTATATATAATTTACTTTATATCTATAATTATTAGCATTGTAAAGTTTTCTTATATAATTTACGTTATAATAAGTTGGTGACATCTACGACTTATTGCGTGCGCACCATTACCAATATGTCACCCAAATAACCAATCATAACCCACCACTACTATAGTTCTTAATTCTCATTGGCTCAGATACAGAGACCTTTCGGCAATCATATATTTTACTTTTGAGACTAAAAATTAACCAATCATAACCCACCACTACTAGTTCTTAATTCTCATTGGCTCAGATACAGAGACCTTTCGGCAATCCTATATTATACTTTTGAGACTAAAAACTAACCAATCATAACGTATATTTATATTAAGACTTTGTTCTGATTGGATCATATCTAGACTTCTTGTACGATATGGAAGTTTCAGTAGTAATCAGGTGTTGAGTGTAAACAACAGTGTCGAGAAGAAGTTACTGAAGATTGAATTAGGTAATTTATGTCTTTATTGACTGTAATGAACTGGTTGACTGGGGTAGATACATCCGGTTAACAGTCTGATGGGAATAATGACATAATAGACTGACTGACTGACTAACTGACTGTGAAGTGAGTGACTGACTGTGACTGTGCACTTGACTGAATGTGAGGGAGTGACTGTGTAAGTGTAAACTTTACCAGTTATTTTATGCATAATATTTTACACTGAGGTATAGTGATTTGACTGGCTAATGGACACTTACACTTTTAGTTCCATACTGTGATGATGGTACACTCGTTATTGAAGTGTTTTTATATACCTGTAGTTAATTAAGGTATTATTGTTTTGGTCAGGTACAGAATTTTTGTATTTTAAAGTTTTAGGTTAGGTTAGTCTAGATTAATTTGGTTAGGTTAGGTTGGTTAGGTTAAGTTTGTTAGGTTAGGTTGGTTAGGTTAGGTTTGTTAGGTTAGGTTGGTTAGGTTAGGTTAGGTTGCAATTATGTTTTTCCGATGGTTTTAATGTGTTTTCATATCAGATGCCAGATGAACAACGTTGAAATCCGACTGTGAGAAAAATTTAGGAGTAATGATAAGTAGGATCTTAAGCCAAGTAAACAATGTGTATTTGCTCTAAAGACTAATAAAGTACTTGGGTTCTTACAAAGGAGTGTTAGTTAAAAGACTAGCGAGGTCATCCTAAAACTAGATCTTGCGGTTGTTAGACCTCACTTGGATTACGCAGTTCAGTTCTGGTCACCGTATTACAGAATGGATATAGAATCCTTGGAAAGAATCATAGGAGAATGACAAGACTAATCCCAGGCATTAGGAACCTTGAGTACAGAGACAGGTTAAAGCATCTTAATTTGCACTCCCACGAGAGACGTAGAGTGAGGGGGACATGATAGAGGTGTATAAATGGAAGTCAGGGCTAAACAAAGGGGACATTACAAAGGTACTCAAACTATCCAACCAGGAGCGAACTCGTAAAATTGGTTTTAAATTAAACAAATTTAGATTTAGGCGTGAAATAGGTAAACACTGGCTTGGAAATATGGTGGATGAATGGAACAAGTTACCAGTCATCATCATTAACTCGAATTCGCTGGATAGCTTCAAACAAAGGTTGGATGGATATATGAGCAATACGGGTTGGGTGTAAATGGGACTGCCCTATATGGACCAATAGGCCCGCTACAGTTTCCTCCATCCTTTGTTCTATTCTGACCTTCTTCAAAATAGGTGCATGACCGAAACGATAATTCTCCCATTAATTGATACACTTATTACTGTGGATAATGGTCTCAGGTTAAATAGCAATTACAGGAAATATTTTGATAGGTATTTCTTTCTTAACGTACAAATATCTCAGAACAGGAGGAGGAATTGCAGATATTGTTATTTTTGTTTTTATTTATTTATTTTTGTTATAGGTAGATGTGTTCCATCGATCCGAGGATGCCGCGTGTGTTGGTTTAACTGTCAACAACTTTATTTACTTGCTTTATCCTCTTATCCATTGGTAGGTCTATTAGCTGCTTTGACGCTTCCCAGTGACCGTTCCATACCTTACTGAACCTAACCTAATCTAACCTAACCTAACGTACCTAACCTAACTTATCCAACCTAACCAACGTAACCTAACCAACCTAACCTAACCAAAAGCAAAATATCTATACAGTACCAATGTAAATCTTATACACTATAATATAATAGTTGCCGGAAATGTTCATACACACAGAATGGTGACTGGGGAGTGTTTGTGCTTTTCCATCTCTGAAATGTTCTTTGCTTGTGTAATCTATCACTTTGGCATTGCTAGAAGGTAATAGTTTGGACAAGAAAATGCGCCAAAATAATATTACCAAAAAATAGCGATTCCTTCACCTGTTTTGGGATGCTCTTGAGGTGAGTTAATAAGCACCCCAGAGGACATTGTTCCAGTATTAATGTGTTGTCTCTTTTATGATATCCTCACAGGGGTGTAGAATAGGATGCCTCAGGATGGGTTGGGGAGTAAGTCGGGTGGGAAGAAGAGGTCAGGCGGTGTTCCTCGCGTGCGGAGTCACACGGACGCCGAGCTGCAGTACTACCGCGACCAGGACCACGACAACCTCCTCCCACCACCCTTCAGGTACTGTACGGTGTTTGTCTCTATTTCCTTTATGTCTTAAATGAACGTTGGAATTTGATGTCTTTCCAGTTTTCTAATTCTACATGTTGTCCATCACTCAAATTATTTATACCCGAGATTAAAATTAAATTAGTTTGTTTCAAGTTTACAGGAGTTCATTCTTGTGGGATTTTATTATAGTACTATATACTGTATTTGTTTGGCCAATGTCTTCATATTGTGGCCAGTAAAGCATTTCTCTACAACTTTTAGTCATTTGTATTTGGAGAGTCAAAGTCATATGGGAGATGCCACTAGAAATGGTATGGCAGAAGTTGATGTCATTTAAGATCATGTTGTTATATTGCTGTATAAATTAATGTTAGGTTAATCAGTACAGTATTTGAATATGATAAAGTGTGTTGTCTGGCTGGACTGACTGTGTAAAAGACAGGAGCACATCAGAAGTTTCTCATCTTGTGCCTCGCTGTTGCTGTAAATCAACTTTTATTTCCCATATTTAATAAATGAAAATGCTCTCACTGATAAACTAATAATATACATAATGAGAAGAAGAACAGAGAGTCAGGTTGTAGAGCAGTTATATACCATGTGGTGTACATTGGTAGCCACAGAGTCCACACATTCCCCCCAAAAACATTTCTCTGCCCAAGCCACAACTCAGTCCTGGGATTCCAACCACTTGATAGCTTCCTGCACATCCTCAACACAACACAGACAACCATATTTTTTACAGGAGCTTGGTAGGTGCTGGAGGGCGCTGGGCTCATGAGGTATATTACTGGGGTGACATAAAAACTTAACGCCGCTTGTGTTTATCTTAATTACAGTTGGGTCTTAACTAAGCAACATTGATATTGATTGTGTGGTATTGAGTACTGGTAGAAACTGTCTCCAAGGATGATAGTATGTGGAAGTTTTGTCAAATGAGATTTTACAAGTACAGTATACAGTTTTTATTTTCATTTAATTATTTTTTTTTTAATCGGAACTTTAATTTTTCAGAGCCCGACTTCAGGATCTGTTCATACAAATAGAAAAGGAATTTGAAGCTCTGTATGCGGAAAATTTTGCTTGTAAGTATCATGAAATATCAAGATTTTATGTTTTTTTTAAATATTCTATGACTGTAATCTATTATATGTATTATTACAATACAGGTATCGTTGGTGTACTGTACAATACTGTAGTTTATTGAACATGTGAAATAATTTTAGCTTCAGAATGTTATTGCACTTACAGTAACAGTAATTGTCAACCTTTTCAGTGCAAGACAAAATTGACGGCCTCACCGAGAGACTGGAAAGAGAATCTGTCATAGGAGAGCGTCCAGGCGGTAATGATGAGAATGACGGAGCGTCCACAAAAGGCCTGAAGAGTAAATGTGAGTTTGATTATTGTTCTCTTGTTGTATGTCACATATTATATCTGGTCAGCCATGAGTTACATCTTTACTTCTGTTTTTATTAATATTATTATTGTCTTCAGCTTCATGTTTTTATTTGGTCGAATTTTCAAAATAATAAAAAAAGATAAATCAACAGTGGAAGGTCACGTTGGGTGTTGAGGTTTTGATAATAAGATGTGTAGCCATAACAGTCAGCTAAGTTAGGGAAGAATGTAGTCTACCCCCAGCCTTGAGTGGGAGGCAGGGTGTGGTACAGGGGCAGGGTGTGGTACAGGGGCAGAGTGTGGTACAGGGGCAGGGTGTGGTACAGGGGCAGAGTGTGGTACAGAGGCAGGGTGTGGTACAGGAGCAGGGTATGGTACAGGGGCAGAGTGTGGTACAGCAGTGTGGTGTGTGGTACAGGGGCAGGGGTGTGGGTGGCAGGGGCAGGGTGTGGTAGGTGTGGTGCAGGGCAGGGTGTGGTGTGTGCAGTGTGGTACAGTGTGGTGCAGTGTGGTGGGGTGTGGTGCAGGGTAGGGTGTGGTACAGGGGGGGGGTGTGGTGCAGGGGGAATGTGGTACAGGGGGGGGTGTGGTGCAGGGCAGGGGTGTGGTACAGGGGCAGGGGTGTGGTACAGGGTGTGGTGGGGCAGGGTGTGGTACAGAGCAGAGTGTGGTAGGGGCAGGGGCAGGGTGTGGTACAGGGGCAGGGTGTGGTACAGGGGCAGAGTGTGGTACAGGGGCAGGGTGTGGTACAGGGGCAGGGTGTGGTACAGGGGCAGGGTGTGGTACAGTATAGGTAAAAACTTCCCCACATGTAAAAAAAAAGTGCAATTGGGACCGGAACATCGGTTATTGGGCTGATTAAAGTTTGCAATAAATAGTGTATAGATGTTGTCTACTACCAGAGGTGTTCAGTAATAAACAGAGTGTTGTGATGGTGATGTTGCAGCTGGTTCACCTGTTCTGCAGCTGGAAGTTATGCAGGACTGTGGCTTTCTTCCCTGGGCAACTGATCGCATTTGTAATGGTCTGATTTATCTGTATAGTACTTTGTCTCTCTGTAGCAAACTTTATATCATACATGGCTAGACTGTACACATATGAGAACTGTTGCTTACACTACCTGCATATATTACATACAGTATATAGTATTAGCCCATTTTATTTTATATTTCCCTTAACAAGAAAATTATAAATAGTAGATTGTGTATTTGAAGAGAGAGAATTGACAGAGTTTTTCAAGAGCGAGTATTATGTTTATTTACTTATTGTTTTGAAGGTCGATATATTGTGTAAGCTGTAATATAAAACCTTTAAAGAAATTATTATACAAAATGAACTTACTGCTTATAGTCACGGGGAGTTTCTTAGGTAATCATGTACAGTAAAATTATAAGTGTTGGAGAGATTTAATTGTATACAAAATCATAGACAGCCCAGTGTGGTGAAACTGGCAGACAATGAAAACAGTGATGAATCTGCTGATACACACATATTGATATGTATATAAAAAAACAAGTCGAGTTTATGGTCGCTCCAATGTACTTGTGACCTCGGTACTAATGGCCGCTGTTTATCCCACCATAAGGAACAAACACCAAATACCACGATATTTCCCCCACACTTAATCCCATCTGCCGGGTACCTGGAATTGTATCAGGTGTTAGAAAAGTCCCTGTGTACTTGCAGTAATTGAAAATATAACTATTAACCGTTTTCTATTTACAGTAAATTTTGGAAGTGGATACCATTCACAATATTTACTGTAAGTAGATCAAGGGCATATAACAACGGAGGTGCACAGGGACTTTTCTAACACCCTCTATAGCCCAGGTAGAAGGGGACACAAGTAATATAATGTGTCCATCACTGAGGTTATGAAGGGATCCAGTTGGTAAGACTCAGAATTCATGTACTAACTACAGTCCTGTTTATAAGATTAATCCCTTGCGTACGGGTTCCCTCTGAGCTGAATAAAATCATCTGGCATTAGCCGAATAAAATATTAAAAGTGGCGTCTCTACACTGAAGGGGCTAACATGTTACTATGGAAAGAATTTTTAATAGGAAGTGATGCTTTTTTGAGTGTACAGTATGTCAGGGTTGCTCATAGACACTTGGGGGCTCTGTTAGCACTTGCTTTGGCATTAGTTTCTGCGTTATGTTTTTTTATTTATTTTTTCATGCTTATTTAATTAGTAGCTTTATTATACAGTACTGTACAGAGGTTTACCTTGGTAGTGTGTACAGTATTAAGTTTGATTTTCTTTTAGAACAACAGTTTATAATTCTGGTGTTATTATTACAGTATATAGTATTATTAGGGTCAATGTGTGTACAGGTGGTCCTCTTTTATTTCGAATTTGGCAAAAGCGTTTATTTTGGGGGTGAAATTAGACATTCTTTAATGATATGAGCATGGTGAAGGATCAGTTGATGAATGGTCATGAGAGGGAGAGCATGTTCACACATCTCAGTTGTATTATATATTTATTTGTATTTATGTCATGTTTTTTTATCAATGAAAATTCAGTCCCACGTAACCCCAAAATTCCTGGTCAGATAAGCATTCCCCTTAGTACTATATGTTATTAATTTTGTTAGGGGAAAATTTGTTTGCTTATCACGGTTTTACACACATCAAAGGTTTTCAGGAAAAGTACCCTTGCGATAAACAAGGACTACCTGTATACGGAGTTTAAAAAAAAACATATATGAAAATAGAGCTGTGTGTTGAAAGTTCAGTAATCTTTGGTGAGTGGGAAGTGGCTAAATGTTGACTGTGCAAGAAGTAGCATTGAAGGAGTGCTTTGTCCTTCCCTCGTGTGTGTGTGTGTGTGTAAAGCTGTAAGTTTGTAATGTACAGATAAGTTCAAAATTAAAGCTGTAAATATGAGTAACTCGCAGTACAGTATTATTGTAGAACATTTTACAACTGTCTTGCTCCATGACCAGACAGACATTAAGAGAATTTACAATTACGTATTTAAGTTTGAATATTTTAAGAATGTTTTTATATTTTAATATATCAGATATTTACTGACAACTATTAGATCCTTTTGTTACATATATACAGAACCACAAGTTTAACTGAACCTTTTCAACTCTTGTTTCTGGTACCAGCTGGGGGCCAGAGTTCACAGAAGGTGAAGGCAGCCAACAAACTGCGTGTTCAAACCTCCAAGATTGTCTCCAGCTTTAAGAATGACACTGTATCTTGCCGAATGGTACGGGAGTATGTTGGTCACAGAGACGGAGTGTGGGACGTGGCAGTGTCTCGCGTCGGCACACCAGTCATCGCTACAGCTTCTGCTGGTGAGATGGGGGGGTCTTACTACATCAGTGATCAGATATACAGTAGTCTGTGTGCTGAAGTGATTAGAGGAAGCAATTGGAATGTTATTATTTAAATAAAAGTTCCTGCAGTCTCATCAGGTCACAAAAAGGCTTTAAGCTGTGAATGTAACTTGTAGTCTCTCCTCCCCTTCATTTCTTCAAAGCTTGAGAATGTTAAAGTATACATGACTATCGCTCAGGGAGTCAGACCTATACAGAGTTTTTCATGAGAGTTGATGCTTCATAATTATGGACTCTCAATCTGTGACCCTAGTTTTATCTTATTTTTTCTTACGTCTCTTTTTGAACATTGGTTTGCTAAGCCTGGAGAAATAGACTACAATATAGCCTCAGTCACTAAAAATGTTGTTATTTTCATTATTGGGTTATGTTGCCAGCTTACCCAGACCCCAGACATCGCACCTCTATTACAGGGTCATGACTTTTATTCCTAATAGGCCACTAAAAGTTGCAGTCACAATTTCAAAGCTTTACTTTACAACTATTGGTTTTGTCTCACTACCAAACATTGTTGTCTCTTGATAGACCTCTGTGATGCTGATGGGATAATATTTATTTCTCAATTCTACAGACCAAACAGCATGTGTGTGGGGCATAGATGGGGGTCGGAACTTGCTGCAGTACACTGGTCATTGTGGGTCTGTTAATTCAGTCAAGTTTCATCCAACGCAAGACTTGATTCTCACAGCAAGTGGTGACCACACTGCACATGTATGGCAAGCTGCCATCACTCCTGACCAGCTGGTACAGTATAATTTTTATTTTCTGTAAAACCAAATGTGTCCCTAAAGGTTTTACTGCCTTGCTAACCTCAGAGTTTTGACTTAAAAATGATACCATCATGTCTATTATTTATCAATTCCCCCTTGTATTCCACACACACATGAGAGAGTTTAAGATGACAGTTTTTACATCTTTTAAAGGTATTAGGATTTTAATAAATATACTGTGTAATATTGCATTGTTACTATTTGACCTGTCATTATCATGGTAAAAATTCAAAGAGGGGACAGAATACAACAGTGTCTGTAGGTTATACAAGATATTGGGGTGCAGCTGCCAAGTGGGTACACCACTCAACTGTCCACAGTGTTTATAGTTTGTGCCCAGGGCACCCCCAGTCTACCCAGCTGTAAATGGGTTCCTAACCTTACAATTGGGGAAGTGAAGGGGGTTGAGTACCTAACTGGTCATCAAGATATATCTTCTTCTGTTATTATAGCTACATTGATTATGTTAATATGCTTCACCTTACTTTATTTTCATTATTTATATTTACCATCCACAGCAATTAAACATGCAGAATCAAAAGCAGGATTACCTTATTGTACAGCGTGTGCATTCATCGGAGGATGAAGTTGATGGCAGTGATCGCGAAGACGAAGATGACGGAGGGATGATGTGTGTGCGAGGTGATGGTGGAGGAGCAGCCACACTGCGCACACCACTAAAGGAGTTGACAGGACACACTAGTGTTGTGATCGCTGCTGACTGGCTGCCAGGTGGAGATCAGGCAATTACTGCTGCCTGGGACAGAACAGCCAACCTTTATGATACACTTACTGGTGAACTACTTTCTCAGTTAATTGGTAAGTAAAATGCCTTAGATCAGCATAATATAAATGTTCAAGTAATGACCAGAGACAAACTGAACATAATTGACACTTTCTGCATTAAAGATGCAAATGATATGTTTAACATTTTATTAAAGATGAAGAGAGATGTTGCTTAATAAGTCTGACACACACACACACACACACTAAGCAGCAACAAAGGTTATCTAGAGTATAATAAACATTGTTCACATCATAAGCAGAAACAGTTCTGGTATAAATTATGTTGTATAAAAGATAATAAGGACAAGCCTGGTATAATTTACATTGTGCAGGAAGATTAGAAATTAAGAGGAACAGTTGAACATATTTATATTTTGAGGAATGATCACTTAATCTTTGTATCTTCATTACACTAAAAATAGCTTTAGCTTATATAAATTGAATTTATGTTTCCTGTTAACACACTTAACAGCAAAGGCTTTTGTTATACTGTACAGCATTGTCCTATTGATAAGCCGTTTGATATATTTATAGAGGGTTGGACAGATGACAGTATAGACATACACAGAGTGGATGGAAAACAGCTCTCACATAATATTATCTCAGGGAGGTGCAGTAGTCGGCAGAGAATAAGACTTATATTAATTTCAGGTTTAGTATTTATGACTTACAGCCTTTACTCATAAAGTATTATGTGACCCAACTGACCCACCCTAGAAAGAACTGACTAATGGGTAAGATGACAGTTATACAAAGCTCTAAGTACTTGTAAGATATGAGTCCTTAATAATGTAAAAGTGATAAATGCACTGTGTCTCCCATAGGTCACGACCAGGAACTGACTCACTGCTGTTCGCACCCAACTCAGCGCCTTGTAGTGACTGCCAGTAAAGACACTACTTTCCGATTGTGGGATTTCCGCGAGCCAATACATTCTGTATCCGTCTTCCAGGGACATACAGAGTACGTAAAGCATCAGGTTTAGGGAGATGTGTTGTTTTTACTTATATTTAATGATTCTTTATCTCTCTTCCTTTATTTTGTCATCTATTCAACAATATCTTGAGAATGGTTGACCTAAACTCCTTCACAATTACGGGATAGATTCATTTCATGTAGATATAAAACTGAGTACTGTAATTAGATACCTGTACCTCACTCCATGTTCACCACTACCAACTATTTTCGGACATTTCTAAAAAATATCTCCAGTCATTAACTTGAGATTGTGAAGGGCAGATGACTTTAGATGGGCAAATTCAATTAAATAACAAAAGGTTCGAGTTGAATTCAAATATATTTCAAATCTAATCTACGGTCACTTGTCACTTATTTTCAGGAACATGCTTGGGTTACCATGACCAATGTTCAGAGCTATCCTAGGGTTACCATGAATTACTTTCAAGACCATTTAGGTAGTAGGTATTAGGCAGCTACCAAACTGGGCGGTACTACAGCTGGGAAGATATTGGAAGCATAATGTGTTGTCTATGGTAGATCTTGCTGCCACATGGCATAACAAAAATTGTGACCAAGTCCCAGGTTGCTGATCTGACTTTCTGCCTCATTTACACACAATTGTAGGGTCTCAATTGTTTCTCTTAGTATTGACAACACAACATACATATATTGTTCCTCACTTTTTATTTATTTTTTTTTTTTTCTTTGTGGTTCTTTATTATTATTGTTGTTATTATTATTTTTATTATTATTATTATTATTATTATTACTGTATTATTATTATTATTATTATTATTATTATTATTATTATTATTATTATTATTATTATTATTATTATTACAGTATTAAATTTTTGCCCCCCAGGTTCCGATGTGGGTTAGTGACCTGTGCCTGGGTGGGCTAATTCCTGTAAAAAAAAAAAAATACAAAGGAAATTGTTAGCAAAAAGTATCAAAAACTGTTGATCAAAATCTAATCATTGGGTTACAGTAATATGAGTGAGTATCATTGGTCAAGTTAGCATCTATTGAAACTTGATCTGTAACTCTTAAGCCATGGCAAAGCAGATCCACATACAGTAGTTGACTAAGAGAATCCTAAAGGGAGGGAGGTGCTGTAGGGGTGGGTGGAGACTTGGTAACGTAGCAATTAATGGCAATTAATAGTCTGCAATTTTCTTTACACACAACTAAAAGATTTTTTTTAGTTTAATTATGAGACAGGCACAGCATACACTCCCTCCCTGCTGTGTTCTTTTGTCTACAACTGTACGTTGCAAAACTTACTTCCCCAGGAGTGTGACATCAGTGTCCTTCACCAGAGAAGACAAGGTAGTGAGTGGCTCTGATGATCGAAGTGTAAAGGTTAGTACAGTGTCTCTATGTAATGGAAGTCTATGGGAAATTTGGGTTCAGTATATGGAATTTTGATTTGCGAGAGATGACATTATTTATTTAATTTACTCTGTGCAGGTTTTAGAGCACTTGCTATTGCCATTCAAACTCTTTTCTTTTGATAGTATTGAGCTTTATTATTCGTGTTAATGAAAGGAGAGACAGGGTAAAAAAAATATCTCCATCAAAACTATATTGTTACTAATCCTGGCTTTCTTAGGTGTGGGATGTGAAGAACATGCGATCTCCACTTGCAACTATCCGCCTTGACTCGCCAGTTAATCGCTTAGCTGTTTCACCCACCAACGTCATTGCTATCCCCCATGACAACCGCCATGTACGTCTTTATGATCTCACGGGAAACCGCCTTGCGAGATTACCACGGAGTAACAGACAGGTGAGAGCAGTCTGTGTCTTGTTCTTGACCGAGATTAATAACTCAGAGGTTTAATTATATACAGGATAGCTTGTATTATTGTCTTGGGTGTTTAGTTAATGTTTCTTTGAATATTTTCTTTACACCTTTCACAATGGTGTAACTTGCCATTTTGACTCCTACTGACAAAAGACTGGGCTTGTGTAATAATTTCATTACTTTATTATAAGAATAAATGCACAATGTAGACACTCTTGCTTATATGTTATATGTCGCAGAGGACAAGTTCATCCCTTGTGTGTGCATTGAACGAGAGAGTTCACTTCTTTTTTTTTCATAAATTTTATTCATTTAGCTTAAATTTTCAACTAACTCGACCCAATCTATCATCATTATAGTCTGGAGTTGTGAGGTTTATTAGGAAGCTACATAGAGTCTTAACGTATACTCCTGTCTTCAGTGTCATCGTCGCATGGTGTGCAGCGTGGCTTGGGGTGAGGACTCGCTGGGGGCTCGCTGCAACCTCTTTACCGCTGGATTCGATCGCGTGGTGTACGGCTGGTCTATACACTCATTTAAGGAAGGCAAAGACTGAGTATTTCATATCCTCAGAGCTTAAGGGATCCTTTCACTCACTGTCGGTAAGTTTGTTCATGATGGCCGCCCGAGACCTTTTATGTTTGGTTTATTTGTCTGAGGTCTAAACCCTACTAAAACTACTGACTTCGGCTAATTCCCCATGGTAGGCTTATTATACTTACCAGATTTTGTATAGTGCCATAACCAAGGTTGATGAAATGGTGGGTGAGTAGTTCCTCACAACACTACCTTGGGTATATATACTAGTTTGGACATTTATGCTCTGCTGTTTGTTCTGTTCATCATATAATAATCTACATCTATAGTTTGCAGAGTTTACACAATGGTTGGAAAGATAATGTGATCTCATGGTAATTGTTCATTTGGTGCAGATATGAGTGTGTACTGGGACTCTCTTCTCCATCAATGTATCGTGTGCCTTTCATATGCGTGGCACATCCCATTTCAACACTATATTAGTAGGTAATTGTGGTGCAGAATAGAATCGATGACCATTATACAGCTACAGGTTTTAGAAATGAATACTGTATCTGCTGTCTTCAACAACCAAGGAATTTGTTTTAGGATACAAATTAATAGTAAATTAATTGAGAGGTGGTAGTAGAAGTTGTACGAGTTAATGTTCCCCGTGTAGGTCGAGAAGAGATGTAAACAGTGGAAGGTATATAGCAGTGTTGTGAGAGGAATAAAACACTATTTACAGCTGATGATAATTGTGATGGAGAACAGAAGGAAGTGAAGCAAGTCTTATAACATTACCAGTGCTATCTCTTGTGTACATTATTAGCAAGGTTAATTTTTGTGTTAAGGACATTGTTCATAGGTTCCGAGTTGAGTCACACACACACACACTATATATATAAATTAAACACTTCTACACACACACAAGCACAGGTTCCAATATCAATAACATGCCAATTTTGAACCCAGGAACTGTATATTAGATGGATTTAACCTGGAAAAAATGTACCCTATATAGATTTGTCTGTGATGTGACAGGTGAGGTAAAAACATAATCTTCCATTACTGTTGTGACTAGAATATTTGGCTTAAAATTTATCGCCATAATGAGATGAGACATTTTTGTACGATTCCCCTAGTTGTGTACGGTATAACGGTGTCAGATTCGTACGACACAACTAACCCTTCAAGTTTATTTATATCATGAGCATATCAGTCACGCTGAATTTAGTCATTGCTGTGTTTAAACCAGTATCAGCTTATTATCTTGTCTCTCGTTCTCATGTGGGAGTGTTCAGAGAAGGAAGGAGGGGAAAATACAGTATTGCAGTTAGGAGAGACTTGTGCCAGACTAAGCCTCTGTGGTATACATGTGAAGGTCCAGCACCGTAGGTAACAGATGGAACTGGTCATTAGCACATGTACTTAAAAAGAGATGGATGTGGAAATTGTCTATCTTGGCTACATACATCAGAGAGCTGGAAATAAGACAGAGGTTGATGAAGTGTGATACAGGATATTGATTGCGAGTCATTTTTTCTAATACTTGCCTTGGGTGGTGAGTTAGACTCAGAAAAATCTTCATACAGTGGATAACAGTTCCTCCGTTTCACTACACAAAGATAATTCATCGTTTCTGAAGTTATCATATTGTATGGCATTGATATTATGATACGCATCATACGTTGATATTATGATACACATCGGCCGTTGAAGTATTTTATTACTGTTTGGTGAATCAGTTTGGCTTGGGGGGGGGGTGCAAAAGATAAATTTCCATTTTATTTCTTTCTTTCTCTATATATTAAAATTATATTTGTTTGTAGTGTATGAGAACTTTGTTACTCTTTCTGTCATGGCTTGGGGATGAAGACTGAAGGGATCGATCATTTAAAAAAAAGTAAACAAATAAAAAATCCCATAAGTATGAGGGGGTCTTTATATTGCATAGGATCAGCATTACCTTGTTATTCTTGTTTGGGATTCCTGTCATTTAGTACTTTTATTATACATTTTCTGTACTTATGAAATGCCTGTACAGTAAATTCTATGTATTTATCTGTATTATATATGTTATTTCTCATATGTATACTGTAGTAAGGTGAGAAATGGTGTCTCTTAATGTGGATTCTGTTTCCTCTTATCAGTACAATGAAAGAGTTATTATCTGTTTGGTTTATATGAGGAGAGAACAAACTCGAGGTGTACTTAAATGTGGTGTAGTAGGTGAAGTACAGTTATGGGGTAACACACAAGAGGATGGGAAGAAATACATGGGTGGTCTTGTGTGTGTGTGTGTTGGGTAGTGGTCCATTAAGTGTGGAGGTGGAGTGTGTCCTTTAGGAACAGCATCTCCATTGTGCAACCATATGCATTCTAAATAGTCTCTGATGTTTCCCTATAAATGTTTAGTTTCTTTCTGTATATTGTGGAAGCCACATTGATTGAAATTTGCCAGTGATTAAATAACACATGTGTATAATGAACTTATTATTATTGCTTTCCATGCATCATATTAACAGTACTGTATACTGTACTGTATATGATTTTATTAAATTTTTATATAGCATTAACATAGATTGTAGCTTTGAAGAAAACAATGTTATCTAACACAGAAATATGCACAAACTACATACACCCATATAGAAATATATATATATATATATATATATATATATATATATATATATATATATATATATATATATATATATATATATATATATATATATATATATATATATATATATATATATATATATATATATATATATATATATATATATATATATATATATATATATATATATATAACACTTTAGTAAATATGTTGTATAAGCTGTGTGATGTGTAGCAACATTTACTGCTAGGATCAGATGATTGTATGTTTGTGATTTATAGAAATGATAAGTTTTTTGATGCTTCAGCTTCACCCAGCACCACTTACGTTACCCAAGTCCATACATGTACAGTATCACCACATTACAAATTTACTCAACTCAAGTTTCACGTGCTCTAGCAGCCTCTGTTCTCGTGTTGTTCTTACCGTCTAACGGGAAATAAGACCTTGAAATGAATCACTGCCTGGAAGACACCAGACACACTGCATATTCTACTCTGTGACCATTAGCTAAACTAAAACAGATTATGATCTTGTCTTCTTCCTCACGTGAAATTCTTTTATCAGGAAAAATTTAAGATTTATTGTACTTAACATTTAATCCAATGTTAATATGATAAACAGCATATCAGTCCAACATTTATTTTCCCCATTATTATCTTTCCTTTGTTTGGTCTTCTGCAGTACTTTTAACCCATGTTTTGGTATTTGTTCTCTTGTGTTATATACAGCTGCTCCCCGACTTACGACAGGGTTAGGGACCGACATCCAGGTCGTAAGTCGAAATGGTCGGAAGTCGGAAATGCTTAAATAATACATAGAAAATCGAAAATGGGTGTCTCTTTTTCTTCTCAGCACCACAAAACACTCACTTTTAAGCTTGCCAGCCATTTTAAAGTGAATTACAGATGAAAATTTCGTCTGTGTACTGACTTTGGGACTCGAAAATACATAATTTAACCAAATTTTGGTACAACTGAGGCAGGTCGTAAGTGCGGGTGGACTTAAGTCGAGTAGGTTGTAAGTCTGGGAGGAGCTGTACATAGGATTGTCTGACATTCTACTAATTATCCTGGAACAATTGATTGTTATGTTATCCAGTAGTAGTGGGGGGGGGGTCTAGCATCCTCTTCATTAATCAATCCTGGAGTGACTAAATTTTCCTCATCCAGTATTTGTGTAGTCGTCTGGAAATTCTCACCATGAATCGTCCAGAATCAGTTTGAACTTCATTTTCCGATGGTCATTAATGTGGAGTCAGCAGACTTTTTTTTTTTTTTGCCTGTCAGTAATGAAGTCCAGTACAGTATTTTGGTGTGTCTCCTCCGGTGGTTCTTTCACCCCCCTCCCCCCTTCTGTAGTGGCTCTGTGTGTATGTGTGCGCGCGTTTTCTACCCACAATCTGTCTCGCTTCACTTTCAATAATCACTGTCATGTCCTGTTCTCCACTGGTTATTTAGTTTGTTTTCTGGCATGTTTACCCTCTCTTGGTTTGTTGCAACGTGTGTATTTTAGTGATCAGAGAAGATGTTGTCTGTCTGGCTCATTAATTGTCTCATTGGACATAAAAAGGGAGTTGTACCGTCTTCCACCAGTCATGTAAGCATTGTCTAGCTTCATGCACCATCACTTGGCTATTTTGGTTATTGGTCACTTAGGATTGTGTTAACTTCGTGTCTAAGGCTCATTTTCATGGCTTGTTGGTCTTCCGAAATTGTTATCAAGAATATGATCATGGTGTGTGTGCGTGCCTCGAGTGAGTTTATATCTTCTATTCTTTAATATCGTTTATCACTTTTGTTTTTATTTATATTTCTGCTTTGATGTATAGTGTAGCAGGTTTGTGGTTCTGAAAATACACCCCCCCCACACACACACACACACACACGCACACAAAATGCCCTGATTACAAAATTTACATTGAAGTGCTTTCTATGTAATCCTACATTGTCTAAAACCTGATTATCATTGCATTTTTCTTATATTAGTTCCCTCTGGTTCTTGCACACTTAACACTACCATCCCCTCCTATAATTGCACACCTAATAATACCAGCCAACTAAAGCATCAATCATAATGCACCTTCATACATAAATGAGGATTGTGTTATCTCATCAAGTAATGTCTACCTCATTCAACTGATTGACATCTGCCAAGGCAATTTATAAGAACCCACCCCCACCAGTGCATGCATATGTGTGCTTTTTACCCTGTCTTGCACCAAGCTACTGTATTTGGCTTCCTGATTCCACATACTTTCTAAGGTAAATTTAATTTTTATATTTCAGTTGGTGCATCTGTCTCACCTTAACAGGACTGATTTAATGTTTCTGGACCTATATCTTAATTAGTCCCATCGTGAGCCTTCAACAGTTTCATAGTTGTTCTTTTGTATATAAAATTTTGTTCGTGGTAACCTGCAGTCTTCATACTGTACCATCCTGCCTTGTTTGCATCATCAGAGGCTTTTACAAGTACAGTAATGTATTCTTAGTTAAGGGGAGTGCCCGGCTGAAGCACAAAATTCATTATTAATTCATTAATTAATATAAATTTCCTGTCAGCAATTAAGGACACCAGATACATTGTTGCTATATCAATTTTCAAAATCCTACTTCTCCATAACTTCTTGCTAAATTCCGTTGAAATTCATGTGTAATATAAGTAATTTATTCCTCTTGAACGAGACATATAGATATTTCTGATTATCGCTTTTGTTTTGGGTGCATGAATTTTTTTCATAACTTACCATTTTTTCCTCAAAATATTTATAAAGGTAAAACAGCAAATAATAAACTAAGCCAAATAGTATAAAGAAAATCTATATGTTCAGCCATGCATAATGTTATTCTACTACTTTGATTTTGTTTTATTAGAATCGGTCCAAAAATAGCCAAGCCCTTAGGGCCGATAAAGGTGGCGTGAGAGCAACTCATGATTGTACCTCACTCTTGCATGTTTGATGGGTAACTGACTCTTGTCCTGTGGTTAGCAAGCTGAGAAAGGTGCCGGATACTGATTTCTACCAAGTGATTGGTATTATACTTTACACCAAACTATTATTATGAATACTTTTCTACAGCTTTTTCTACATAAACAGAAGAGCCCTCTAAATGAAGGGAGGTAGAACAATGATGCATAGCTACATAAATATTACGAATTATGCAATAAAAATATGTCAGCATATGGCCATAGGCAACAGCTTTCCTCAGGAATTATTCTGAATATTTTCGTGATTTTCAGATTTTCATCGTATTTTAAGCCGTACGCTCCCCTTAAATTAAGTCAACATTTACTCCAGATAACATATCCATCCATAAATCCTCCAAGATCTTCATGTTAATGTAAGTGTAATTTATCCACAAGTATAATTTGAGTCCATGTATAATGATTTCATTTATTCTTCGTTTGTCCAAAATGAATACAGTACCATAAGATTTACATGTGTCTGAGAAACTATGAACAGGTGTTGATTTGATTTGATTTCATTCCTAATAGGACTTACACGTCTGAACAGTATTTATATACAGTAGTCAGTTTAAAGTGGTGACAGGATGTAATATTAGTGGGAATATTTCAGGTCCAGTATAATGGATATGTAATGTTGTGTATGTTGACGTGTTTGAGACATACAAGTTTATAGTTAATAGGTGTTCTGGCATTGCCTGTGGGTGTTTGTATAAATTTGAAAGAGTAAGATGAGATTGCTTTACAATTTTCTTGCTGTAGTAACTGCTGTTTTGGTATTAACAGTGACTTGATAAGAAAGTTTCTGCAAGTGAATGATACTTGGTCTCCAGTTGCCTATATCACTGAAAACTGGTGTTTTATTGTGTAAGCCTTACAGAAAAGTATTTTTATTTAACAAAGTTTGGAATGTGTAAATAATTGCATAAAGTGATGGCTAGTAAACTTGTACACTATTGCCAATATATATGTAAAATACTGTAGTTCATGTAAATTACTCTCTATAGGAATCTATTAACTACTGTACACACTGTTGCCACTGGGAGGTACTATACTTTATTTCATAGGATAAGAAATTAGATGAAATTTATATCATTGTCATGTGTACTAATATAATCATTCCTTAATCCCATACCAAGGATTAAGTCTCCACCCACTTTTAGAAGCCTTAACACCTTTTACAGTTCACAAAAGTTGACTGGTTGCTGAGAGAGAGAGACACACAGGTAAACCTCCACACCATATACACTGTTATTTTTTTTCTTTAGTATTTAATATATTATTATATCAATTGAAAACTTAATTTTCTGCAGTAAACATTAAGATGAAGCTGTGGCAGACTATATACCCCTGTATATTGATTTACAGGAGGACACTCTTACCAACCCCTAACTAGCAACATTAATGAATCGTAACGAGTGCTATCTTCCAAAAGTGGGCTGGGCATAATTGACAGGTTGGTTCTGTAAATATTTGTACAGGTGATTCAGCATCATTGTGTTTCAAAGAGGCTTAACATAATTATTATTAAAGCATGTTGATCATATTTCACACATGTTATAGTTGCAGCATTATTTTTTTTTGTTCTTCTCTTCTTAAAGCTTTATTTAGTGTATATTTTATCCTCTCTTTATTATAGGGTAAGGTTTGTCTAGTCAGAAGCATTTTGTGTTCTGAACCAAAGTAACCAAACATGAGTTATAATTTAGGGTGGTGTTTGTCATCTAAATTTTAATACAAAGAACTAGGGGGAAAAAAATCTGAAGTAAATGGGAAATATTCGTACGATTCAGAGTGGTATCTTAGAATGTGAATTTATACTGTAATTTTTTATGTTCTTGCCAAAGACTTACATTTTGTGTTCTGGAACAATATAGCAATGTTTCCTATGAAAAAAAGTTTGTGTTCAGTATTATGATTAGAACTTTCATAAATGTCTATACTTGGATCTTAATTGTTTTCTTATCCATTATGAGTTTTTGAAATAGCTTGGGTGGGAGTGTGTGAGAGAGGGGGGTGCATGTGTGTGAGAGAGAGAAGCTTAATTATCCTAAAGTACTTGGAAACAAAAAACAGTTGTATTTAAAGACCTTTTATGAAAGTTATGTTAAGGGAGTCTTCTGTAGTGGACGTCTCCCCTACAAACTGCGTATCGCATTCCAATGTGCCGCCTCCCCTAGCAACCAAGCGAGAGCTGTCCCCAGATGTTACCGTATCTTAGCAACGGAACTAGTCACCGGCTACTTCTCGGGTTTTCCCAACATGACTCATAGAGGACTGGCGGCTGCTGCTGGGTGTATATAAGCTCTGTCTCTCCCTTGAGATTCAGTCTGACCAATCTTCTTGAACAAGCAACACCTCCTCCTCTGCCGCTGCCTGGCGACCCTCGCCTCTCCTCCGCCTGCCTGGCGGTCCTCGCTCCCGCCAGCGAGCATGTCCTTCTCTGAGCTTCCTCACCAACCAACTCTCATTCTGCCCATTTTCCTGAACAAGCAACATCTCCTCCAGCAAGCTCCACGCTGTTAACATTTCATTCAACCAGGAGGCCAGCAACAGGCAACACCTTCTCTAACGAAGCTCCTGCACATCTACCTCCTTCAACACGATACTCACCGAACGTCTTCTACTGAGCTGCTCCCCACCACACGGCATCTCCAGCACCAGACTGTCTATCATATAACTTATATATATTATATAAGAAAACCACATTAGAGTTTCCTTCCATCCTGAGTGCTAGACAACATTAATATCTCGATACCCCTACACTTCTCTCTCTCTCTGATAAGGAATGGCTGGTAATGTTCATGAGAATCACATTTCGAGGTTTATCAGGGGTAATACGTGTATCTTGTATATATATTGTGATGATGTCTTGTACTATGACTCACTGTTCATAAATTTTATGTAATTATCTATATAACTTAACTTGCATCTGCTGTAACTATCTGCACATGAACTCTCTATAACAATTTTTTTTAATAATCTATATCTATCTGTTTCTCTATCTACATGAAGCATCTACTTGTTTAACTCCATAACCTGTATGTGTTTTATGACATCGTGATGAACTTCCTTAAACCGGCTTTCTCAATTTCGTTGTATTAAGTTCTGTACTAGGTGTTCATATGCTGTGTCAGTAGAATGAATTTTTCTCCATCAGTGAGTGAATAAATGCCAGTGACACAAAAAGATTTAAGTTTAAGAAATTTTATCAAATAAACAACAAAGACAGGTACATAAGTGTTCATACAGTTAAGAATAAATTAGTTATAGTAGTTTAGTAGGTAGTAGGCAGCTATCAAACAGGGAGGTACTACCATCTGGGAAGATATTGGAAGCATATTGTGTTATCTAATGGTAGACCCTGCTGCCATATGGCATCACAAAAATTGTGACCAAGTCCCAGGTTGCTGTTCTGACTTTCTGCCTCATTTACACACAATTGTAGGGTCTCAATTGTTACTCTTACTATTAACAACACAACATACATATATTGTTTCCCACTACAGGTATTGATATTTTTATTTTTTTTTTTTTAATTTATTCATGGCTCTTTATTATTACAGGGGGTATTATTATTATTTATAATTTTTATAGACTTTCATTATTACTGTATGTGTATTTTCTTTTATTATAATTGTTTTTTTTTTTAAGATTGTTATTAATTTTTTTATTATTATTATTATTATTATTATTATTATTATTATTATTATTATTATTTTCTTTTATTATAATTGTTATTTATTAAATATGTTTATATTAATTTTATTACTAGTAATATTATTATTACCATTATCATCATCATTGGCATAATTATTATTATTATTATTGTTTTATTATATTTTTGCCCCCTGGTCCTTGATGTGGGTCATTAAAAATGACCCGTGCCTGGGTGGGCTAATTCCCTTAAAGAAAGATTTACCATTTCCATTTAGAATATTCCACTTGTTATGAAGAATTTCCTCTAATTATAAGATGACCAGAGGAAAGTCTTTGTATGAAATATTTATCTGTCCTTAAAGATTATCATTGCATTTAAATATAATGATAAAACCACCAAGAACTCTATAAAACTTTGATATACTGTATATGGCATTTTCTTTATAATCTCTTAAGTTTTATCTCAAAACTCCCCACCAAATGCCATCTTCAGATATCGCAGGTACAGTTGTTCATCAATGCTAGTCATTATGATTAGGTTGGATGTGCGGTTCATTAAGTCACGGTGGTCAATTGCCATTTGGCCACGAGTCAAACTACCCTGAAAAAAAATAACATTAAAGTTGTGAGATTTACTGAGAAAACAAAAAAGATTTATATATTATGAAACACTATAACAAGCATTAATAAGTTTCTTAATATGGTACAGTCACTCACAAGAGTCCTGTCACCTCTCCTGCTGTTACATCAACTCCAAGATTCAGACCCGTGAACCCAGAGCAGTAGACATTGAAATATTATTCTGTCTCTAAATGCTTTGGATTCATAAGTCTGGAGCAGAAGACTGGTGACCTATTTTAATAACACTTGAAAAAGATAATATAATGTTTAATCCATTAACCTTACATTGAGTTCAACAGTAGCAAAACAACTCTTGGAAGTACTGACGAGGCGACCTTCACCGTCACCACACCCTGGGGAAGATTTTAAATAGTTATGACAAAATACAACATGACGTTCTTTCTTAGTGCGTACAGGTATCCCTTGAGATACAAATGTTTGAGATGTGAAATTTCGAATATACGAATTTCATAAATTTATAACACTATTTCAAGAAGCGAAACCTTCACCCGCTTATACGAATTTAGGTCTGGGCAAAAATCTAAATTTCGTGTTGTAGTCATTACCTTTTTCACCACCTTGCTGTGAATGTTGGTTTTTTGCATCATTGATCATCCAGGCTACTGCAAGCTGGTCACAGGTAATCCAGTTTTCATAATGTTGTTTTTTCAGGATTTTGGCCTCAATCTTATTCATTAGTTCAGTGATGGGATTCTGGATGTCGCCCAACTTTTTACGCAACGACTAAGTAAACTTACCATTAGATTAATACAGAAATCATTTACATTATATTTATTCAAAAATTTACCTTCCTATATAATACAGCAGCTCCTGGCAAGACAGTTATCAGTAATGAATGAGTTTGGCCACCCTCAACTACAACAGTCAAAGGCCTTCATGAATGAAAATGTAATGACCAGATATTGTATAGAAGTGATATAAATTGGGTGTCTTTTTTTCTTCTCAGCACCACAAAACTCTCACTTTTAAGCTTGCCAGCCATTTTAAAGTGAATTACAAACAAAAATTTTGTCTGTGTACTGACGTTGGGACTCGAAAATACGTAATTTGACAAAATTTTGTTAAGACTGAGGCAGGTAGTAAGTCAGGGAGGAGCTGTACAGAGAAAATTTTAACCTCTTTTGATCATAAAGTCACCAAAACAATTAAAGGTAAATAAATAATTTGTGTTTGTTAGTTCGGAAGTGACCAAAATTGGAACATATTAAGGCACTGTACATTCAAAAGCCTGTCTGTACAGTACAGTAATTGTTGACAGTATGCAACACAAAAATGACAGTCCACCAGACCAACTAGTAAGCAGACAAGTGGTGAAGAAGATAAAAGTAAAATAAGTAACAGTACTCACATATGGTATTGTCACCCCATCAAGACATGTTTCCCAGGGTGTGAGGTAGATGGGTATAAGGGTTTCCTCCAACACCACTTTAGCTGACTCTGGGTCACATATGAAGTTGAACTCTGCTGCTGATGTTATGTTGCCCAAACCTGCCCATGTAAAGAAGCTTCTACAGGTATTTAGATAATCAGAGTACAATGGTGTTGGGGTTGACATTATACTAAAAGAATATTAATGATTTTCACTCACACTGGACCAGAACTGCTTGTAACTGGCTATCTATCTATGTATAAAGGATAAATCAGGACAAAAATAGGTGTTTATGGGGTCAAAATATAGAAGGTAATCATAATTTTGACATAGGTAGATATTAACTGCTGTGAATGAGGTCTTTTTGCTGATTACAGTGATCCCTCGGTTAACAAAATTTCGGTTAAAGAGTTACCTTCCATAAGATTCTTCACTTCGGTTAACGAAAAAATTTCGTTTAACGAATTCCTTACGAATTTTTTCCCAACATGTTTTCGCCTGCATTTGGCTGCTCACCAGCTGTAGCATTAGTCTGCCAATACAGTAATCGGTTTTAGGGCTTAAATTCCTTGCCATTTGAGTAAATATCAAGAAGGTTGTACTATTCAATAATTTTCCAAGTCTTATATTAAAGTTTTTAGTCATTTTAACAATTATTTGACATAATTGAAGTACAGGGAATTGGTTTTTAGCACACCAAACAGCCACTCAACACACCCAAAATGGCATCAGTGTGTGTCCCTGCTCAGTGGAGGAAGCTTCTTGCTTGAGACTCTTTTGAACATAAACTATTTTTACAGTACAATTATTGGTCATTCTGAAGATTATTTTACATACTGACAATATATAATGCAGTGCAGTGTTGATTTAAAGAAAATAATCTTGAATTACACCAAGTGAACTAAAATTTTATGGGTGAAATGGCAGCATGGGGTGGCTTCTCTTCCACCCCAATGCCTTCTCTTCTCCCTTCTCCACCCCCATTCTAATTCCCATCATCATCATCAACTAGGAGCCTTCTACATGCACACCTCAAAGTTTGTGTGTAATTTTTGGTGAGCTGGAACCAATTACCCAAAATCCCATTGAAACAATGGTTTCGGTTAACGAAATTTTCGTTTAACAAACGACCTTCTGGAACGAATTGTGTTCGTTAACCGAGGGACCACTGTATATATATAATTTAAATTAAAAATAAAATACTAATAACACTGATAATAATAATAAAGAACCATAAAGAAATACAAAAATGAAAAAGATCAATAGTGAGAAACAATACCTGTATATGTATGTTGTGTTGTCAAGTGAGAGAAACAATTGAGACCCTGAAATTGTGTGTAAATGAGGCAGAAAGTTTGATCAGCAACCTGGGACTTGGTCACAATTTTTGTGATGACATATGGCAGCAGGGTCTACCATTAGACAACACATTATGCTTCCAATATCTTCCCAGGCGGTAGTACCTCCCTAATTGTTGATGTTCTTTAATTGCTGTAGTGATCATGGGGAGAGTTTGATAACTGAACAATTTATGATCTAGGTATAACTTTTTATACTTACCTGGTACAGTACAACCAATATTCCCAGCATGAAGAGTTTGTTTTACAATCTTCTGGCAGGAAGACTCTGTTTATATGACAAAGATTTGCTGTGTAGGACTTGACCTATGCATGAAGCACAGTGAAGCCTCACAGGACCATAAAACAGAAAGGTCTAAGTATAACTGGTGGGGGAACAAGAGTAAGAAATGTATAGTACAGTATTTACATCTTTTAGGGAGTAAAATAAAACTCTTTACCTCTAGTGTTGCCACCCATGGCATAGATTGCTGCGAGGCGAGAGGTAAATGCTGGCTCAAGTCGAATGGCAAGAGCCACATTGGTGAGCGGTCCCAGGGCTGTTAATACTATCTCATCTGAAGTAAATAGAGTTTATGTTAAAATTTCAACAACAAGAAAAGAGCATTTCTGTTACATCAACATTCTGTGTCAGATTCAGGCACTTTCAAATTGGATTTGAAGAAGTCAATAAGCTTTCTTTGTCTGTTTTATTATTTGGCACCTCACCATCATGCCAAACAAACATTTCCTTTCTTTTAAAAAATAAGGTGTTTAAAATATCATAAGTAATCCACTATTTTTAATGTAATGCAATACATTATGCTCCTAATTCATGAGCACTTGTACAAAATGCACACAATATTGGGTGCACTTGCTTATGGTAGACTAACCATTCAATGGACTAGCATCCTGTTAAGGGGACAGGATAACCCAAGAGTTGCTGAATGTTAAGAATCAGATCAGCACCAACCAAGCCACCCCACACACAGGTAATACGGGTGTAGTTGGAAAAAGGCTTGAAAGAGTGGGGGGGAGGGAGATTAAATAATTTTAAATGAAAAACACATCCACTTACTGGGATACTTGTTGACCAGTTCTAGGAGTGTCCAAACAGCATGTTGTGGTTTTAACAATGAAGAGGCTGGAGGTATCGCTGGTAAATGTGCGTCCCCAAAACCATCAGTGCCATGAAACATTTCCCCGGAGTGTGTCCAGGGGTGAACTAAAGATTTAGCAGCTCCACTGTACACTGGGATCTATTCAGATAAAAATGCCGTGCTTACAATGAATTGAATGGAATGTTTAAATCAAAATATATGCTGTACAGTTTATACATCACACTCTTCCAATATAATTACTTTGATCTTTTGCTCATTTTGTGGTTTTATAAAGCAGTATTATTTAACATTAACCATAATTTATATTTGGGTATAATTGTCAAAGGAAGAGTTAGATAGAGAGGAGTTATGACAGATTTCAGGAGGTCCCTGAGGCAGCAGTAATGGAGGGTGTTCCCCAGAAGCCAAGGAAGTCCAGATGACTGACCCACACAGCTAAGAGAGCCATCCAAAGAAAATAGCTCCTGTGGAAAAAATATTATATAGTGCAGAGAACCCTGTATGTGACCAATCAAGAAATTACATCAACAAAAAAGAATATTCAAGATAAAGCTGGCCTAAAATATTAAGAAAGACATCAAGACATTAAGACATTCAAATTCCTGAAAGGAATGAAAAACATTAACCCACATCACTTTCTTCAAGATGTCAAGTGCTACAAACACAAGAGGTCAGTGTTACAAGAGTGAAAAGATGTCATGCAGAATGTATTTAGGGAAGTATATACTGTACATAGAGGCTGGTAGACCTATTGAACTGTCTACCAGCTGAAGAAGTGTAAGTTAGAATATTATTGGATTTTAAAATAACCCTAGACAAGACTATTAAGAACAAGGAGGAGGGACCTGCACAGGCCACCAGCCTCCTTCCCCACATGGCCATCATTAGTTGAAGCAGCCTTTACATAGATTAGGTATTATTTAAAACAACCTTAACTTAGTCATTATGTACTCCAACAAACAGCAACAGTATACTATACATAACCTCCATTAAGTCGACAGTTTTCAAAATCCTCAATACATTGTTGTTAACATGGTGTACTCCAGTGTTGCCGTGTACTGTGGTTACAGCAATGACTTCAATTTCCCCTCTCTTGTGTGCTGCCAGAGCCATGAAAATTGCCAGAGCATCGTCAATGCCAGCATCAGTGTCGATAATGACCTTTGGTACAGACATCCTGAAATATAGATATTTCTTTATTGTATTAGCCAGCAAAGAATTTTTACTGCATTCTATACCTGGAGTCTCCATTAAAATGGTGATTCTTTACTTTTACTTTTATCCTCTTCACCACTGATCAGCTCGTTAGCCACTTGGGCGATCGGTCACGTCTCTGTTACGCACTGTTGGCAAATACTGTACTGAGTATGCACCGGCTCCTGGATGTACCTGAATCCGCTCCAGTGTTGGTCAAGTCTTGCCTTGAAAGAGCTCACTCTCTGGCAGATTCTTCCAAGAGTTTACAACCCTCACTCCGAAAAAGTTTGCCCTCACAGTTTTCTGGACTTACGGCTTCTTCAATATTGAGCTGTGACCCCTTGTGGGGCGAGCATCCGCCAGCTCCAAGTAAGAACACTCGACTAAGTAGTGCCCCCTGAGATGCTTATACACCTCAGTTAGGTCACCCCTTGCCCGTCTGTAGTATAAGCTAGGCAAGTTCAGGCACTCTAATCTCTCAGGGTAGTTGAGATGCCAAAGTGCAGGCACCAGACTGGTGGCCTTCCTTTGAACATTTTCAACCAACTGAGTCCCTAGCATATCTCAGGGACCAGACGGGGTGACAGTACTCCAGATGGGAAGCACCTCACTCTTGAAGATCGTTACGAGGGACAGACCGTCGAGATATCTGACCGACCTTCTTATAAGACCCAATAATTTATTTGCCTGATTTACCTTCTTCTCACAATGGCCCAAGAACTTCAGCTCATTGTCAACATACATATCTAGGTCCTTTTCACATTCAGCCTCAAATAATGCAGTTTCTTCATCCCGTTGGGACATCTGATGAAAGAATGCTTGAAATGTGTAAATCAACAAGGAAATGTTCCTAATATTTTTTCCTTAAATATAAAGACATACAGAATACATATGACCTCATGGGATAACTTATGTATTAGAAGCTACTTAACTACACTTTATGACTGGTAAGAAACAACAACAATAGATACTGGCACCTAACCTAACCATACACCGATACTATAAAACATACTGGTGCAGGTATTCTTACTTAACCATGGCAATGAACCACACATTCAAATAAACTGCATTGTAGTAGTCAGTGTAAATGGACTAACACACCACTGAAATTAAAACTATGGATTTCACCTCGTACTTCTAATCTCTACAGCAACAGTCAACACAATACAAAATCAGGTGACACTGAGCCCTCATAAACTGCTGACACAGCATGAAGAGTTAGGGTGATGTAATGATAAAAAGAAATAAATTGTTTTATTTGCCTTTCTATGAGACCTTTACCATTGATTTCACATGTTTTTTTTTAAACTATATACATGGGAACAGAATACCATGCAATTTTCTTATACTATTACCCAATATTGTAATAATGGGAGTGAATCACCCTCCTAAAGTGAAGTACTGTACAGGGTATTGTACCGCAGGAGCTCAGTTTGGTATACTGTAGTGTAGGGTTTTATTTTATCTAATCACCTCTGTAAAGTCCTTCGATATCTGTGATTTAGTTTGTTTCAACCATACCAAAATGATGTTAAACTTATATCCAGTTAGTTAGATTTGTAAGTATTAAATCTTTATATAAATAAGGATATTTTTACTGCATCTATTACATCTTTATACTTAATATTAATGTTAAAATATAACACTAACAGGACCAGAGGCACCATTCTAAACTCCCTTGCCCTATCCTAAGTTTAGGTCAGGTGCCTCAACAAAAAAGAATCATATTCTTAATAGTGATTTAGAGATAAAGTTGCGGCCAGGTATAGGTATTTGTAAACCAAGTCACGTGGTCGAAGCAATAACCTACCATGTTTCTCAAATTATTAAATAATAAAGCAATCATCGTCCACATGCTATATCGTACAATGATCAGTCTTACTCACTTCCAAAACCATAAACAGTATCTTGATCAAATCTTATGGATACTCCCAGAATAAGTGATGCCATCCAAGTTTTAACCTTTGTGTAATTAACATTAAATTTTGTTGTTGCCTTGTTGTTCCTGAAGTGCCTCCTATTATTTTACTTTACTTTTATCGCCTTTGTCACTGATCGGCAGAGGACAAGAAGAAGGGTGAGTAAATTTGAGATTATTTGAAGGTTGTTTGCGTCACGAATTACGAGCGCTTCTCCCAGTAAACCGCGACTCGTCATTCGTTAATAATTCCCAGCTCGCTATTGATCAGTTTTATAGACTGTACTTGTTAACTATGCCTTAAGCGGCCGATAAGTTCAGAAACCAGTATTGAAAGTTCGTCTGCTGAAAAAAAAATCAGAAGAGAATGATGAGTTTAAGTGAAAAAGTGAAGTTGTTGAAGAGGCTGGACACAGGATGAGAGTGAGTCCTCAGTGGTCAGATATTGTGGTGTTGAGTCCACTGAAATACTTAAAGAAAAACGAAGAAACAATCAGAGGTGGTGTTGCGTGCAGTGCTACCCAGTGTGTTAAAATAATAAAAATTGTGACAAAACCACTGAACAAACGGGGAAGGTCTAAAATTAAATTCCACTCAGTGACAACCATACAGGGCAACACAAGCTTTTACACAAACATTTTGAAGCACAGTGGAGTAAGAAGGAGCACAAAGTGAAGCAGGTGGGTGAATCAGCGACTGAGGACTAAGGGGTAGCACAACAGGGATCCGGATTTTAAGGCAGCTAAGGACCGCATGTGATACTCTATCGTGCATTGAACCCACATGGGCTCTGGGGTAAAAATAAATGTAGAGTGCCTGTGTTTTGGCGCTGATACTCTATCGTGCATTGAATCCACATGGGCTCTGGGGTAAAAATAAATGCAGAGTGCCTGTGTTTTGGCGCTCAAACAAGAAGGCATGGGTAACTGCAACATAAGGTAGAGAAGTATTTAAAATCAAAGAACTTGGCATTTAAAGCCCTTCTCATCATTGACAATGCTCCCTGCCATCCACTAGACATCAACTTTGCACACCCAAATGTAGTTTCCTACTTCAAATGCGACTTCACTACTGCAACCCCTCGATCAAGATGTAATAGCAGCCTTCAAAGTGCATTATACCAAACGCATTTTCAGTCATATTTTGGATACAATGGAGAATGATCCAACAATGGACGTCATTCAGTGTTGGAAGAACTTTAGCATTGCAGATTGCATCTCTAACATCAAGGAATCACTAGATGTGATCAAGCCATCTACCATAAATGGCTGCTGGATGAAGCTGTGGCCAAAGGCTGTCAGTGACTTTTCTGGTTTCCTTTCTGTTGCTGATGTAGCCAGGAACATCGCTCGGCTGGCACGTCAAGTTGGAGGAGAAGGCTTTGGTGATACGGGGGCAAGGGAGGTGGAGGAAGTCTCATGTGAAGGAGTTGAGTGAGGAGGACCTGGAGGCGGTCCGACTAATTACCCAAATGTAGCCAAATGTAGCCGCAATTAAGTCAAATAATGGTCCTACATGAATAAATCGGACTACCAATCACTTCTCGACTAGTATTTAGTGTCACAAAGTAAAAAAAAATGGAAAACTTACTTTAATCTGAGTTAATAGATCGCGTGCATGTACCGAGGGAGCGAGTAATTACCCAAATGTTGTCGCAATGAAGTAAAATGATGGTCGTACAAGCGTAAATCGGGCTGTGAATCACTTCTCGATTATTATTTGATGTCATAAAGTCACAAAAATTGGTAAACTTAATTTAATCTGAGTTGTGTTAGGTTAGGTTAGGTACATGCACTCGATCTATTAACTCAGATTTAATTAAGTTTACCAATTTTTTGTGACTTCGTGACACCAAATACCAGTCGAGAAGTGATTGGCAGTCCGATTTATTCATGTAGGACCATTATTTGACTTAATTACGGCTACATTTGGCTACATTTGAGTACATTTGGATAATTAGTTGGACCCCCTGGAGGAGCTCAGCAGAACAGGTGAGGATGATGTCAGTGAAGACGACGCGGCTACAATTAAGATTAGCAGTATGAACATCAAAGTTCTTGCCGAAATTATGCAACTCAGACGAACTTACACCAACAAAGTTATGGAGATGGATCCCATAATGGAGAGGAGCTTTAAGTTTAAGAAAGAGATTGAGACTGCATCACTCTCCTACAGAGAAATCCAAAGGAGACTTCAGAAAATGGCACAGCAAATATCACTCACCAGTTTTTTTTTCAGCCATTTACCTCTGCTTCAACATCTTGCACCAATAAATTCTCTGCAAAGGCAAGCACCTCTGCCACAACTAAAAGTGATGTCCGGGAACAAAGTGAAAATGTAGGTACACAGACACATACGTTGAAATTAAAGAAGCAGAGTAAAATAAATCAAAGGATTATGGAGACGTGGAACTGACTCCCATAAACATCATATGTGCACTGTCCATCCAAGCTTTGAGCACTGCCTTTGTAAGTTTAGGAGCAATCAGTCTGTATCAAGAGATATTGGAGCCAAGGTCACTACTGTGAATAAATACCAGCCTGGCAGCAGCTATCTAGACAAAGAAGAATCTGCCTGAGTTAGCCCTCCTCACGCCTGCATCTCCCTTGCAGTCGTCCTTCTGACTTCCACTCCAACACTAATCAATAGAGATGCTCGAGTCACTGAGGATGCTAAGAATAAGAGTGTGCCTCGCTGAACTTTCTTGACTGCAAATACTGTAATACCAAGTCAACAGCCTGTGGAGTCATACAAGTGAGTACTTAGCCTAAGATCATTGCTCTTTTGCGATGTATATAACATGTCTATTACTGTTAATCATAAACTTTTAGTGTACAGAATGCTGATGACAGTTCCTGTTTCTGTCTGGTAAAGATCCAATTGATATACAGCATATTTAACAAGTTGTCATCTTAATTGAAGTCTTGCAAACAATAGCTGATAGACACCTTACCCCGCCATCTTGTACAAAACAGAAGCAATATTACTGTACTACTGTACCTGTATATGGATAAAAAATATAGTAAACAAATTCAATGTACAGTACTGTACTATACTTTGTGGGAAGGAACCATTTTTATCTGTAGCTTCAGTGAAATACCTTGGACAAACTCTTGACACCCTTGTTTATAAGAATTAATTATTGATAATATATTGGTAGTAAATAAAATTATATAATGCTAGGTAGAAGTTTCTTTATGGGGAAGCCAAATGTTAAATATCTTGAGCTGATGTCCTTAGAGCCCTTTGCTTAGTGCTCATACAGTGTTACTTGGACTATGCCTACTTATCATGGTATTGTACTGTGCCTTTACACAAAACACCCCACAAATTACAATGAGGGAGGCCGTTGTCACCACCAAGATCAGAGACTTTACCGAGGATTATTTCCGTCTCGAAAGTCAAGTACAGTACACTAATAGCTGTACAGAAGAAGAAAATGGTAGTAAATTAGGTAGCAGATAAATAACAAAAGTGAATAAGAAAATCATGAAATAACCCGAGGATACTCTACTACACTGTACAGTATACTAGCTATACAGTGTATTGTAACATCGACTTTGGTTGCAGAATTTTTTCTCTATACCTGTATATGTAGAGGGGTATACAGTATTGTCTTCCATTCCTCTGTAGTTCTGTTTCTTCCAAATATCTATGATATTAAACAAAAAACAATTGCTGTAGAACAATAATTAATGTCTTGTAGATATTGTGACAGCAGATTTTCTCCTGTTGGGTGAAGGAAACTCAGATATACAACAGTCAACATACTCTTGTGATAATGGCTGTTCTACATATGATCGCTTATGCCACACCACGTACCCTGATGCCTTGGCTTACAGCATGGCCACCCCACAGTGCAAGGGGAGTAGGAGTCGATTCAAAATTTTCTCATCATTTAATACCAGCCACCCCTAGAATCTAATGACCTCTAAAGGTGGGCCGCGAGCATTAAACGCTGAGGTGACATTGCCAGTCTTGCACCCCAGTTCTTGTAGTTGCCAACACCCTGGTATTGTAACGTGGCTCCAAGCCACTCTAAGCCTAGTGCTGCACCACCACCTCCCTCCTTGGGACAATGGTGCTTCACGAGGTGTGAGTGGGATTTACTGGCAGTATATATGATGCTAACAGGATTATTATTCTTTTCTTGGACTGGCATTTTAGAGACATATGGGAGAAGATTTTGATTTACAAGTGGATAAACATAGAGTGATAGGTACACTTTCCAGCTGAAATGAAGTCAGCCACTGGGTGTACTTGTTGACGGTGGAACATCCCTCTGGTAGACTGACAGTCTGCCTAGATGCTATACTGTAATTAGGAATTTTATGAGACTTGAAAATTGCTTTTCTTCTACTAGATGAAAGATAACAGTGTGTGTGATTTGTTTGTTTGGTGGGTGGGTGTGTTCATGTAGGTACTTCTCAGTATTAAACTATGAAATCATAATAGACAGAAATTTAGTCATTGGCTACTTAAATATATATTTTTTTTATGGCAGAGATTACTGTATTATCCTCCACAGGCATTCTTCATACACAGTACATCTGCATCCCTTTTCACTGGATTTATGTTATGTTTATGAAATTTGTGTTAAACTGGTAATATTCCATGTGTGGTTTTGGGTTACAGATATAGTCTGGGTGTCTGAAGTGCTGGAGTGCAGGCACCAGTCTGGTGACCTTTCTTTGGACATTTTTAATCAATCAGTCAAGTCTTTAACATATCTCGTGGACCAATCAGTGGGACATTTCTCCAAATGGGGAAGCACATCATTTTTGAAGAGCGTTATGAGGGACAGACCATCAAGGTATGTTATCTCCCATCTTATAAAACCTACTAGCTTAGTTGCTTGATTTACCTTCTCAGACCATCGTCAGATGAAGGTACTGTTCTGTACTTGTATAAAGCTACCGGTACCTTTTTTTTATTTTAATATCTACTGTATAGACAATCAAACGTCAAGGTTAAAAAATATATATTATGAAAAACAGATAATTTATGTTTTTAGTTAATTGTGGAGCAGACGTTTAGCACCAGAAGAACTTTATGGGATTGCAACAGGTGATACGAAGTAAGAAAGTCAAAACAACAATGCATAGAACCTTACTTAACTTCCTAACCTGTGCATTGTTGTTTTGAAATTCCTGCTTACTATCATCTCCAGAAAAATATGAATGAATTCTATCCAATATTAATCATAATTAACACGCCCGATGAGATGGTCATTCATTTCTTCACGTGTAAACAGAGACCACAGACGCTCCCGTATAATAGATAATGTGAACCAAAACATGGTTCACTGTACTGTAATTTCATTACAAGTAACAAAGGCAACATGCCATCTCACAGTGAGTCAAGCTATCACTAAACAGAATTTTGACAAAACGTTAAGGAAGCGAGTGTTTAAAAATTTTTTATTGTTGTTTAAACCCTAGTAAAGAATATGCCTTGCATTTTGGCACTTAGGGGTCATACCATGGATTTTGTTCAAATTTCATATAAAGGTACTACTTTACATGCTGATTGAGGATCTGGGTTCACAGAACAAATATTTGAGTACCTGGTAATTATTGATTAATGACCTTTGAAATAATTAAAGATATTTAAAATACAGTATTGTACTGTATTTAAAAGTAATTTATGCTGTGCCATAAGTTTTAAATCCCCATTACAGTACAGTATATGCATTTTATAAAAAAATATAGACTCTCTTTACTATATAAATACTGTACATTAGTTTTCACTTGAAAAAAAAATGCCGTTTGATGTCAATCAGAGGGAAGTCTTCTTGCAATCAGTGAAGCCACTTGTGACTCTTGCAACTGAGCTCACTTCAGTACCCCTCTAGCACTGATCATGTCACCAAGGTAACAGAACACATGACATGGTCCAGGGACATATCTCAGATGTTGATTTTCTCCAGCCTTGCCGAGGCCTGTGTGTGCAGAACACTTAAAAGTTAGCATCATAAGTCTGTCATCCACTCCACCTCTTGTTTTACCAAGAAAAAAAAAAAAAAAAAAAGTTACAGGTTCCCTCTTTAAGGCAATGAAAATTTTCATCTATAGAATTTTTTCCCAAAGCTGCTCCATCTCATAAGTCACTGTTCTAGACTGTGTATTGTCCATTTTTCAAAGCAGAATATACAGTACATGTGGTATTTAAATAATAAAAAATTAATGGCCATCATTTAGTCATTGCACATATTACAGCATCTAAAAATGGAATGTAGTGAAAATCCTGAACAACAGATAGTTTTGAGATAATATAACCAGATCAGATACACATTTGAGCTTTAGAGTATTAATATATGAGCAACTCTGACCAGGAGCCAAAACCTCCAATTACTTATGCAGAGTGAAATGTCAGAACCTAACAATCATAACAGTGCATATAATAATATTCTTACATTAATACAAGGAATGCATTAACAGGGCTGTGCACAGAATCTGTCAGGAGGGGGCTGAGTTTGCAAAAAGGGGCCCCATCTCCTGAGAGAAGAGGCGAGCCTTTACAAGTGAGGGCTATTTTGAGGCCATATACAGTTGCTATGATGTCCCTTAAATTTTTTAATGAAAATATAGTTAATATGTCATAAAAGCAACATGCAAACTGCTTATTTATGAAATGCTGGTTGTGAATGTGTACTGTAGCTTTATGTGTAGATGAATCATATGCCATACAATGACATTATTAGACAGAGGATACCCTAACCTCTTGTTACTGATGATTGAAACAAAAACACTGAGGAGGGCACTTCGTAACTGGCAAGCCAAAGGAACAGGGGATCCAACCCCCTGAGCCCTACCTGTGCACGTGCCTGATTAACAAGGATATATAAATGGAATTAAAATTAGAGAGTAATTTCAGTTTGGTCCTTACAGTACAGGTATTTAATAAAATTTTGAAACCTAAAAATAATTTCCTCAAGAAATTATATAAAAATTTCCAAAGCTAGGCATCAGAGTCATAAACCATATATTGGGAGTCATGGAAATTGCTCTTGTCATTTGCAATTAATTAGGAGAAGTATACAGTGAACCCTTGCCCAACGCGCAGTTTTCGAGGAACCTAACCTCCACGTTGGGCGAGGGTTTACTGTATGTTACAATCAAAGGCCTAAAACCTCTGCATTAAACATTTTTCAGTACAGGGTATAGTAAATTACTTATAACTTCCCATTATGGCAAAGTCCCTGAGTAGGATATTATGAAAGTTACTAGTTAATGTCAAAAGCAATGAGATGTGTGCATGGTTCTTGTCAACAGAGGGCTTGGTCACAAGTGGCCACCTCAGCTTAAACTCTTGGTTCAACCCACATCTCCACACTGTTCACCCACACCAAGGGAAGAGTTAAAAAAGGCACAGGTGGAGTTTTACAGCTGATTCACAGAATCTTAAAGCTTATACTTAAGTATTGTGTTTAAAGTACTGTATACAAATTTCTGCACATTGAAGGAAATTGAATCTATAATCAGTTAGTCAGCAATGTTTTAGAGTAGTTCTTCAAAACAGAAATGGATGTTTAGTCCAGTACACTAGTGGGAAATTCCCTGGATTGGTCATAGCTACACAAAAATCCAGGAAGTTCTGTTTTGGGTACTAATTGGGATACACTGGATTAAAAAAAAAAAAAAAATTATATATATATATATATATATATACTTTTTACTATGATCTATCAACACAAATGGTTAACAAAACACAGGTTCAATATCAGACAAATTTCATGTATCATTTGTTTTACTGAAGATAACCATTCATAATACTATTTGGCAGTGTTCATTTGACCCTATAATTGCTAAGGGTTCCCAGACATAAGAGTAAAATTATTGGGCATTATCTGGAAGAATATCCCGAGTTAAAATCCTGAGTCATTTATAGAGTTCACAGGGTTAATGAATTCAATCTAAATTATTTTAACGTACAGTCAGTTCTGCTATAACGCGATTGTTGTGTTCTTGTAAAACATCGTGTTATAGAAATTCGCGTAATAGAAATAACAGGGCTTATGGAGAAAATAGGGTTAGGTGCAGATTACTACTCGAAATCGAAAGAAATTTAGTATTTAGCCTAACACAAAGGATAGCACAGTCTAAATAAATGTTACATTCATATCTAATAATGAAATCATACAGTAAATGTAACACTTTACCTTGAAAAAATATGAATATCACTTGATGGGGGAGAAGGGTGATTTTGAGGTAGATAACATCAAGCTTCTCTTCAAGGGTTATAGCCCTTCTTTTACGATCATCACCGGGAATGCGATCACCAGAACGCTTCTTGGAGATATTCTTCTTTACCATATTCACAGTTAATACCACAAAATTGGAGAAATAGTAAGCAAAAATCGCGTTACAGCAAACAAGCGTTTGCGTTATACAAATATCGTTCCTCTATTCATAAATCGCGTTAGAGCCAATTCGCGTTGTCAAAACACGCGTTATAGCAGAACTCACTGTATTTGGAACAATAACATTAAATAGTTGTAATAAAATAAACTACTGTAGCTAAGAGGTAGGAAACTACAGTAAAATTGACTTCAGTATTCATCAGTGCTTCTATTTTTCCAGCATTACATTCAATACTTGTTACAATTACCCATTCTACACTCACCTCAGGTACGAAGAAGCACATCGCCTGTATACTGTATTATACTTATTGATGAGAAAGTGGAAGACTGGGACAAACATAGAATTAATCAACCCTCATTTACTACAGTAAAAGATAGAAATGTTTTTTCCTTATATGTAAATGTAATTATATTTAAATGCTTATTATAATGGAGTATTATGATTTTTTATAATTCCTCAGCCAAAGAACAAATATTTATGGAGCTTAAAGCATTAAATTTTTCCTACAAGTTAATACAGTAAGTCTGATAATGTATTAGTAACCCCACAAAAATCAAGGGTTTACTAAAATGGTCGTCAATGCTTGGTGAGCCACGCTATTGCCTGCAACATAGTCGTACTAAAAAATCTTCCTCAGATTTTCTTTTTTCATGTATTAATCTTTCACTTTTACATGGGAAGTTCATTGCATTTCTTCTATCACCGGGGGAAATTTTTTTACACCTATCGGTATATCCTAAACAAGTATAAAAATTTAAATAATTTCAAAATACTGTATACAGTAAATCTAAAAACTATTCTTCACTGTGGAGAAGCATAATGTGACTTCTTTACCATTTTTTCATTAGTGAGAAACAAGTTTAAATTATTAGGATAACCCAAATATTATTTTTACCTTTACTGTATGGAAGGATATATTCTTAGTAGATAAATCAGTAGAGTGTACTATAAAATTCTAAGAATACTGTACATCATTGCACAACAATTAAAATATCTATGAAGTCTGAAATTCATCATAATGAGTACGTATTAACAAATCATTAAAATCACTTTATAATACTGCACTAAGTATATATATATATATATATATATATATATATATATATATATATATATATATATATATATATATATATATATATATATATATATATATATATATATATATATATTATAAACCTTTGGGGATAATGAAGGTCTTTTGGAAGGTGCTTTCATAGAAACATGCTTGTTTTGCATTCCCTTCAAATTCTTTTTCTTTTTCTTCTGATGTTTTTTTTTCTTCACTGTAGAAAACAATGCGGTGAATCTTTTGACAAACTTCTTCTAACACTTGAGTGATATTTTTTCCACAGTGTTCCTTCAGACTAGAGCACACACAATCCACATACACAGAACCTGTAGAAAAAAATAAAAATAAATTATGTATTCTTAAAAGAAAACATTTGTCTACAACTTTTTAGAAAGAAGAGAAGGGGAGATTTGCTTCACTTAATATTCTGTAGAAATTTCATTATAGGCAAGTTGATGAATTAGGGAGCAAATTCATATTACAGTACAGTACTGTATGTAGTTTAGAAAAACCCGAGTTTGAAAAAAATAATTATACAGGAGAGCCTCCGATAACAACGGTTCTACTAACAACGATTCATATTTAAAACCCTTGTTAATTTATGACCCAATTCAATTTACACCATAATTTTCTTCATATTTAAAAAAAAATAAATAAAATTTTCATAATACTGGGTAACTTAATCCTGATATGTATTATACAACTAAAAATAAATACGCCTTGCCCACGGAGACTGCCAGGCTTGTGAGTGGTGACGCCACCATAACAAGTATAAACCGCCACAGCTTGGCTGGCATTTTTTTTTCTTTTTTGCGCATCTGAACAGGAGAAAAAGTTTCTCAGGTTTCTTATGACATTTTTGTGTTCATATTCAACATGAGCAAGAGAGCAAGTGATGGTAGTGCTGGATCAAAAGCTACAAGAAAGTGTGTAAGCTTTGCCGAGAAACTAGATGTGTTAAAACGATATGAAAAAGGCGAGAAGTCTGTGAATATTATATGGAGCAAGTAATGAACATATTTTCCATTAACAGAACGAAGCATTAAAATTAACAGGGACATGAAAAACACACATGACCCCTGCATAAAGATGTAGTATAATGAGAAAAAGAAAGCAGCTGTGCAAGGTTCTTTAGATAGTTTTATTATTTGAAGACCTAAACCATCAACTTAAGCTACAGCCACACCATCAACTTCAGGTTCAGCTACACCATCAAATTCAGCATCAGCAGTACCTTCAGCAACAGTTATGACATCTTTATGGAAAGCTATAGCTTCAGCCAGAATTGAACCTACAGATTCAGCCATAGGAACTTCGTTATCCGAGTAAAAACTCGCACAACAACACTGGCTGTCCTTATGTTTTCGACTTTACCACCACTGGCGAGTAGAACTTTTGTTTTACATTCATAAGTATTATTTAAAACGTATATGAACAGTAATAAGTGTTCTTTCATGTTCTTATATAGAGAAATGACGATATGTTTCCTCGAGTGTGCATGTATACATTGGCGTTCCACTATCAGTCTCTCACTTTTTTCTTTACCATCAGTGGTTACCTCTATTGTACATTAAATAACATTAATTAAAACATCAATTTTTTTTCATTACTTTTACTACAACCAGGGTCTTATTTTCTTCAGTTTCAGATGGATAACTGACATCATGGGTGTAAACACTGACAAAAACAATGGCACCACTACTGGTTGTGGTCAGAATGAAAAGGAAAAGTGTTACAAGTTAAATAAGATGTGGTAGAGAAAGATCTGAAAGACAGTGAGCTGTGGACATAATAAGAGCTGTTAGTTTGCAACATACAACTGTAGGAAAGAACAATTTGTGGAAATGCAGAAAATATCAAATCATGTGCTAAAAGTGTTACTCCATTATCTGCTACAAAGTTAACTGGCAAAAGCTCAAGTTAACTTTAAACAAGAAGGTGATAGTGATGAAAGTGAAACAATTGTGGCAAGTTGTGAGAGAATTGTGACCATAAATGTACCCAAGGAAAATAATCCCCATTTATATCATTGTGTCTATGGTAAAATAGTTCTCGCTTAACGTTGTTTCACTTAAAGTCGTGATTTTTCAGGAACCCAACAAGGATATTAATGAGGGAATTGGTGTACAAATCTCACCTACGTTCCAGTCGGGATTACTGTATACAGAAATACAGTACAGTACTGTAAATAAATTTCCATAATTATGTCTTACCGTGATCTTTGAGCCTAAAGGCATATTTACTGCGGAGCGTAGCATAAGCAATAAGACGATCCATCTGGTAGTAAACATAGCTTGTGTCGTGGGCAGCGTCTGGGTAATCCACATAAGTTTTACCCTCTCCATCTATGGTTGCTTCATAATTACCTGTACAATATAAACAAGAATAATATAGTTAAAAATAAACTCCATTACACATTAAAACCAGTAAATGTAAAAGAATTTCACTGTACTCACATGAAACCAATGAACGTTCTCTAGTTATAAACACACGGGGTCATACCTTGTTACTGTCTGGCTGTTTCCTCCAACTGTGCTACATACAATATATATGAGTACTGTACTGTATATAGATGTCATGATCAGTTGGCAACGATAGTGCAACATACTTAATAAGTAAACAATGTTCAGCCATAAAAAAAAAGTAATTCAAGTTTACGACAAAAAGCTAAAATTATTCAGAATTTGGTGGATATTTAACAACTGCAAATATTAAGACAGTGAATAATTGACAGGGTTCATTACAGTATTTCTCCCCCACATTTGCAGGTCAACCTATATAAGAGCAACTTATTCATTCTTTCTTGGTGCTTTGTATAGTCAACAGCAGATGTTCATACCAAACCAACCAGTACAATGAGGCAGTTGATCTAGTAACGGTGTATGGTGAAGAATTGACAGATATGCTTTAATTAAATGACAAGTTATTTAAGATTTATGATGAAAAATTGACCAAAAAAATCATATCTTGTATTGTGGGAAACTATTTATATCGTATATACCCGTGTATAGCACGAGTTCTTAAGACCAAATTTTTGGGCAAAAAGTTGGGGGTCGACCTCTATACGGGTAATAGTTTCGTTAGGTTGAAAAAAATTTACCAGTAACTACCAGTAAACAATGGAAACGACGCACCAACGCACCACCCGCTGTGAGTGTCGGTACAGTTGCCAAGGCAGATCTCTTGCGTCATCATAGCAAGCCCAAAGTAGCCAAATGCATGGTATGGTATGCACAGGAGTATGTAAAACATAAAGTATTCATTTTTAAAAGTGTATTTATAGATACATAAATTTTTGTTAATTAAATTTGAAACATCAATATGATGTGAGTCAGGTCATCTACACACAGTTGCCAGTTTCAAAATTTTCCTTTTAAAATTTTAAGTTACCGAGTATTTCTTTTCCCAAATCGTTTTACAATACTGTAGGTAAAACAGTATACTATTGTGCAAACCCCACAGAAAAAAAATTAACAAATGGAGACACCAAAAATGTAAAAAAAAAAAATGCTGTCTGACTTGCAACACTGTTGGTAGGGTCAGGTGGTTCTAACGGTACCTGCCAGGACCCGGTAATCAAATTTATAACAATATCTAACCTCAATTACTGTAGTTTATCTGATGTAGGCAATATGAAGTAAAAAATACCAGTTAAAGTGAGAAATTGGAAGAGAATAAACAAGAAAGATGTTGGGCTATTTTTGGTAGGGCTGAGGGAGAGAGTACCAGCTGTTTGGTCTTTTTTGGCGGGAGAGTCACGCAAATATCCGTACTAGTATTTGTTTGGTGTCTTCTGTATTTTTAAAAATGAATACTTGTAAATTAAAAGTACCGTAACATTGTATTATATAAAAACTTGTCATATTTCTGGAAAATAAGAAGCAAGAAAATAAGAATACACCGGTAAACACAATTTCAACGTACGCTAAAATTAAAAGCTGCTTAAGAAGGGCCGATGCAAACACAAAGCCTCCGCGACCAGGGCTCTGCCGTATCAGCTAGACGGTACACGTGTTTTTCGAATCGTTTTCAGTTAAAAAACTTTTACATCACAAGTGAATTAGGATAGAATATTATTGTAATATAACAGTTTTTAACTGAAAACCATTCAAAAGGCGATTACGGTAACATCTTGTGAACGAAAGAAAGCGAGTCATTGTTTTTGTCACGATTTTATCCCACTTTCCACTATAATACGTACGTCATTTCAGAAAAAATATTACATTTCCATATTCTCAGAAATAAATAGTAGTTTTGCTGAAACGTGATGTATTTCAATGTAAATTAGGATAAACTACATGCAGAAAACAAAAGACTTTACCTAACCTTCCGATGTTCGGAAATGTAATATTTTTTGCTGAAATGACATACGTATTACAGTGGAAAGTGGGATAAAATTGTGATGAAAACAATGACTTTCGCTTTGTTTCGTTCAAAAGATGTTACCGTAATCACTTTTCGAATGGTTTAGTTAAAAAACTGTTGTATTGTATTACAATAATATCCTAATTGACTTGAATAAATATTACGATACCATATTTCTGAATATTTTCATTAAAATCCATCAAAATCATTTTCCTTGTCATCGTCTGCAGCACCAAACAGCTTCTCCCAGTCCTCTCCTTGAACAGGGCTAGAGGGAACGTGTTTTTCGAATCGTTTTCAGTTAAAAAACTATTACATCACACGTATATTTTACCTAAACTGTGCCTGAATGAATATATTCTCGGAAATAAATAGTAGTTTTGATGAAACGTGATGTATTTCAATGTAAAATAGGATAAAATACATGACGAAAACAAAAGACTTCACCTAAGCTTCCGATGTTCTTGAGATGTTATTCGTTTTTTTAATAGTTTTCGGTTAAAATTCTGTTATATTACAATGATATTCTATTCATACTGTGCTTGATATACTACATTCACGGAAATGTAATATTTTTTCCTGAAATTACGTACGTATTACAGTGGAAAGTGGGATAAAATCGTGACGAAAACAATGACTCGCTTTCTTTCGTTCAAAAGATGTTACCGTAATCACTTTTCGAATGGTTTAGTTAAAAAACTGTTGTATTACAATAATATTCCCTCCTAATTGACTTGAATAAATACTTGAATGGAAATATACAATATTTTTGTTGAAACTACCTGCGTTTCAGTGTAAAGTGTCGTAATAATAAATGGTAAACAAGTTTATAGGACGTAGAGTTTTTCTGAAGGTTTTGTTGTTCCATTACCCTCAAAATCTTGGGTCGACCTATAAACGAGGAATATCATAAATTAACGATTTCTTGGTCATAAAATCGGGGTCGACCTATATACGAAGGGGGGTTATAGACGAGTATATACGGTATTTATTTATTTATTTTATTTTTTTTTTTTTTTGAGAAATGCACATACCTTTATCTATAAGCCATTGCTTTAGAATCATCAAGCAAGAAAAATACTGGTTTTCATCAAGAGTTCATCTGGCTCTCCAGTTATGAATCTTCTTTCATCAGTCATATATTTCTCACTAACATTATTTCCTCACATTTTACACATTAATACTACCTGAGTTACACAAAAATCTTAAAGAATTAGCCATTCTATCATAGAAGTGGCCAAGGTTTTTGTAGGAGGAAGGTACACTTCTACATTCCTTGTGACCTGAGGCAGATAACTTGCCTAAAGCCTATTCCTCTAGAGCTTGTTTTCTTTATTTATTCTGGAAAAATACATTTGGCTTTGCAAGAGATTAATTTCTATGATACACACAATAGTTACTTATTTAAAACCATTAATAATACTAAAATATGAATTACATATACATATTAGTGTAAATATAAAAATCATAATCACAATATTTTTTGGATACCCTCAATTCTATGAAACTGATGGTTATATAAAAATAATTATACCATTTTATATCTTTTATAACTGTAAAACATTATTCTAACCTGTCTCCTCTACAGGGATGTGTTCATTTCCTTGGCATGAGGCCATGAAGAAGATTTTGGGCTTTTTACTAAAGTTGTCCAGCTTTGAGAAACTATCAACGAAATCTTCTCTTCGATATTCCTTGTTATTAGGAAGCAACAGGTCCTTCTCTGTCCCGTGTGAAAGAAACCAATAAACGATGGAGTCGTAAAACCGATATTTTGACTTTCTCAGTTCTTTTTTGTACTCGTCAATGGTTTTGGCGCTGGGGTTTTTCTCGACTTTTATTGTAAAGCCAAGAATATCATGAAAAACACTTGTAATCTTGGTTATTTCAAGGTCAGCACCTTCTCTGTCATCAGTAACGCAGAAGACAATACATAACCCTGTTGGCTGGCATTCTCCTGGATAATGTTCTAACTTAAGAAGATATTTAGTGATTATCTCTTGCTCTTCAGGACTCCTTTGTTTATTGAGTATATGGAGAAAATGTTGAAGCTTATATGTGTATAGGCGGTTTTGCATCTTATGGTATTCCAGCATCCTGATCATATAGAAAAAAAGACCTTCTTTAAGGCCTTCAATCTCCTTTAACTGATCCAAGCTAATATCCAAATCTCCATCAATTTTATCACAGAGACTCTTATCTTCTATCATGATGTTGAACAAGTCAAAAACAAGAGTAGGTGTCAGGTCATCACATAAGTGAGTCATGAGCAGGTTTTCAGCATATAAACAAAAGGTACCATTTTTTTCACTTTCTGTAAAATTCATTCTATGTTGAATGTCATTTTTTTTTTCATCGAGATGCTGGCTTTTAAGCCCCAAGTGGCGATATGCCTCTGCCAGGATGAGCAGATCTTCCTCGTCCTTCTGGAAACCTAGACTTTCAGCTTCTGATCCCCTTGGAAGAGATAAAGGGAAACAATTTAATATTTGCCTGACACGGTTCCGTAACACATTCTGGAGGATTTGATTATGAACAAGGTTCTTGTACTTGAGAAAGAACAGGAAACACCAAATTCCCCCCTTGACAGCTTCAGTGTTTAGCTTCCCGTGCTTTATTGTGCCAGTGGTATCGTCACTATTGTCTAGAAGAAAGAGGAGCTTCACTAACTTTTTCTTGGATATATTGTCCAAATCCCAAACCCTGTCCTCTTCATCACCTGGAAAAGAAAGATGCATTAATGTTGGTGTAGCACACATTAGTAATTGACCCAAAAATTTTCTTTTGCTTTTACCTTAACAATTACTGTACGGTACAACATTATAAAAAATAATAATGAAAAGTAATATACCCTGTAGGTGCTCAACTAAGTGAAATAATCAATTTTACATTTTGATTTAACTTAAATGCTGTAAAAGTTTTGGAAATATGAGAAACAATAATACTGTAAATGTTAAAAGAATGAGGGTTACTATAGACTTCTTAGGGGTAAAAATAATCAAGGTGCTCAATCAAAATCCTCACACAGGTACTGTACTGTAGTATGTCGGATATAAAAAAATTACCTTCCTTTACCCATCCTCCAAACCCCCATGACTATCGTGTCTGAGGAAAACTCATTTTTGGATACTATACTGTAGTACTGTACCAAGTAAGTGGCAGAAACCTTAATTGAATGCACTAAATAATATACAGTACCACTAATTAATAATTAAATAGGAAAAAAATTGGTCACTACAAAGATTCTATTTTATATACTGTATTAATATGTACAGGAACTACTAATTCACAATAATGTAGTGTAGAGTAGTCTCACACATGCAATTTAACTACAGTATATAGTACAGTGCTGTTATTTCTCTCTATTTAACAGACTATATGGAGATAAAAGTCTGTTATATCGAGGGTCTGTTAGATGTGAAACCTCCATCTAATGGATTATATGGAAATAGAAGTTCGTTATATAGAGGTTTCACCGTACATACAGGAGGTCCTCGTTGTAAGAGTACCTGTATTCACTATCTGTGGTTTCGCAGTTAAGTGGTCAACTTTATGTGACCATCCACGTAAAAAGTTCCCGCATTTAAGTGGATTCCATTCAAAACTCGGAAAACTCCGGATAAAGTCTGCGAATTTAAAACTCCCGATAAAATCTGTGGATTTTTAGCTGAAGCCTTTGAAATTTCATCCTCTTCCTGGCGTCATGCATGCACACGTGTCCCCACGCCAGTCTCCTGCTTTGTTTCATCCAGACCAGCGCTGTGTTGTTTACTCCTGCCTGTGTTGTGTCTTTTTGTGCGTGTTGTTATGAATTATTATATCATTTTTGTAGCCATGAGTTCTCAACCCAAATAGGGTGGTGCAGCACTCAAAAGGACGCACACCAGCTATAGTATACAGTAGTTGTAAAATTAGAAGTGATTAGGTAAAAGAAGAGTGGGGGTGGACAATTCACCTACGTAGTCCTGTTTCTTTTTCATCCTCCTACTAATCCTCCTCTCCCAACAACCACCTCCATCAATCCAAACATCTCTACCTTTGAAGCTAAGTAAATAAAAATATTTTATTATGTTAAAATTATTTATTTTTAAAACATTATAATAAGTATTTTGTCTCACTGAACCACTGGAGTGAGTGTGCACCAGCAACGGTTGCTGTGGACCACCAGGTTGCTGGCACAACCTATGTTGCCTCAGCACACTGACCCAATGAACTTTAAGGACATTAGATTACTTATACCCTGTACACTAAAGTTAAATAATTTCTTAAAATAAAGTTATCAAATGTTTAACAAATGTTTCTAAGGTAAAGAATTGTTAAAGGATATAATATAATTTTTTTTGAATGTTGTGTACAATGTCATGGTCCCAATTTGACCATTTCCATTATTTCTTATGGGATTAATCCCCGGATTTAAATGGATTCGTTATCAGAGGTGTTTCTCCAGTCCCAATTAACCGCGGACAATGAGGACCTCCTTATATCTAAATTAAATTTTTACCACAAATACCGTATTTGATTATTACAACTTTATAAATTTTCCCCCAACACAACCAAAAGATAATTATTCAAATAGCACATAAAAGCCTTCTGGTTCACACAAGGCAATGAAAACAAGGACAGGTTCAGTCATGGAAAAAAGTTGTGTCAGTCCTCCGTCCCAACCACGAACCCTGAGACTTGTGAATCCGAGACTGCCATCTATGATCCCAACAATGTGTGATGTCTTGGATTCACTGGTTCATGGATGGGACGGAGCACTGACACGACTTTTTTCCATGGCTGTTATGTCTACAATAGTTGGTCCACTACTAAAAACCGTTATATAAAATACAGTATGAGTATACTGTACTGTAATACATCATAGAGAGTGTATGGGCAAACTTTAACAGAAGAAATTAATATAGAACTACAACCATTGCTAAGAGTATACACTACAAGACGTCTACATAGTGTACCTACAGATCATCACTGCTTACTTTTCAGAACTTGCCTTTACATAATGTATTCTGTATTCCAAGAAGAACTGCACTTGTAGATCTTACTCTATGCTGAGGAGAAATGTAATAATTTTAACAATATAAAGTGTTTTTATATATACTGTACTGTATACATATACCGGGCTTCAGAACAGCCCTAGAAAAGGTTATCATGAACAATAGAAGGATACTACATAGGCCAATGGCCTCCTTTCCTAAGCATGGCCACCTACAGTTGGGGTGGCCATTAGGTTAATAATGTGTTGTAAGGTGGTAATAATAATGTGTAATATATACAGTACTGTACAGGTATATCACCGATTTTCCGGCAACGGATGGTCTGGCACCTCTTTTAATCAGGACAAAATTCCCACGACCTCCTGATTAGTTTACTGGGCTGCCCACAGATGGCGTTACGTGTTAACCGCGCTCACTTTGTTTGTTTACTCTGCAGTTGCTGGTGGTAGCCCCTTGATTTTGTGTAATTTTCAACTTATTTTGGACATATTTAACCCCTGCTATGACTTCAAAGGCAAGTACAAGTGTCAGTGATGGTGTAGAGCGTAAACACCAGTCCATATCAATACAAGATAAGGTGGAACTCTTGAGAAAACTTGACCGTGGTGTTTTGGTGCAACCGGTGTGTGATCAGTATGGTATTGGTTCGTCAACTGTGTATGATATAAAGAAGCAGAGAAAAAATAATGAGATTCTATTCAGAAAATTATTTAAAGATACCGGGAAGTGTATAGCTAGTGGGTCAGAGGTGTATTGCTTAATTATTATATATGACCTCTGTTAATCCGGCAAAACGGATGGTCCGGCAAGGCTCAGGAACCAAAGGTGCCGGAATTAAAATTTTCTCAAAATCATTCCCAAAGCCGTAATTTTCCAGAAAAATTCCGGCTTTGGGAACGATATTCTGAGGGGCACATTTTCTGGAATATTCTGAGAAAAATTTTCCGTTACTCGGGAAATTCTGCGGACGAGGGATTTTTTCCGGATTTGAGAAATGAAATGATGCATCATTCTGCAACTTCCGAGAAAATTTTTCAGTTATGTACCCGGAAAATTCCAGGGATGAGGGATTTTTTTCCCCGGCTTTGAGAGTTGTCTCGTTACCCGGAAATTTTCTGCACCAATTGTTCTGGCGAAAGGAGATATCACTATATATACTGTATACAAGTATATAAAACATACTAGTAATACAGTATACTCTCGATTTAACGGAATCAGATACTGTATAATGAACTCTTGATTGAGTGAAAGGAATTTTTTCCGTTATTTTTCGCTCGATTTCGTGAACTAGTTCACGAAATTGAGATTAATTTCATTAATATGCTCACACCTCAGACACATGATATTTACATAGAACCATTAGAAACATTATTCATGATTTACCTTAAGCTAGGTGGTTCAGTTTTTGTTTTCTATTTTTTTCTATTATTCCCCCACACCACTTCCTTTCTGAGACTTCTGAGAGACTTTCGGCATGATGTTTAAGAACAGTAGTTGACACATGCTGTGGTGGCAGGACACAGACTAAGCGGATGTAACAAACCCCACACACGAAGTGGCGCATTTGGCACAAAATTTAATGGAATCATGTTCAATTTGGTGAACTAGTTAGCTAAATCGAGCCAAAATAACAGAAATTCGATTCAACGGAAATTTCGATTTAGTGGGAAGGGATGGCTCAAATTAGTTTGTTAAATGAGAAAACACTGTAGTAGTAGATTAAACTTAAAAACACATTAATGTTTAGTAATTTAAGAGGTTGAACTAATGGGATAAATTCTTTGTGATAAGGCAGTCAAAATATTTTTAAATGTAGGAACTTGTCTAGTATGAGTACAACAATGGGATTTTTTTATCGAGTCAACAGGAGTCACTCAAGATTTATTTTTTTCTGCCATGTTTTTGAGATGTTTATGAATTTGTGACCCTGAATTTATTGAAATGGAGCTGCAACACATTAAGTTCATTACACAAAAACTTGGTTACCCTTCACTGTTTGTTGATTGTTGTCTTAAAAGCGCTGACCTTATAGACGGTCAAAATCCTGAACGGGAGGGAAGGCGTAAACCCAGACCAACTTTCCGAGATGTCAAGCGCTACAAGCACAAAAGAGACATAGCTTCCAGTTTGCCAATTTGCCGTGCAGAATATATATAAGAAATTACTTGTTCATACAGAGGGTGGTAGACCTATGAAACAGTTTATCAGCTGAAGCCATGAATGCAAGTACGTACAATACTGTACCGAGCTAAAACCTTACCCTCGACAAAATTATGATGAACGATGGGGAGATCTACACAGGTTATCAGTCTCGTAACTTCTTCCGTCATGGCCACCTCTAGTTGTGATGGCCGTTATATAAATTACTAAGGTACAGGTAAACATTTATTCATTATCCAATCTATTATCTTTATTTCTGTAACATTACATGAACCTTTGAACTCTTTTCTTTTTTTAGCTTAAAAATTAAATTTGCACAAACCTGAAAAATTTTAATTTAATTTGTTCATAACTGAAGGGCTGACATGTTTGTTTCTATAAATTAAAGAGACAAATAAAAATAGATAAAACCTTATAATTTCCCATCATGGGAGAGAGATTCATATAAACAAAACATTGTAGGTAAAATTATAGTACAGGTACACCACCGATTTTCCGGCACCCTTGGTTCCAAAGCCTTGCCAGGATTAAATTTTGCCCCCGAGGTCAGGTAATAATAATTCAACAATACACCTCTGACCCATTAATTATACACCTCCTGTGCCACTAAAAGCACCATGGACTGCTAGAAACTTAAATTAAACTATGTGAGCTTATACTCAAATCAATCACTATATTACAAGGATTCCAGCTATGTAATTTATATTCTGTTAAGTCTAGTCTAACATTTTATAATATAAAATCTTTAAGCCTAAACTGCCTTCACCCTGGCTGTGGGGAAAGGGGGGGGGGGTGATGTGTTGACAGTTGTCAAGGAGGGAGATAAAGTGCATAGTTATCAAAACAAGAGTTTTAGTTTTCTCTTATAAAATGTCAATGAATTGACTTGGCACTACAGTATATAATTTGCATTGCTGTAATTCTTGTAAGATAGTGATTAATTTGAGTATAAACATCACTTAGCTTGCACTAGACATAAAATTTTTAGTAATTAACTTATTACAGGTTTACCCTAAGGACAATTATTTCTTTTACTTTTTTCAAATATATATTTAGGATGGTGTGCACATGTAAATGAGTAAAAATAAATGAAGAAAGTTACATATATCTTCCCCAAAAATATGAGTTATAAAACTTGGACACAAATGTACTTCACTAGACTAAAATTTCTATCTCTTGTGCAAACTATCACTATTTTACAAGGATTCCAGCAATGCAATTTATATTCTGCTAAGTCTAGTCAGCTACATTTTATAAGATAAAAACCTTAAGCCTAAAACTAGCTTCACCCTGGCTGGGAGGGAGGGAAGTTAAGTGCCCCCACATAATTTTGTCCGGACTAAAGGAGGTGCCGGAAAATCGGTGGTGTGCCTGTACAAAGCAGCTTGTGTACTTGTATTCAAAAACAATACAAAGCATTTTCCCATATTAACGTGGCAAACACTGCAAATTATTCTTATCAACGTGTACTTATATGGTACAGTACTACGGGACATTTATAACATCACTTCTGCTACAAACCTGCTCCAGGTGTAGCTATGGCATTACACTCTTTTAAACCCAACTGGAACTCAGTATTATCTGGGGCTAGTCTTACAGCTTCTTGGAAATCCTCAGTTGCTCGCCTATGAAGATCTGCAAGAGAAAGCAAGAATTACTGCTCATTGCTTTCTATATTAAACCTACAGCTCCTGTCAGTATATTCCTCAGTACTGTACTCATATCAAACTTAGACATAATCCTTCCTTATAGTTCAAGTGTAAACAACTTCATAATTGATAAATCAAGGGAGCAATTTTTTTCAACCAGATACAAAAAAGGTGTCCCCCCCACCCCCCCAAGCCAGTTTACTTCAGACTGTTTCACTTAATTCAGCTGCCATAATCTTACGAGGATGAAAACCACAAGAGCCTCGGAAAGTGGCGAATAAAAGACCTGTAGTGTATTTCAGTCCGTGGCCAGAATGTTGCCGTTTTGACTACTATCCTGATGCTGCGACCAAACTCCGTAGGATCAGAGATTGTGGAGTTTAAAAGATGTACAGTGATGGGAGAAAAGTCCTGTCATTCCTGTGTCCCGTCCATGAACCTGTGTATCAAGAGACATCACACAGTGTGCCATTTATGGACCCAACAGTGTGTGAGGTCTTAAGAGTCAAAGGTTCACGAGTCTCAGGGATTATGGACCGATAGGACTTTTTTCCCGTGACTGTACAAGTGTTATTCAAAATTCGCGCCCTGGGTCAGATGTGAGGACGGTGTTATGCAGTGTGATCCTAACAAAGATCTTAGGTTTCCTCTTGTCTAACACTGGACAAATAAGGTTGGGGATGATTTAGCAGGCTACTAGCTTCCTTCACAGGTCAAAGAAGTACAAATTATAATAAAAATAATTGAAGTTATCTGGTTATGATTTATATTATGAAATGGAAACAAAAAGTTGAAACTCAACACTAAAATTCCTAATAAACTTTATGTTGCAACTTGAAGACAACCAACTACCTCACCAAAACCAGAATAATTAGTGGGAAAACAAAAATTCTAAATACCCTGTAAATGGATCACTCGCATTGTAAACACTCACCTTGTCTTTCATCCATCTCATGACACTTAGTAGCACAGAGTCTATAGCAAATTGTTCCTCTGTTGTAGTACGCAGCAGCCAGAGTTGGGTCTAATTGTATGGCCTGAGTGTAGTCCTCCACAGCATCATCAAAGCACACTTGCATATATTTACAGAGGCCTCTCTCATTGTACACCAGAGCTTGGTGCTTCTTCCTGTGTGGGGACCGATAAAAGTCAATGAATGGTATACTGTATAACAAAGATATTCAAAGAGAAAAACTTGAAATTTAACTGGATAAAAATTATTACCAAAGACAAGAGAAAAAATATAATAGAGGCGAAGAAGAGATGCCAGGTTATTTCTTGTTACATCCAATGACCTCATGAATTTTTTCTTACCAATCAATGTAATTGACCATTTTAAACTTTTTTGTTCTACATAATATGCTCACAAATGTTTAATAACGGCAAGAGAATTGTCATTAATATAACTTTGGTAAAGGTGTAGAAGAGGGTGACCACTAGAAGGAATTGTCCAAATTGGTTGAAAAATTTTCTACACACTAATATGATATTAAACACAAAAATGGAAACGACAATGCATAGAACCTGACAATCTTATGGTCAAATTCTTTCCTTCATATCACAATAAAATACATCGGAAAAACACTTTAAAAACTACCAATTTGACTGGTTCGGTTAGGTAGGTTTCTTTGGTTGGTTATGAACGAAATTGAACAACTTCAGATATAAATACATAACAGTACTGTACTTACAAAGATTCAGGATCACCATCGTAATAATTGTTCAAGGAGGTGAGGGTTTCAGTGAATGACTCTTTTGCCTCTTTAAAATTCCTTTCTAACTGGTAAAGCTCCCGTCCACGTTCTAAATCCTGCTCTATATTAAAAGGTAACTCTGACATTCTTCTTGGTGAAAAGGGGAAGAAATTTGGTAATGTATGTACAGTTATCAACCACAGTACAGTACTGAACCAGCTAGAGTAGTACTGCCAGACACGTTTAGTACGGTTTTGTACGAACCGTCTTGGAGTGATCGTGACTCGCAAGGAAGGTAGAGTAAGGAAGCTCAACTCACTTTAGTTCTCGTGTGTTGTTCAGTGCCGCCATCTAGCCTTGACCGACAAAGTTAAGGCAGTGTTCATAGAAAACCAGAGATGCCGTATGGCGGGTTAACTTTACTAACTTTGATGCATATATAATCTATTGATAGTTTATTTGTTAATTCATAAAGAAAACCTGACCTCATTATCATTTGTAAAATGTCATCATTATAAAATGACTGAAATTACGGTCTCGAGTATTTTTTTCATGGTCAAACATTTCTTTTTTTACAAAATCACTATTGTTGAAATGTAGAGGTATATAAAGGTAAACAAGACTGTTATAATGCACTTTATTATTCAAAGTAACAATAACAATAAATACAGAATGGGCTGATTCATCATAACAATGTTATCCATGTACTTAACCTAACGTAAGTGTTATGCCACCATTCATCATATATAAATTGTTGTCAATGTGTACAAGTTATGCATTAAACTGTTAATGATATTTAAATAAAATTTTACATTTTTTCCTGTGACTTTTCCTGGTCAACCTTCGACTATTTCCGTTCACCACGCCGAAGCCATGGTAACTTAAACTAGTAACTACACTTAACTCCTTTATCTTCATGATAATAATTATAATTTCACCAGTCTTTACCCTTAGGAAAGTGATGGAACTTTAAATGTCTGTGGCTTTTCTTGTACTTCCTACAACCATGACAACCACGTGGAGTCATTTCCTGGAACTTTGTTATTGTCACACTGAATGACTATTGACTGTCCAGCCAGATGATGTCATATAACAAAAACAGTCCGACACACACGACGGTGGCACTATCAGTTACCAGTTAGTGATGTGATGCCATTTTTTTTTGCCAACGTAGCTGTAAAGGGAGTCAAGCTTCCTTACTCTACCTTCCTTGGTTACTCGGGTTCCTGAACCACTGAAACGTCTTTTAATCTCACAGTTAAAGATCCTTTTCACTCTTAAAATTATGTTATGTTCTGTGTTTGATAATGTTTCCCCCGCCAATTATTCGGGCAAAATATTTATTTACCTTCAGGTGATCCATAGTTACTAAAGTAAGCTGATGGTTTTTTTAGTATCTTTTTTTAAATCGACATAAGAGTACTATTACTTGTCTCTGTATTAACGGAATCACCAAAAACATCAACAAAAAGCACATATAAATTTAACATTGTATATAAATTATAAAGAAATTATTTTAAAGATTTATTTAGTAATCATTTATATTTTTTTTAGCCATGTTAATAATTTTGAGTGTGTGTTCAGTCAGACCTTTAGGTAAACAAACAGACCAATCTGAACCTCTCGGCCCCAAGGTTGTATAATAAGTCGCTGCTGCTTTGTGTAGTTAACCACTTTATTCACACTGGAGGAGAAGAGGCAGCCAGTCGTCCACGGGCCAAGTATGGTAAGAAAAACCTGAATAATAGTGTGAGAAGTACCCGTGGGTGTTAGAAGGGCTGCAGCGTGTGGCCAGGGGTTATTTTCAAGGCCTAGAATTGGGAAAAATAATATTAAGATAGAATATTGGGTAAATTTTTCTTGTAGCTCCGTTCATTTGTAGCAAGATAAAAATATATTTTTCTAGTGTATTAGTGTGTGCTGAGACCGAATATGACCTTCCTTTATGGCGGAAATTAGCCGGGTTTTTTTGCGATTTGTTTTCGTTTGACGTTTTCCGAGAAAAAAATGAAAGTGATTTTGCACCAGCTCATAAACCACCGAGCAATGAGATGATTGCAGGCGTATTAACAATGTTTTTATTATTTATTTTCGTCTTTAATAAATTCTCTTAGTATTTTTTATAATTTTATATCCCAAGCAACAGTTATTTTTCGAAAATATATATTGATGGGAATGAACAGGGTGACGAAAGGGTTAAAGGAGTGGTTACGAAACGAGTTAAAAATAGTGGTGACGAAACGGGTTGTTGACAATATGGGCAGACCCCAGTATGAGAACATTTATCTTCTATAGAAAAATATCCTCAAGTTGCTGATTAATGTGCACTATGCTCTTACAGTAGTTAATAACAGTTAATGTACCATATTGACAAAAATATTTGGCAGTGGATATTTTGCTTTTACCGGATAAGTTCCTAATAACGCTATTTTATCAAGAGTGCGCTCTGATTGGCTAATCGTGTAATGTTGGTGAACAAAGCGAGAACCTATTTGACCGTGACTGGCGGCATTTGAAATTTAATTTTCCTTGAATTGAACATTGTGCAGCTATAAACATACCGAATCATATTTCTGTTGTGCATGGAAACTTATCATTATAAAAGAGGCGACATTTACTAAAACCTAACAGAACCTGACCTAACCAACCTAAGAAACATACCTAACCTTAACTTCCTAGCCGGGAGGCGGAACCTCCATCATATTAAGCAGTACTTAGTCAATCAGAACGCACTCACGGTAAAATAGCATTAGTTGGAACTTAGCTGGTAGTGGCAAAATATCCATTACGAAAATATTTACACAAATATAAGGATAATTTACTTAGTCTCGTATTTTCTCAAAATAAAATTGCTAAATATTAAAACACATTATTCAAAGGACATAAAAAAAATTAGTTTATATCATAACAGTAACATTTGGTAGCGTAAAACAGTAATAAGCGGACACAAAACAATAAATACACTGGATGCATGTACAGCAGTCGTATTGATGGACTGTGGTTAATGGTACAGCAGTCGTATTGATGGACTGTGGTTAATGGTACAGCAGTCGTATTGATGGACTGTGGTTAATGGTACAGCAGTCGTATTGATGGACTGTGGTTAATGGTACAGCAGCCGTATTGATGGACTGTGGTTAATGGTACAGCAGCCGTATTGATGGACTGTGGTTAATGGTACTCGTATTGATGGACTGTGGTTAATGGTACAGCAGTCGTATTGATGGACTGTGGTTAATGGTACAGCAGCCGTATTGATGGACTGTGGTTAATGGTACAGCAGCCGTATTGATGGACTGTGGTTAATGGTACAGCAGCGTATTGATGGACTGTGGTTAATGGTACAGCGAGTCGTATTGATGGACTGTGGTTAATGGTACAGCGTGATGGACTGTGGTTAATGTTTGTAGCGTATTGATGGACTGTGGTGGTTAATGGTACAGCAGTCGTATTGATGGACTGTGGTTAATGGTACAGCAGCGTATTGATGGACTGTGTGGTTAATGGTACGGCAGTGTATTGATGGACTGTGGTTAATGGTACGCTTGGCCGTGTTGATGGACTGTGGTTAATGGTACAGCAGCCGTGTTGATGGACTGTGTGGTTAATGGTACAGCAGCCATATTGATGGACTCTGTGGTTAATGGTACAGCAGCCGTATTGATGGACTGTGTGGTTAATGGTACAGCAGCCGTATTGATGGACTGTGTGGTTAATGGTACAGCAGCCGTATTGATGGACTCTGTGGTTAATGGTACAGCAGCCATATTGATGGACTGTGTGGTTAATGGTACATTAGCCGTATTGATGGACTGTGGTTAATGGTACAGCAGCCGTATTGATGGACTGTGGTTAATGGTACCGCAGAGTATCGCTCATGTGCAAAATGCGGTATGCGGTACTTCTTTCAGCTTAGGCAGAGAGGTTAGGATAGGTTAGTCAGAAAGAAGGCCATCTTAGTACAGTAACTTATCATTGTAAAGTCTGCCCACGCATGAGCATTAGGCTGCCGTACCAATAGACATGGACGTTTTGCATACAGCTGTTGTACCTGTATCTTCCACAGAAAATAACATTGAGTTCAGTTATACACATTACAAGAACATTAAAATTTAAATGTACATGTCATAAAGACTACAAGTCAAAGCTAACTGTATTCTAAAGTAAATTTTTAGCACATCATGAACATACAGTATTTGTAGAGCTCAATAATACTTTGATTTGCAAAAAAAGGTCACAGTGTAGTATAAATGAACTCAGAGGACTATACCTCTATCAAGAGTGGGTCAACATAGGCCAGTTTAGCAGTATATATCTGGCTCGTTCTTGCATGCACTGTACTGTACATATACTGTACTGTATTATCGTTTATTTTCTCATTGTTCACATTGAAAATACAGTAAATATACTCTGTTTGCCAAGTGACACCATGTGTGGTACTTCAACTGTTGCCAAACGCTTTCCAACAACCAACCGAATGCTTCCCAGCGATCAATCCATACCTAACCTAACCTTAAGTAATACTGTACGTATACTGTATTATACTGCCACTCTAGGTTGGTTAGGTTGATTCATATCCAATAATTCAGGTCATAAGTCGAAATGGTCGTAAGTCGAAAATGATTAAATAATACATAGAAAATCTAAAATGGGTGTCTCTTTTTCTTCTCTGCACCACAAAACTCTCACTTTTAAACTTGCCAGCCATTTTAAAGTGAATTACAAACGAAAATTTTGTCTGTGTACTGACGTTGGGACTCGAAAATACGTAATTTGACAAAATTTTGGTACGACTGAGGCAGGTTGTAAGTCGAATAGGTCATAAGTCGGGGAGGAGCTGTATATATACAGTAATATATAATAAAGGCGAATGGTGTTAAGAAACGTACCCATAGTTTCACCTTGCCCGGGGCTTCTCTCTTGTGAGGCGAGTAGCAGACCACTACACCACAGATACTTTACATTAACCAGACTGGTATTTGACACAGGGTAGTGCAGACCTTGTGTTAATGTGTATTGGACTCAAAACTATCATTAAGAAGGTCGAATATGGTGAAAATGTCCTCCTTTTAATCAATAAGTCAGGACCAGCTGTTACAGTATGATTATTTTTCTTCCTTTATTTCAGGCTAGTAGTGTGATACTGGTTGGCCTGGGGCTGGCCACTGTTGGCTTTGGTGCTCGATTTGTTCTACGCACGATGCCTACACTGGGGAAGAAGATGGCTGAGGCAGTAAACGGTATACCTAAACTGGATGGCAAGGTGCGTATGTTTTTTCCTTTGGTGATAATTTTTCTTTCAGTGATCACTTTAAGCACTGTTCATCTACATGAGGTCAATGTTATAGCACCTTTATGAAGAGGACATGACAGAGTTGATGTACCATACTTCAAGATATTAAGATTGATGGAAATTTATATATTTTTGTCACTCCAAAATATTACTTGTTATATTTACACTTTTGGTTAGGAATTATTACTTGTGAGTAAGTCGTTAGAGAATTTTTAAATTAATATTTTGAATGTACTTTTCAGTCACTTGTAAACAGCAAATATTACAAAGGTGGATTTGAGCCCAAGATGACAAAGCGGGAAGCATCACTCATCTTAAATATATCGCCAAATGCCAGCTCTTTAAAAGTTAAAGTGAGTATTGTATCTTATACAGTATATCAAATTGAACGTAAAGATAATAACTACGTACGTACTTTGTTTTTAAACCTTTCTTCCTTTAAATTCATGTGAGTTTGCTTGTGTTTGTTACCCTAGGTGTTGTGCATGAAATTTTTTACTTTGTCATACTGTATGAAAGCTACGAGCCTGAATGACGGAACATATTATCCATGTGAAATATTTTTTCTACTAACAGCCTTGTCTCTCAAGTCAAATCAGTACTTAACCAATAATGTGGGAGTTTTCTCAGGATCAGCCTCTCTTCAAGTTTATAGCCAAACTTGTACAAATTGTTTTTCCCCAGTACAGTAACAAACCTTACTTGGGGTTTTTTAAGGTTTCTCATTCTCTTTGGAGGTCTTGAACTAGTTACAAGTACTGCACTGTTTATCACTTAGTTAATTCATAATCATGGAGAACTTTAAGCCACATTCATAGACCTCAAAGATACTTAATAGCTTTAATATTCAATGAACATTTGGCAACAATTTATGTAAGCCATATGTGTTCACAGATGGAATACTGCTGTGCCTTCATCTATGAGCTGGGTAAAGGTGTTGGGGTACTGTGTCTCTTTGATTGGGTGTGGAAAAAGGCCATTAAAACAATCTTCAATACTGTACAGTAATCTTAACCAAAAATTTCCACCGTCACATATTTATAGGGATATCTCATTGCTTTCCTAATTCTGTAGATACTGTACTATTCTATACTTCCAAAAGCATCATACACACTCATTTGGCTTCAGAGGGTCCATGACTTTTCCATTGAGATTTAATTTGGCTGAACCGCTGCCTACGGTAACTTATTTTCACCTTGAACTCTGTGGAACTCCCTGCCAAATCTGCAGTTTGAACACTTGTCATAGGAGAGTTTGTCTCAACTTTACATTTTCTGAGGATAATGCCTATCAATTCTATTATGGAAAGAAGAGCAAAGTCCCCAGCCAGAGTTTTCAATGTAAGATATCTCACTGAAGAGCTTCCTGTTCCTGAGTGTGTGGCCCTAGGAAGTACACAAGGCTAATCTTCTATTACCTCTTCTAGTCATATGCTTCTTATCTTGGGTACATTGAGAGGACACTATCGGTGAGGTTTTGTGTAGAGGCAGTCTGAGGTGGTTAGGGCAAGGGAAGATAATGGAGGAGACCAGCTGGGCCAAGAGGTGCATGAATTTGAATGTGGGGAGGGGTTGAGCTAGGGAACCAAATACTACCAGTTTGCAATGAAAGTGTAAAATATTTTGTGTACCGTGTTGACCTTTGTAAGTGTGCAATAATTTTATAATTCTAATAAGAGTCAACTTTGCAGGCAACTTATAAGAAGATGATGCTGGTTAACCATCCTGACAGAGGTGGCTCCCCGTACATCTCTGCTAAATTAAGTGAAGCCAAGAACCTGCTTGATAAATAGGATTTTTTTATAAAAATTTACTTTTTTATTCCATTTAGCCTTGTACAGTACAGTACTGTATACAGTATATATTACACTCTCCTTCTTATTGAAATAATAATACATTATTGTATTTATAATAAAATTTAAAATAAATGACTAGGTATGCTTCATGACCAGAAAATTTGACTATAGTACATTAATGTTGTGACTCCTCAACCATGTGTGTTGAATTATATACAGGTGCTCCCCGACTTACGACGGGGTTAGGGACCCAAATCCAGGTCGTAAGTCCGAATGGTCGTAAGTCCAAATGGTCGTAAGTCCGAATGGTCGTAAGTCCAAATGGTCGTAAGTCCAAATGGTCGTAAGTCTGAATGGTCGTAAGTCCAAATGGTCGTAAGTCCGACATAGATAAAAAAAAAAAATCATAAAAAATCTACAATGAAATACAGTACTGTACAGTAAAAGTAATAAATAATGAGGAATGGATACAGTACAGTGAAAGTAATAAATAATGAGGAATGGATACAGTGTGACTGAGCACTTACCTTTAATGTAGTCAGCTGAATGCACATGGGGCCCCATAATTTTCTAATTATACATGGAGACTACATTAACTGGAAACGTTGCGTGTCATTTGAAGAAAAAAAAATGAAAAAAAAAATGGTCACAACTGCGGCGGTCGTAAGTCCCGACGGTCGTAAGTCCAAGCAGTCGTAAGTCGGGGACTACCTGTAGTGTATAGATAATATGGGTCAGATAATTTTTACAAGATGGGTTTTTTCACAGTTGTGCAACAAATTTATACTGTATACTGTACAGTACCTTGAAATTTATTATACTGTATTAATACAACACAAGATCTTAAAACCAACATTGCCACATCTCTGTAATTCTTTGTTTCCTACAATATCAGTATGGTGCAGTAAGGATTTCTTCGTGTTTTGTTCCTTATCTGTCATCAAATGATCATAAGAACATGCAGCTCATCATTGGGTTGGTTAAAGGTTTATTCATTTTGTGCTGTTTACTCTGCATTCCAGAATTCATTTGATCAGTTTTGAAAAATAATTTGAAGCCAGATTTTAATGAAATTGGTCATCCTGATGTTCTTTTACAACCAATAGTTTCCTTTCATTACATTTTACATTAAGTATCAGTCTTATGGTCAGACAAAATTCCACTCTTGTCATCTATAAAAAGTTAAGCCTATGAGAACCCTGTTAATGATGTAGGATGTATTCACTAAACACAGGCAGTATGTTCAGTATTGGTAAGCCTCACTGTGATGTAGCAATATTGTAAGCCACTGTAAATATATAGTTATATATTTCATACTTTTATTAGTTTTACCTTCTAAATTATTGGAACTAAGAAGAATGAGTAATCGCAAATGAGGGAGAGTGTGTTGTTGTTGGTCACCCTCTGCAGTACTGCCACAGTGAAGGGCTTGCGAGGGTATATACCGGGATAATGGAATATACACCCAAGTTAATGTACAATTTTCACAATTGGTGTCAATAATACAAGGTGAAACATACGACAGTTATGTGGTTTAATTATTTAGTACCGTAGTGTCTATTTTCTTACGTTCACTGAGAATATCTTGTCAAAATAATGAATAATTGAACTACAGATACATTACAGTATATGGAGTTTGTAATTTAATGATATTTCAGTATATTCCTTGTGTGTCTGTGCCCACTTGTTATGTTCCATTATTTAATATTTAAATCAAACAATCATTTTCCATAATACAGCAGATTTTCTTTAGCAAAATTTTGTGTGGGTACATCTTGACTGCTTTTATGCTGTACAAATACTGTACTGTACTGTACCTCCACTCAACATCCTGTCATTCTCAATATACTACAAGAGAACCATGTTGATTTCACTTATTCATGTCCGTCAAGTTTGCCTCACACCCCCCCCCCCCAAAAAAAAATAAAAATAAATAAAATAAAATAAATAAATGAAATAAAAAATGTATCCACAGGTAGTTCGATTTATTATTATTTTTTTAGAAGATATATTTCTCATATCTGTCATGTGAATTATAAATACAGAACATAGTGCTAAAATTCGAACCAGTACTATCCATTACACTTAAATAATAGTCTTTATATGTGGCAGCTCAGACTTACCACGTAGCTGCCAATAGGCCCGCTGCAGTTTCCTCCATTCTTATGTTCTTATGTTCTTAAAGGAGTTATATTTGACGGGTGATGCTGGGTTGTGTTGAGTGACAGGTAAACTAGATAGGGACAGGGAATGCCACGGAAGACTACTGTACGTTTATTACGCGGTAAGAATGAAAACATGGAAATTGAATGTGCGTGTGTGAATTTGGTCATGAGTTTTACCCCCCTATATTTTAGTGGGAAGAGACTTGGTAAGGTAAAGACAAGAATAATGTGTTTTGAGTTAGCCCTTTAATGATGAATATGGTTTGTTTTTTATGCCAGCGAACATTATCTTCAGTGCCACTGGTCAGCACAATAACCAGTGAGGCATCATAGCAGGAAATACAACCATTTTCCAAGCTTTGAAAACTTTGATAACATTTTCTCTACCATTGTTTTAAATTCACTTTCTTGTTCATTCCTGCTAAAGTAATAGTACTATGTCAGTTAGATTTTATTCTCAGGTTGCTAAGAGTATTTTTTGTACAGTACTTCATAAATCTTAATGGGTCTATTTGCTCAAACCAAAAAGGGAGGTTCTACCACCTGGGAAGATAATGGAAGCATAATGTGTTGTCTATAGTAGATCTTGCTGCCACATGGCATCACAAAAATTGTGACCAAGTCCCAGGTTGATGATCTGACTTTCTGCTTCATTTACACACAATTGCAGGGTCTCAATTGTTTCTCTTACTTTGACAACACAACATACATATATTGTTTCTCGCTATTTATCTTTATTATTATTATTTAATTTTATTTTGAATTTTGTATTTTTTTTATAGGATTTATAATGATTTTTTTTAAATATTATTATTATTATTATTATTACGGTTATTATATTTTCGCCCCCCAGGCCCCGATGTGGGTCAGTGACCTGTGCAGGGGTGGGCTGAACCCGGTAAAAAAAAAAATAAACGTTTCATATACTGTATACGATTTTTTGAGAAATGCTAAACTAATCATAAAGATTTTTTTTAGAGAGGGGGGGGGGTTGGCTATTCAAACAAATTAGTCACTGAGGAGAAAATATCTTACGAGAAAATCAAGGTCACTAATTCACGGGGAGAGTCGAGATCTGAAGACACACAATGTTTAATATGTACCACAAGCAAATGGTGAACCACTTATTTTTCAGACAAGTACCATGTAAACTCAATCTACGAAGCAGAGATTAGACCAGAAATCGCCGAATACTGTACAGGATTTATTTGCAACATTACATTAGGGGTAATTAACATTGTGGGGTACGGTTGTTTGGTTCACACTCAGGATGGGATGGAGAAAGGAAACTCACGTAGTGCTCTCTGTATACATATTGTATTGTATGTACAGTGCAGCTTGGTGCTGGGAAGTGGCAGCGTGGTTACAAGCGTTGAGTAGAGAGAGCTGGTTGGTGAGGATGCTCAGAGGAGGACCAGCTTGTGGGTCGCCATGCTCGCCAGCGGGAGCGAGGGCCGCCAGACAGCGGCGGAGGAGGTGGTGTTGCTTGCTGGTTGGTGTAGGTAGAAAGAGACAGGTCACCACGAGGTCAGGTCTTATATAGCGGAGGTAGGCGTGGCTTAATAGTTGACCTCCGCTATGTAAGGCGGCGCTGGTTGACCTAGACCACGAGGCACACAGCGTTTGTAGGGGAGGTATCCACTACAACATGAAATATATTTTCCTTAAATATACTCAGGAATTGACTGAACAAGTACAAACGTGTTATACAGAAGGAACATCAGTGTTTATGTTTGGCAGACGTATGTTCACCCGAGAGCTACTAGTTACAGTACATGGAAGTTCAAGGTCTTAAAGTGTTAAAATATCACCTCCCTTAAGAGTGTAATTTAGTGCAATTTAGTTTCCACACTGTAATCTTCACTATGTGCGCTGTAACTTATGCTTGCAGTCATTATTCTGCCAATCATCATGTTGGTCTCTCCAAATTCCCCAGGGAAGTCTTTGTAGAATGTTACAGTGGACATTGCGCAGAATTGTAACTATATATGTAGATAATAATTATAGCTTCCTCAAGGGATTCTGTAAACACAAACATCAAAGACTATGTAAACAAATATTAAGGGACTGTAAATACATGCATCAAGGGACTTTGTAAACGCAAACATCAAGGGACTTTCTAAACACTTCAATATGAAGGAGTGAGGGTAAAATATTTAAGAAACTCTACCATCCTCCTCCTCCACCTCTTAACTCCCTCATACAGGTGGGGATGGAGAGAAAGGGAGGGGGATGGTGTAGAAGTACTACTCGACATAAACACGTACATACATTCAAATATACGTACATACACATATTCATTGACATACAGGAGTTTACACAGTCACACGCGTCTTGCTCTCCTAATTTTTACATAAACCTCGTTACGTTGCCTCCCTCTGTGGCTAAGAATTGAATGAGTCTAGACTAGAGAAACCTAACCTATTCTATCCTATCCTATCCTAACCTAACCTAACCTAGCCTATCTTATCCCATCCAGAAAACCCCCTAAAAAAATACTTCCCAGCACAAATGATCAATGAGACAGCGAACAACCTATTAAATACATGGTAACAGTCGTGCCCTCTGTAATTACCAATGTGCTATCCAAAAGCGGTAAAACATATGCAGTATATACTTTAAATGTTCATGTTACAATTTGCTCCGCCTCCTTTTCAATAGCTTAAGCGACCTGTTTTTGATTCAGTATTTTAAGAGGGAATTTAATAGCATTGCTCAATTTGACGGTATCCTAAAATTTAACAGAACCTTGCTAAATGTTTTCCACTCCCTGGGTAATAGACACGTTAGCTGTGATTTAGCCGAGTTGTTTGTCTTTATGGGTTTATGTAGTTCTAGTGACTATTTTTGTGGACTGAACGGTAATCTGTCATCGTATTGGCTTTGAAAATCAATAATATCAAGCCAAATATGGTTTATATTCATAGTTTGAAACCTTCCGTCTGGCTGGGTAGAAGATCAATAGTGAAGAAGGAGGTGCCGGGCAGCGTTTTCTCACCCCCTATTTTATCAGCTTCCCACGAAAGCCTTTTAGAATAACTCAAGTATATTAGACTTTGATATGATTGACGTGCATTTAGCTTCAATTACGATGATGTCAAAGTGGTGATTTAAATTAGAAAATATATTCAATCCCGTGGAAATGTTGTCCCAACGCTACTAGTGACTCCCCCAATGAACGTAGAACCGCAAGTTACAAGCTCTCGTACATTGAAGATCAGTAAGAAAAACAGAAATAACATTACAAATATATTTACAAATTTTAGAAAGAAAATTATGACCGAAAAAATTGGCGGGAAAAACAAAAGTATACTTCTCTGCGCAAATAAGTTATGAGAGACGGCGCACACGAGTCAAGAGTTCACATTAACCTGACATTTCCAGTAGTGTTGGAGTCTGTGCTCGGTCCGGGTGTGTACGGTCTAGATATGGCAGTTCAGTTTTACATCCTACAGGTGAGTAGCTGTTTATTTTAGGCCATTCGTTGATATTGATGTGAGCTATAATATACTTAGTGATGGCGTGTTGTTATTAGTAGCTACAGAGTTAGTGTAATACGTTGAAACTGGCGTGGAAAAGGATTAAGAATTTGCAAGTCTATGGGTGCATAAAGACATTTTTAATATTTGATTGTGTTTATATATTTGCGTCTGGATCTATCCCCTACTGTCGTTAAACCAATACATATTACGAGACTATTGGTTCGTTCGTTGGCTATTAACAGTGATATAGGTGGTGAATGAACGAAATCAAAACAAACTAGTTAATAAGATTTTCATTAATACTATGTCTCTCCTGGCTATATAATCAACTCCATTGTGCGGGAGAATATTAGTTTCAAGTACAGATAAATGGCGGTGGTGCCTAAGAGATTCCTAGTATTAATATGATATTGAACGGGTGATGTGGTGGTGATGACGGCTTTGCTATACCAGTTAACCCAACCACCATTACCGAACAGATGACACAATTGGCATTCCATAAACACAAGGGGCATCTCTCTTCTCCACCTGCCACTTGCTATCGCTGTACTAGTCAACCCCAAGCATGTAATGACCTGACCTGACCTCTGTGTGATAAATAATGTGGCTAGAATGACCTCACAACCCGAAGGTGCTAGAGGGAGCCTAGGTGGTGTGGTTTATTTAACACACGAGGTGAGGGCTGAGGGGTGATGGTGAGAGGTGATGGTGAGGGCTGATGGTGAGAACTGATGGTGAGGGATAGTGGAGGGTGATGGTGAGGGATAGTGAAGGGTGATGGTGAGGGATAGTGAAGGGTGATGGTGAGGGATAGTGAAGGGTGATGGTGAGGGGTAGATGATGGTGAGGGATAGTGAAGGGTGATGGTGAGGGATAGTGAAGGGTGATGGTGAGGGATAGTGAAGGGTGATGGTGAGGGGTGATGGTGAGGGGCTATTGGAGGGAAAGGGTGATAGTGGGCGGTAAAAGTATATTTTAGAGCCAATGAAAACACACCATTTCTGAGCCACGAGTTTTATTTGGCAGTACTCAGTGGCTCGTTCCTGGTGACGTCATAGATAAGAGGTAGTGTGTTTGACTCGTTCCTGGTGACGTCATAGATAAGAGCTAGTGTGTTTGGCTCGTTCCTGGTGACGTCATAGATAAGAGGTAGTGTGTTTGACTCGTTCCTGGTGACGTCATAGATAAGAGGTAGTGTGTTTGACTCGTTCCTGGTGACGTCATAGATAAGAGATAGTGTGTTTGACTCGTTCCTGGTGACGTCATAGATAAGAGATAGTGTGTTTGACTCGTTCCTGGTGACGTCATAGATAAGAGGTAGTGTGTTTTTAACATTGTTGAAGTCCTAATGGGAGGGAAGGAAAGGAAGGCAAGGAAGGAGGGAAGGAAGGAAAGGAAAGGAGGGAGGGAAAGGAGAGAAGGGAAAGAAAGGAGGGAGGGATGGAACGGAGAGAAGGGAAGGGAAGGGGAGGAAAGGAAAGGAAAGGAGGAGGGTGGCAGCCTTCAATATCAGACTCCCTGTGTAAATTTGTTCTAGAGATGGACCCTCAATGTTGTCTTCGTGTATGTATCAGCTTCTGTAAATATGTATGTATGTGTGTTAGTTCGTGTGCGTGCTTGTGTGCGTATGTGTTGTGTGTGTGATAATTCGAGTATTTATTTCGGAACGTACGTACGTAATAATAATAATAATGAACGGTTTATTGAAAAAATTCTGCAGCCCGAAGGCTGAAAATATACATTGGACATAAATGACTTATTACACACATTGGTGGTTTAACAAAAGCCTTCATTAGAGAAAGGTGAAGGAACATACAGTGAGCATACAGATTAATGTAGGTGTTGAACAGCAAACTCGTAGTGTAGTAACTCCCTCCCAGATGGTGTTAGGAGGAACTCACGTGGTGTAGTAGTTCCCTCAGATGGTGTTATGAGGGACCTCACGTGGTGTAGTAATTCCCTCACAGATGGTGTTATGAGGGGCCTGACGTGGTGTAGTAATTCCCTCACAGATGGTGTTATGAGGGACCTCACGTGGTGTAGTAATTCCCTCACAGATGGTGTGATGAGGGACTTGAGGTGGTGTAGTAATTCCCTCACATATGGTGTTATGAGGGACATGTGGTGTAGTAATTCCCTCACAGATGGTGTTATATGAGTGAGGTTTGGTCTTAGGCCTTCCTCTCGTAGACGGATTAACACATCGCTGGTTGTTGTTGGGTCTCACGGGCCGTTATCACTGGGTACCTGGGACCTCACTGTGTGAAAGTTAACTTGGGTACGACTGTTACTGTTGAGTTGTTCTCACTGACTTAAGCACTGTTCACCACTGTTCACCTCTGTTTAACACTGGTTCCGTTCCTTTCCTAAATGAAATTGTAACTTCTGGCGAGAACTTGTTGGTATTCCGGTGGGGAGGAGGGTTCAGGGGAGGGGGTTGGTATGGGCCAACATAACAGTTGACCTGGCTGCTCCGAGAGGAGCGCCAGGTACGTCTTGACCCTTCGGTGGTCAAGGATGTTGTGTGTGTGTGTGTGTGTGTGTGTGTAGTACTTGTATACACACACACACACACATTGAGAGGACAGGTGTATATACGTACAGACTGTTGCTTTAGGATTAATTAAGGTATAACGAGTTGTGTGATCTACCTGTGTGTCTGTCTGTCTCTACCACAGGTATCGTCGCTACTGCAGGAGGGACGGTGAAGGAAGGTGTTCTGGGACAGTAACGCGCCTATAACTGTGTCTACGGCTCTTGCTGGTGAGTACACAGGCCCCTAACCTAACCTAACCTAACCTAACCTAACCTAACCTAACCTTTCAGTAAATCAATAGAGTATATATATATATTATTATTATTATTTTCTTCTTCTCAGATCGTCGTATTTCTTTCATTATTGTGTAGTTTGATTGGCAGGTATTCTCAGGTCACAACCCCACACTCGATGAAAATGATGGTGGGGAGGGTGTGGGGGTGGGGAGAGTGGTGGGGAGGGTGGGGGGTGTGGGAGGGTGGTGGTGTGGTGAGGGGTGGAGGTGTGGAGGAGGTGGGTGGTGCTGCATTCTTATCAAAAATGTTTTATAAAGTAATTGGTTAGGGGTTGTGTGTGGATGAGGTGGGGAGGATGTGAGGGAGGTGTGTGGATGTGGGAGAGGAGATGTGGGTGTGAATTGGAGTGGTGTGTGTGTGTGTGTGTGTGTGTGTGTGTGTGTGTGTGTGTGTGTGTGTGTGTGTGTGTCGGTGCGTGTGTGTGTGTGTTTGGTATGGGATGTAGGTGTGTAGAGGGTGGAAACGATGACTTGACCCTTGAGGACGATGACTTAACCTCTTGAGGACAATGACTTAACCCCTTGAGGACGATGACTTAACCCCTTGAGGACGATGACTTAATCCCATGAGGACGATGACTTAACCCCTTGAGGACGATGACTTAATCCCATGAGGACGATGACTTAACCCCTTGAGGACGATGACTTAACCCCTTGAGGACGATGACTTAACCCCTTGAGGACGATGACTTAACCCCTTTGAGGACGATGACTTAACCCCTTCAGGACGATGACTTAACCCCTTTGAGGACGATGACTTAACCCCTCGAGGACGATGACTTAACACCTTTTAGTTTTAGAAAATAAATAATAGGCTGAGAAAATAAATAGAAAAAATAAATAAGAAATAGATCGACACACAATGCCAGAGAGAGAGAGAGAGAGAGAGAGAGAGAGAGAGAGAGAGAGAGAGAGAGAGAGAGAGAGAGTCTTACGTAAGTTTGTTTGAGAATAAGAAAACGAGACAGCCAAAACCACCCCTCTTAAGTCCATTGTAAGTGGGTTTGTAAGTGTCTTGTAAGTGGGTTTGTAAATGAGCTTGTTATTGGTACGTAAGTGTGGGTTTGTAGGTGGATTTGTAAGTGGTATCGTAAGTGGGCTTGTAAGTGCCTTGTAATTGGGTAGTTGGCATGTAAGTGGTAGGGAGGATACAGTGTGTGGTAGGGAGGTTATAGTGTGTGGTAGGGAGGATACAGTGTGTGGTAGGGAGGTTATAGTGTGTAGGGAGGATACAGGTGTGTAGGGAGGTTATAGTGTGTAGGGAGGATACAGTGTGTGGTGGGAGGACTGTGTGGTAGGGAGGTTATAGTGTGTTGTAGGAGGATACAGTGTGTGTGGTAGGGAGGTTATAGTGTGTGTGGTAGGGAGGATACAGTGTGTGGTAGGGGAGGATACAGTGTGGTAGGGAGGATACAGGTGTGGTAGGGGAGGATACAGTGTGTGGTAGGAGGTTAAGGTGTGTGGTAGGGAGGATACAGTGTGTGGTAGGGAGGATACAGTGTGTGGTTGGGAGGATACAGTGTGTGGTAGGGAGGATACAGTGTGTGGTAGGGAGGATACAGTGTGTGGTTGGGAGGATACAGTGTGTGGTAGGGAGGATACAGTGTGTGGTAGGGAGGATACAGTGTGGTTCGTAAGGGTTACAGTAGCCTACATACACTATAACTCTCACGCTTTTCACTATACGTTTAAAAATGCATTGATGATCACGTATGTAGTTTGTGACTGTTATTAAATGTGTTTTGCTGTATGATAGTTTTTCCCCGAAGATTGGCAGCAGCTAACTCTCCCCTCCCCTCCCAGCTACACAGTGACAATGTTTCAGAACGCGATTATCCAACTTGGAGTATACAGTATGTCTTCAGTTCTGGATGAAGGCGGGGAGGGGGGGGGGGATGTTATTCGAAATGCATTGTTTATCTTCAAATAAATTATAACATTCTGGAAAAGTTATTCAAGACGAGGCGTTTTTTGTCCTTCCTCATATTCGTGGTGTCACTTAGGTTAGGTTTGTTAAGATGAAAATACCACCCCAGTATTACCTTAACAGTCGCTACATTTAGTACCCCCCCCCCAAAAAAAAAAATATAACGGCAATGATATATAAATTCTTCGTTTAAAATTCCCGGGGAAGTAATTAACAAAAGCAAATTAGGACGGTTGTGATGCTGGCTTGATGATTGTTGTGGTCGCTTATTTAATGTTACGTGATTCTGTTTGTTGTGCTTTTAAAAACAACTCTCTTCTTCTGCCTCACGTTTAATAATTTATTTTGGGGACACACACACACACACACACACACACTCACACTCTTTTGGGACAGATTTGCATTTTGATGGTCGCTTATAGTACTGAACCAACCCCCCTGTACTGGGACCCACGCAGAACTAACGGGGAAATGTGACCAACCTGACCTGAGGAAGAGGAGGGTGAAGGAGGAGTTGGAGATGGAGAGTAATAATAGGGAAAGGGAGAGGTAGAGAGAGAGAGGTAGAGAGAAAGAAAGAGAGAAGGGGGGAGGGCCACACACCACGGAAGAGAGGTACACCTGCTGGTAGAGGTTCCTGGTACGACTGAAAATTTAATGGGACAAACACAAACATTATGTTAAGGGGTGTGTATTATTCAAGGTAACCAGGACCCTGTAAGAGGACCCAGGGGAGTGAAATATGCAAGGAACCCCCCCCACCCCCCCAACCCCCCCACCCCACAAACACACACAGCATATAGATAAATTGGTTAAGTGAGAATATTTAATAGTTTATAATTATGAGAGTTTGGGTATAATATACACTCCTTCACCTCCTCTCCCATCTTCTCCCTCTCTTTCCCCATCACATCTCCTCTCTCCTCCCCACCAACTCCTCCCCCTACCTTTTCTCCCCTCTACTCCCCTCCTCTCCCCTCCCTCCCCCCTCCCCTGCCGTTAATCTCCCCTCACCCCATTCCCTCTCCGACCCACATCAACTGCGGTCAGATTAAAGACTAATATGATGTACAGTAGAGTGTGTGTGTGTGTGCGTGTGTGTGTGTGCGTGTGTGCGTGCGTTGTGTGTGTGTGTGTGTGTGTGCCGGTGTGTGTGCCTGTGTGTGTGTGTCTCGGTCATGGAGGGAAATTTGCACTATAAGGATTAGGAGTTCTTGGGAAGTAATCATTGAGGGGAAACTGGAATTGAGTGGGAGAAGATACCTGGAATGGGAATTGTTCAGGAATGGGAATTGTTTGATGATATACAGTTTAGGAGGGGGAGACATATTTTAACTGGAATTTGGGGGAATGGGAATTGTTCTGGAATGGGAATTGTTGGTGGACGTGTGAAGTTGAGGGGAAGGAGGAAGTGAAGGAGGGAGGGAAGTGAAGGAGGAGAGTGAGGAGGGAGGAAGTGAAGGAAGGAAGGAGAAGGGAAGGAAGGAGTTGATTGTCTTTGGCCAAAACAAACAAGATGAATTTAACAGAATCCTGACGTGTGATTGGTCGACCCCATAGGTTGGTTTATGAAATTCTGGGTTGTGATTGGTTGAGACGTGTTGCTGAGTATTGGAATCCCGGCTTTCTATTGGTCGGACTGTAAAAGACGCAAAGAGGGAATTAAGGGAAGAAGTTGCTTGCTGATTGGTCGAGAGATTCAAAGAGAAATTGCTGATTGGTTGAGAAAAAAACACAGGAAAATTATCTCGACCTATCACAGTGAAGTTCCCTCAATTAACACACACTTACACACACACATACACACACACACACACTTACACACACTTACACACACACTTACACACACACTTACACACACACTTACACACACACACACACACACACACACACATACTTACGTTCAGACTTAATTACACTCAAAGTTCACCTCGGGAACAGGTGTATCTCGTTGGGATTGTCCGCAAATCATGTCTCAGATATGCCTCGGCCAGGTGAGTCAACGCTCGTTAAATTGGGCAGTTAGGGCTCATTAAGGCCAATTGGGTAGTGAGGAGGAGATAGCAACTGTGGTGGCGTGGGAAACTGTGGTGTAGCGTGGGAAACTGTGTTGTTGGGTAAGGAACTTAGCCATACCGACACCAGGGTGAGGGGGGAGGGAGGTGAGGTGGGAGGTGAAGTGGGGGAGGGAATGGGAGGCGAATTTCATATTTGGAAGCTAATAGTTATGTTGATTCTCTCTCTCTCTCTCTCTCTCTCTCTCTCTCTCTCAGTACCTTGCTCCCCTTCATGAAACCGAACTACAACAAGCGGGGCGAAGTAGACACGTCGATAGATAGGTAGATAGATAGTTGATAGGTAGATAGATAGATAGATAGATATTATCATGTGTACGCGTACATATGTATTCTTGTCGTACGTTAAATAAATGATCAGTATCCGAGTGTGTGTGTGTGTGTGTGAGTGTGAGTGTGTGTGTGTCTTTAATGGAGAGGTGAATATCCCTTTAAAGTGTGTGTGTGTGTGTGTGTGTGTGTGTGTGTGTGTGTGTGTGTGTGTGTGTGTGTGTGTGTGTGTGTGTGTGTGTGTGTGTGTGTGTGTGTGTGTGTGTGTGTTGCCCTGGGCATACTCTAACCTGTGTCTACGGTGAAGCAGTAAGGCGTTACTCTCTGCCTCACCTCCGTCAGACACCTCCTCCCAGCCCACAGCAGGAGTGAGGAGAGGATATTAATATACGGGTTTAGGAGACATCGAACCCTTGTACCTGAAGAACGAGTGTGAGTGATTTCTGCAGGAGCCAGAGATTAACTGTGTGTTTGTCTGTCTGTCTGTCTACGAAGTCCATCATTTTACATACATAAACACACACACACACACACACACACACACACACACACACACACACACACACACACACACTGTTTTTCTCACTACTAACTTTATAATGAGTTTCACCTCACTGACCGCCGTGGTATAGGTTGTCTCGCCCTTTAGTATCACGAGTGTTGCTACTAAGGGCCATTAGGTTAGATTAGGTCAGGTCAGGTCAGGTTAGTCAGGTCAGGTTAGGTTAGGGTTAGGTTAGGTTAGGTTAGGTTTGGTTTCCAGTCCCAAATACAGTGTGTGGAGATGGTAGGAAGGTTGTATCTTCGTCTTAAAGAGGTTGAGTGAGGCTCTGTGTTTACATAACGGGGCCGGACGTGATGATAACAAGTTTTGGCGGGAAGAAAAGCGCGGGAAGGGCCACAGAGGAGGGGGGGAGGGGGGGGGATAACTTCCGTGTTGTTCAAGTTTACCTTGTAGTCTACATGTTCAGTGGAAAGTTTACCAGCAGGGACTTGTTACGGACAGGTTAGGTTACGTTACGTTTAGTTAGGGTTAAATTAGGGTGGTTAATCTTCATGTAAACTAACCTAACCTAACGTACTACTGTGACAAGTTATACTAATGAACACACTCGTCAAAGTTTACAGAACAAAATATTTTCCCCTACAAAGTTTACCGACAAATAGGAATACCCCCAGCAAAGTTTATTTCTGTAGACCCCGTGTTGTCAGTATAATTTTGCTTGATTAAACCACATGAAGCGAGATGGAGACAGACTGATATCACATTTACAAAGTTCTGACCAAAAGTTTCACCGATATAAATAGTCTCACGGAAAGTTTTAGTTAGTAAATACAGTTTGAGGAAAGTTTGAAGGAATACGTTTATTGAAAGGTCTGTAAATAAGGTCATTGATGCATTGATTCTATATGACCAGACAAGTGATGATGTTCTTTTGTTTAGCATTCGTGAACGTGTAAAGGCTGGTGATACCCGTTCGAATCCCGCTCATTTGTGTAATAGAAACACGTTAATACTCCATAAGGACATGTCACCAAACAAATTGAAAATAGTTTTATCTGTGTATAAATATAATTTTTGTTTCGTCCAGAATTCGAACGTCTTTTAGTATATTTCTTCACGATTACGAATGCTGAAAATATCCGGTCGGCAAAATGAAACCACAGCGAACAGTCATCGTCTTCAAAGGGTTAAGTCATCGTCTTCAAGGGTTGTCATCGTCCCTCAGTTGCTTCATCGTCCCCTCATGGGGTTAAGTCATTGTCCCTCAAGGGGTTAACCATCGTCCTCAAGGTTGTCATCGTCCCCAAGGGGTTGTCATCGTCCCTTAAGGAAGTCATTGTCCTCGGGTTAAGCCATCTTCTCAAGGGGTGTCATCGTCCCTCGAGGGGTTAGTCATCGTCCCCGAGGGGTTAAGCCATTGTCCTGGCGCAAGCTAGTCATCGTCCCCGGGGTGCCTCCCTGCTGCTGTCCCTCGGGCAAGGTCATCGTCCCTAAGGGGTCATCGTCCCTGCGGGTCATCGTCCTCTAGGGTTGTCATCGTCCCCAAGGGGTTAAATCATCGTCCCTGGGGTTGTTATCGTCCCTGGGCGTTGTCATCGTCCCCAGGGTTGTCATCGTCCCTGGGGTTGTCACCTCAACGGGGTTAGTCATCGTCCTAAGGGGTTAAGTCATCGTCCTCAAGGTTGTCATCGTCCTCAAGGGTTAAGTCATCGTCCCCAGGGCTGTCATTGTCCTCAAGGGGTTGTCATCGTCCTCAAGGGGTTAATTCATCGTCCTCAAGGGTTGAAGTCATCGTCTGGAGGGTTTCACGTCCTCAAGGGGTTAAGTCATCTTCTCAAGGGGTTGTCATCTCCCCAAGGGGTTAAGCTCATCGTCCTCAAGGGTAAGTCATCGTCCTCAAGGGTTAAGTCATCTTCCTGGCTAAGGTCATCGTCCCAAGGGGTTGTCATCTCCTCATGGGGTTGTTCATCGTCCTCAAGGGTTGTCATCGTCCTCAAGGGGTGTCATCGTCCTCTCCTCCTTCTCCCTCCTCTGTCCTCTTTCACCCTCCTTCTCTTCATCCTCCTTTCATTTTTCTCTCGTCCTCTTCTTCTGCTTCCCTCTCATCCCACCTCTTTTTTCCCTTCTCTCTTTCCCCTCGTTTCATATTCCCTCTATCTTATGATCTTTTGTTTCTCTCTCCCTCCTCCTTTCTTCTCTCTCTCTATCTCCTCCTCCTCCTCACCCATCTTCCCTCCCTCCTCCACCTCCTCAGCCGGCTTGCCACAAACTAGTATCGATGTTTACACTAAATGTGGTGATGATTGAGACCCAGATAATTATTACCGCTTCAAATTTTATCTGGGGGTAGAGGGGTATCTGGGGTTGGTGTAAAGGGAATTATTTTAGGGTACCTGTAGGGTGTGTGTGTGTGTGTGTGTGTGTGTGTGTGTGTGTGTGTGTGTGTGTGTGTGTGTGTGAGACTTTCTGGTTGGTTGGTTGGTTGTGGTATGGGTATTGTGGGGAGATTGTTGTTGAGTGGTGTCTCTCTCTCTCTCCTAGGCAGCGGCGGACATGTCTGGGAGAATAGTTTACGTCATAAGTCACGTGACATGGTTAAACTGCCCGCCCCCTCCCTGTCATCCCCCTTGTCACACCCTGTCACTCCTTCCCCTTTGTCACGCCTCCTCCCTGTCACTTGCCCCTCCCCCTTAGTCACCCCCTGTCATTTACCCCCTGTCACTCACCCCTTCCCCTTTGGTCACCCTGCCCCCCTATTCACCCCATCATCATGCATACTCCCTATCATGCCCCCCCGGCCTCCATGCATGTCTGGGAGCTTCCTGATTCAGCTCTGATCATGCAAGGTCATGCAACTTACACTGATGATGAGTCGTGTAGTCATGCAATGTCAGGCAGCTGTTAGGAAGGTCAAGTAGTAAGGGTACACATGTAGGGTCTTGATGGTACGTGTAAGGTCTTTTAAATTAATGTGTTAACCGTAAGGTGACCTAATTCAATGTTACTAACTGTTATCATGTCTCAGGGTGACGACACACGACACGACACGACCCGACACGACACAAGGACACGACACAAGGACCTGACACGACACGACACGACCTGACACGACCTGACCTGACACGACACGACACGACACAAGGACACGACACGACCTGACACGACACGACACGACACGACACGACACGACCTGACCTGACACGACACGACACAAGGACACGACACGACCCGACACGACACGACACGACACGACACGACCTGACACGACACGACACGACACGACACGACTCGACTGACGACACGACACGACACGACACGACAGGACACGACACGACACAAGGACACTCCTAAAACAAGGAAGTAAAGACAAAAGGTGTTATTTGTTATACACATTTATGTTGTGATGGCAACAGTTGTCACCTGTGTGGTTGTGGGTCATCATCATGGTTCTCCTGCAGGTGAAGTCTGGCCTCGTATTATGTTAAGTTTATTACTAACAGTGTTACCTGTACTCTACTGTAACTTGTGTGTTGTTGCAGGGAGCGCAGTGAGCTGGCCGGTGCAGGCCCTCCCCCAGGATGCCGGGGTTCCTTACGCCCGAGTCCTCCACATCCCCGGCCCGCCCGCGCCCGCAGCGCCATGCAGTGGCCGCCCACCCCGCTCTGTAGACATACGCCCCCGCCCGCACCGCCGGCGCGCGGCGTCGGCTAGGCCAGGCTGCCTCCCCTAGAACACTGAGTGAGTGTTGTGAGTGACCAGAGTGACACAGTGACGAGAGTGACGGAGCGGTGCGGCCAGGGCGTGAGGGCCGCTGGGCGTAATGACGGGCACCAGGCGGGGGGAGACACCACCCGTAACCTAAACGACATGCATGGTGGGCAGCCTGACACTCCCTACGGAGGAACACTACAACTGGAGCAGCTGGAGCGACTCATCAACAGCCTGGAGGCACGCAGGGCGGCCAGCTGTGACCTGAGTGATGGCTCGCCCACGCCCGCGTCCCCCCGCGCCCTCACGCCTAACTCTGTCCCCACCCGCAATTCCAACTTCTGGCGAGAAGTCTCTCCCCAGCTCTCCTACATAGACGGCGGGAGCTCGGGTGGCGCCTCCTACGGGCGGAGCGTGTCGTGGAACCTGGCGGAGTTGTCCTCGGCCGACCCTGTGCCTCGCTCTCCGTATCCCGACCACCGCTCCTCGGCAGACTCCCTCAAGCCTCCCCGCTCGCAGGACCCCACACCCCCCCTACCCGCCCTCAACCCCATCACCAAGTTTGCCTCAGACACACTGTGCTCTCCCTCCCACCCCACCGTCGCCCACTCCGTCGTGCAGGTGGAGAAGGGTGACATAAAGACCAAGATCCAAAAGCGGCTCAGTTTCGGGGACACGCTCGACTTGCACACCAACATCTACACGCCGGCTGAGGAATGTCCGGGGGGCATGGCGGCCAGCCTGGAGGCGGCGGGGGGCACAGCCAATGGGTCGAGTACCTCCCTGGAGCGACGGTGGACGGAGGAGGACCTGGGAGGGGGACCACCGCTAGTGAGACGCAAGTCGCTGGACACTCAGAGTCAGTACTCATACTACATGGACAAAGACCTGAGGTACTACTTCCAGCACCCTTGGCTCCGCCTCATCATCGCCTACCTCGTCATCTTCTGTAACTTCCTTCTCTTCGCCGAGGACCCCGTCTCCCACTCCCATGCTGGTAAGTACCTTCACCTGTTCTCTTGTATCAACACACCGCTGCTCTAATGAGCCGACTGATGTTGTCTGGTCACCTCGGCAGTTGTCATTACATCTTCTTGGGAGTCAGCTGAGTGAACCATCTCTTAGGTACACACACACACATTGTATATATATATATATATATATATTTATATATATATATATATATATATATATATATATATATATATATATATATATATATATATATATATATATATATATATTTAGCTTTCGTCTTTATTTAAGACATCTTCAGAGGCAACTGTCCATGTAATCCAGTTTCCTCTGAAGATGTCTTGAATAAAGACGAAAGCAAAGGTACTCCGTTGTTTCCCTTTTCCCGTGTGATTTTATCAAGATTTATCTTATCCACGTTTTCATTGTGGATCTACATGAAATATATATATATATATATATATATATATATATATATATATATAAATAATGTGTGTGTGTGTGTGTTTGTCTCGTCAGGGTATCAGTGGGAAGGACCTAAGCATTATACTGAGGCAGGAGAAACCGACAAGATAATGTAAACATGTAAGCGTCGGCAGAAATAATGGTCCTTGGCGTGACGATGCTGTAAACCTTCCTTCCTCGTGTTCAACAGATGATATCACAAGTTACAGTAGTTGTTAAGAGGCCGCGTCCCCAGCACCCACTACAAACACACCAATAATAATAATAATAATAATAATAATAATAATAATAATAATAATAATAATAATCTGGGTCGAGTGAAAGAAGTGTGGTTTATTCTATAACTTGGTTTAGTCCCAGGAAGACCCCGAGTTAAGGGTGTAACCTCGTTACATCCCCTTGATTAGACCCCCTCCCCCTCTCTTTCTTCCCTCTCCCTCTCCCCTCCCCCCTCCCCTTCCCTCAGATGCCTCGACTCCTGAACAGCAACACAATGATGTGACGATAATACGTTGGGACATCTCTTGCCCCCCTCCTCAGAAATCACCCCCCCCACCTCCCCCTCACCCCTCATAACCACCAGGGTGTGACCGAGGACGTTGACCGTGTGTGTGTGTATGTAGTAATGTCTTAACTACTACTGCAGGGAAGCCACCAAGCACTCTAGCCAACTATTGTATAAAATTATTCTAGTTTTTTCTACACGTGGTGATGATGATGGGGGAGGAGGGTGAATCTCTCTCCATCACTCCTTCCCTCCATTACTCCCTCCCTTCCTCCACCACCAACACCCCTCCAACACCCCTCCACCTCCCTCCATCCCCTCCACCAATACCAAGCACCCAGTCAGGAGTGTGTGCAGGAGGAGGAGCAATAACGTTGTAATTGGGTGACGTGAGATCCTGGGAATGAATTGATCAACAGAGATCCCTCACCGTGCGGAAAATTGGGACCACGAGAGAGAGAGAAAATTGGGATTTAATTGGGAAAATGAGGGGGTAATTGGGGTGGAAATTGGGGTGGAAATTGGGACTACGTTGAAAGAGGAATTGGGAGGAATAGAGGTTAATAATGATAGTAAAATTGGAAGCGGTAAAATAATAAATAGAATTTGAAATTGGGAACAGGAGGAATGAGGATGGAAAATGGTGGAGTCACTTGGTGTGTGTGTGTGTGTGTGTGTGTGTGTGTGTGTGTGTGTGTGTTATAGGAGACGTGCATAGCCGAAACTGTTTGCTCACGTACCTACACGGACACACACGCACTCAGACACGCACAAGCGCAGACGTACACACACACACACACACATACACATCAAGTGCCTCAAAAAACTTGTCTCCGAAATCCAGAAAATATAATGATTTGGAAAGTTAATTAGAAGTCAAGTTGAGTGGGTCGATGACGAAGGCGATGACGATGCAGGCGACGAAGGCAGTGACGATGACGACGAAGGCGATGACGATGCAGGCGACGAAGGCAGTGACGATGATGACGAAGGCGATTTATTTTTATAAGGGGGGAACCTGTGCTTATCACTGCTTGATAGTGTCTTACTGGGCTGACCTCATTGACATCATGATCACGGAAGAGAGAGAGAGAGAGAGAGAGAGAGAGAGAGAGTCGGAGGGGAAGAGAAGAGGGGAAGAGAGAGAGAGATAAAGGAGAACCTGTCTGAGTCTTTTGTTGAGTCGTGACTGTGTTTGGTGGGGGGTGGTGACGCCCTGGTAGGGTGGGGTGGGACGCCCCTGGTGGGGGGGGGTGGACGCTCCCGGTGGGGGGGGTGGATGCCCTGGTGGGGGTGGGACGCTGCTGGTGGGGGGGTGGTGACTGCCCCTGGTTGGGGGGGTGGACGCCCCTGGTGGGGGGGGTGGATTTGCCCTGGTGGGGGGAGGTGTGACGCCCTGGTGGGGGGTGGACGCCCTGGTGGGGTGGACGCCCTGGTGGGGGGGTGGACGCCCCGGTGGGGGGGGGTGTGGACGCCCTGGTGGGGGTGGACGCCCTGGTGGGGGTGTGACGCCCCTGTGGGGTGGACGCCCTGGTGGGGATTCTGGTGGGGGGGGGACGCCCTGGTGGGGGGTGGACGCTCCTGGCGGGGGGGTGGACGCTCCTGGTGGGGTGGTGGACGCTCCTGGTGGGGTGGTGGACGCTCCTGGTGGGGGGATCCTCCTGTTATTGCTGTTTAGTGTGTGTGAACCTGGAGTATTGATGTTATTATTATTATTATTATTATTATTATTGTTATTATTATTATTATTATTATTATTATTATTATTATTATTATTACTATTATTAGTATTATTATCATTTTTATCATTGTTAGTAAAATTATTGTTGTCGACCTCTTAATAATAATAATAATAAATAATAATAAGAGGAATAATAATAATAATAACAGTGATAACAACAATAATAATAACACTACTACTACCACTAGAAATAATAATAACAACAATAACAACAATAACAACAACAATAACAACAATAATAACAACAATAATAACAATAACAACAATAATAACAACAATAATAACAACAATAATAACAACAATAATAACAACAAAGATAGAGGAGACACTCATGAACAGAGTAGAGGTAAGGCAGCCTCAGGTGGGCTCAGGTGAGAGGTGACGTCTGCAGCTTTAAGGGTGTATGACTGAGGCGCCCCAAGCCTAACCTGTACCTCTGATGATGATAACACACACACACACACACACACCTTGCTAAATGGTACACACACACGCCTGCCAAATGGTATACACACACACACACACCTGCCCAATGGTACACACACACACACACACACACACACACACACACACCTGCCCAATGGTACACACACACACAATAATGCAGCAAAAACGCTCAATAAAACTAAAATTAAAACGCTCTACCACCCCCATTGACTTACCAATGAAACTATTCAAGGAGTTCTCCCCGGAGCTTGCTAAACCCCTCTGCTCCATCATCAATGCTTCTCTCAGTCAAGCCAGATGCCCAGCTGACTGGAAGACCTCTTATGTATCACCAGTGCCCAAGCCAACCAGCCCACAATCCTTAAATCAGCTACGACCTATTGCAATCACCCCAATACCCAGCCTAATCTGTGAAAGTTTTGTGTTTGACTGGGCTTATGCTGATATTGCAGGAGTCGTAGACCCTCAGCAATTTGGCAACATGAAAACTTCCTCCACCACTCACTGTCTTGTCAGCTTTCTCGATTACATATACCGCCATCTCGAGAAACGAAAAACGTCTGTAGCTGTCGCCTTCATTGATTTCACTAAAGCATTCGACCTAGTCGACCACAATATAATCATCAACAAAGCTATTGACCTCGGGCTTCGGGGAAGTCTTATACCATGGCTTACAGACTTCCTCAGTGACCGACGCCAAGCTGTACGCTTCCGAGGGGCTGTCTCCACCTTCAGTCACTCACCTGTGGCGTCCCCCAAGGCACCAAGATGGGACCACTCTGCTTCCTTATGCTCATCAATGATGCCCTAAGAGAAACCCCTGCTCGCTGGAAATATGTCGACGACTCCACCATTGGGATCAGCGTCAACAATCTGCTCCCAACTATACCGCCCTTCAGGATTTATTGAACAGCTCCAAAACTGGGCCACCAACCATGTCACCATCAACCATACCAAGACATTACGTTATGCACATCAACCTCTCTCTCCGCCATTGTCCCACCCTCCCCTTCCATTACCCAGGGTCCGAACACACCCAGGTTGCAGGATTCCACGAAGTTCCTCGGCGTCACCATAGACAACAAACCAATTGGAAAACCACACGTCAGTGAAGTTGTCAAATCTCCAGTTTCCGTCTCCACCTCCTCCGCCGACTCAAGTCCTCGGAGTTCCTGCACTGGAGCTCTCAGTGTCATAATAATAACATTCATATTTCCTGCTCACCTATGCCTCCCACCTGGTCTTCCTCCCTAAATGCCACACAACGTAAACACCTAGAAAAAGTGCAAAAGAGGGCATGCAAGATTATTCTCTCCCCTTCCTACTCCACATATCAAGAAGCGCTCAACACACCGACCCTTTCGACTCTCACTGACCATCACCACGACCTCATCTGCAAATTTGGTAAGAAGCTTCTACACTATCCTCGACACCGGCTCCTACTACCACCTGAGATCCCTAGCCCGAGAATTGCTGTTCGACATCACAACCGCATCCAGCCCATACGTGCACGAACTGATCGCTATAAGAACAGCCCAGTCCCAACCATTGTAAAAATTATCAATAACATGTAATAAATCAGTGTATTCACTCCCAGTAAACACTGCTCCCTACACTGTCACTATGTTGAAATGAACTGTATTTTGAGCTGATCCCCATCTAAGTTACTATATATCTTATTTGTGTCACTTATGTCACTTGTATATTATTTGTAATTCGTAACCCATTCTTCAAATATGTAACTGTATATTTTCAGCCTTCTGCTGCCAAGCTCTTTCAATAAACCGTTAATTATTATTATTATTATTATTATTATTAAATGGTACACACACGCCTGCCAAAATGGTATACACACACACACACA